AAAGAATCAAAGCCTTTGCAACTGCTGGGAAAGTGCTCGACAAGCAGAGCACAGAACCTTATTCACATACTATGTGAAAGATAGATACCCAGTGGACTCTCACCAGACAAAGGGTAATAAAACCTGGGGACGAATCATTTTACTACTATCTACGTGTCAGGCATGACACCATAATTATAGTTGTTGGTGAAGCAAAGAGCAGGTATCAAAGAGCAGGTATCACCACACCACACCTAATAGTAACGTGTGGTCATGCAGTCTTCAGGGGTGTCAGATAGGTTTAGCACGGCCGTAGTGATATCAAAATGTTGACATGAAAACAAATTCTAACTTCCAAAGCCTCAAGCCTGGCGTGACCTAAAACACCAAAGTGATTACAAGCTGTGTCTGCACCATGAGCTTGTGTACACAGTATGAAGTAGCAATGCAGACATTAGTGCTAAAATTATATAATAATCACACCACTGAAGACTGAGTCACCACAACTTGGTATTCGCATGTGGGACGGTGGGGCGGTGGTGGTGCCTGCTCTAATCTTCACTAACAACTATACTAGTATAGTGCCCTGCCTCACTCATAGATATAGATAGGGGTAGAATGGCTAGTCTCCAGGCCAGGTTTTAGTTCCGTCTGCCTGATGATAGCTTCCGCATGAAACTTTGTCACAACAGATTCCAATAGGACCTTCCCCCCCCCCCCCCCTCTCTCATGTGTCAAAGCACATTATGTAGCTCCTAAAGCGGTGTGAGGTGATCAGATAACAGATGTAGAAAGTCAACCAGCTAGCTATACCTGCAACATACGTTTTTACTTTGGTCTTGAATGTAAGCTGTGCATTGGGAGCTGCAAAGCCAATGGTTGCGTTGAGAATCACTTGGTGTCGGCATGGTAGCTGGCTCAAGTTGGACGGCTGGACCTGAGAGTTTTCCGGAGTCAGCACTTGCACCTTGAGCACACATACGCAAACAATCACGCACACAGACATAAAGACACATACGGACACACACACGGACATACAATTTTACTACACTGGACTTTAAAGTCATCTTCCTGAATATCCATTAGCACAAACCTACACGATTTGTCCACGGAGCACATCAAGCAAGACCCTTCAGACTCAGCAAGCTACCAGCTCTTCACATACAACTTATTCAAAACAGCAAAATAGTAATGATGGAGTTTCATGGATCCTGAACCGAAGGGCCATTGATATCCTCTATGCAAGATGACATCACTAAGGTGTTACACAAAGCAATAATGTACAGTAAAACCATATCAAGGCGACCACTCGGATAAGGTGATCACACCTGTCCCAGAAGACCACTGCAATTAGGACCCCGGGATGTTATTTCCAGTCCAATGACCCTGGATAAGGAGACCACCTGTGCTCAGCAACCATATTTGTAAGGTCCCTTGAGCGGTCGCCCTAGACAGGTTTCACTGTACTTGCCAAACTGGACTACAACAGTACTGGACAAAGAAATCCAACCTCATGAATAAAATAGCGTTGCCGGGCGCTACGCAACCCTAACACTACACACACTGTTCTGTGCACTCGAACGTGGCGCTACTTTATTCATGAGGTTGGATTTCTCTGGCCAGCCAGCACTGTACAGGTCACTCAACACCTACCTCCGCAGCACCACCCATGGCAGATGCCACTTCCAGTATGGACACATCCTTGACAAACGGTGTGTGCCCACCTAGCTGAACTTCAGTTAGCTCGATGGTGTCTGTGAACAGTACCAGAATTTACACGCATCACCGCCACGCAAAAAAATACGCCATTCACACACGCACGCGTACACACAGTACACACGTACACACCAGCATCACCACAGCCACAATTAGTGCACGCCGTTCACACACGCGTGCACACAGTACACATCACCATCACCACACAACATACAAGCCATTCACAAAGTGAGAATAAATCATCAGTTCTCATCCAGGCTGCTGCTGCTGTGGAGAAGGCATTCTGTGCAATGCAGGACGGGACCGTTGGCATGCACTGCCAGAACACATGCGCCTGCAGAGCCTGTCGAAGCGGCATGCCAAGAGTCGAGGGAAAGTGAAGCACTGCTACTGTAGCGGACATGGAAATCCAGTCGATTGACCGGGGCCGGCACCCTCAGCGTGTACAGACCGCTGCGTGCAGTGCATAATCATGTTGATCCGATGCAACCAGCGCGCTGCATGCAGCGCATAAATGCACCGCTAAGGGACGGGTTCCACTGCGGCTCCGCTGCTCCGCGGCACTTGGCTGCATGCAGCGGAGCAGCGCGGTTCCACTGTCACTCGCCATTCGCGGTACCGCGGTCGTGGTCCACACTTTTTGATGACGTTTCACCTGCCTGCGCGCGCGCGAAATCAAACAAATCCTCGTGTTCTGGCCTGCGCAACGAATTAAAATTTGAATTTTAAAATTCTGGCGTACAAAACAATGCAAAGTACGGGAAACAGGTCGAGCCGCGACCGCGGCTCGCAGTTTTTGGTCAAGAATCGTAGCAAAAGCTCGCGGTGAGCCGCGGACTCGCTGCTCCAACTCGAGCAGCGGTCACTATGGTAATGATGACGTTTCAAGCCGCGAAAGACGAGCAGCGGAGCAGCGGAGCCGCAGTGGAACCCGGCCCTTACCCACGGCTGCATGGCCAGCGCCCTGGGGCCGCCAGACGTGTGGCCGGATTTCCATGTCCACGACAGTACAACGGATCGGGTGTATCTGCTGTAGTGCTACACAGCTCTGGTACCAGTCCAGTGTTGTAAGCATGTGCAGTGAGTCACATACATACATGTACGAGTACATGTCACACTGTCAGCCTCCCAGCCTCCCAGAGCTATGACAGGTGTGCAGTATTACTAGCATGCTCAACACTGCCAGAGTGCCTGCAGGAAATGATGAGACACGTTCTAACCAGTTCTACTGTCCTAGATACTAGATAGGTCCACTAGGATTACTACACGCATGCGTCTTCTGTGCTTGCAATGTAACAGCACACATAAAACAAGTGTCACCTGCACCTCACAATCCTTGCAAGTACCCAAGTGCCAGCCATACTACCACAGATCAAGCTACCTGGCACAGGGGTGGACCCAGGAGGGCTTCCAGGGGTTCCGCGGAACCCCCAATATCTCTTAAATGTACTGCTGGCAACCATATGCATGTCCATGTACATGTATCAGCTATTCAGTTTCGATTATACTGGAACCCCCCTGCAGAGATCGCTGGATCCGCCGCTGTGGCATACAGGTCGTGGACCAGATGGGTGTTACCCCCCCCCCCTCACTGGAAGGTAATACCTGACAGTCCCCATGGATATAAAATCAAACATTCGATAGAAGAGACAATACAGACAAACAGTACCTGGATATGTCAACATGTAGTGAAGGCAACTCAGCGGCTTACCAATGATGCTGGGCTTGAAATCATGCAGTAGAGGATTGAGAGAGCTGGTGAAGGTGTCAAATAACGACTCCGAACTACACGCCCACCTACACACACACACACGCGCGCACACACACACACACACACACACACACACACGGATACACATGGACACACCCATGCACACACACACACACACACACACACACACACACACACACACACACACACACACCATGTACCGTGTATACACCCGCAAGAGAAGCACGCAAATCTGCAAATGCACTGGATGTGCACCCACAGATTTTCTCTTATAGCAACGATAGCGAACAACATCTGAATGAGACAGATCAAGACTTGCGCCAGATAACTGTCTAATCCCCACAACTGGCGAAGCCATGTGAATCGACCACCAATGCACACCTGGTCTACACCACATGGAGTACATCGGCATAAAACGGCCAAGACAGTTACCTATACACACCCTACACTTGCTGGGGTAACCAGTATAGACAACACGCTGCTTTGATAGAAGCAGACACTAGATGCACTGGTACCTTGAAGTGAAATTGGAGTTACTTTACCAACCAGCCTCGGCTACTGAGTACTGAGAACCCAGAGCCACACAGACAGACAGACAGACAGACAGACAGACAGACAGACAGACAGACACACACACACACACACATGCACACACAGAAACACACATGATATCTTGTTGAGCAGTACGCTAATCAGTACTCAAGGCCACACTACAGAAATACTGGGCTCTCACAATCTTGAAGCACCAATGTAAAAGAGATTGAGTAGTATGACTAGTTGAATAGAAAAGACCAAAGGTTTACAAGTTGTCTGTAGTTGTGCAACATTAAAACTGTATAATGAAGATAATGGTGAGTCAGAACGCCCACCACTTAGCACAAAACAATGTATCATTTGTCAGTGCAATGTCATTGTATTGACAAATGATACTGACATTCAACAACGTGATAACCCGTGGGTTGGGAAATAAAACTTGTAAACCTTTGGTCTTCTCCATTCAATTTCAACCCTTCGGGGAAGGGTGCTTTTCTACAGCAATTTTTGGATTGGATTTTTTTAATTTATAGTGGTGACTATAACAGACAATTGCCTAATAACAATAGACCCACTCGAGGGAAAGATGCAAAAAGATAAGAATAATTAATATAATAGACTACCGGTATTGGATAGGTGATCATGTTCGCATTTTGCATAGCTGAAAGTCATAAGTACTAGCGTGAAAAAGCAAGGCACTGGGGTAACCGTTTCTTAAAACGGGCGGAGTTATCCACACAGCGAGCTAGAGGGTGTAAATCATTCCACAGCTTAGCACATTGGAAGGAAGCGCCATGACGGGCAAAGGCAGTTCTGAGCATGGGCAGCTTAAGAGTGCGTGATACAAGGCTGCGCGTTGCAAGACCATTATTTAAGCGCTCGAACATTTGACTTAATGTGACACTACAGCGGCCTTCCAAACAGCGCCACGTCAGATGCAGTAATTTCTTGCAATACATGGATGCCAAACGATCTAGACCAAGTCTCGCAAATAAAGGGCTTGATGGGCTACAAAAACCAGTATCGTACACTGAACGCAAAGCTCGCTTTAGCATTCGTTCAAGCCTACCTAACTGGGTTAAGGAAAGACCAGCAGAAAAACAATTTGATGCATATAGAAAATCTGGCAACACTAGGCACTTTACAAAGGTTTCTCGGCAAGTCAGCGGAATATTGTGTCGATTTCGGACAGAATACCAATTTTACTGGCAAGTTTGGTGACCATAGAATCAACTTGAGTCCTCCAAGAAAGATCCTAGTCCAAATGTCTTCCAAGGTACTTTGCACATGTCACTTGCTTGAGCTGCACTCCATGACAGTAGACTGCAAATTGGTGGTCAGTAATATGTGGCGTAGACAGGAAGAGCACTTGTGTCTTCCGGGCATTTAGAATTAAATTGCGGTTTGACAGCCAGGTACTAATGCCTGAGACAGCTGCAGACAGGGAATTGCTAAGCGGATTCTTCTGCGTACCGTAAATATACAATAGAATATCGTCAGCAAATTGAATAACTTTCACACAAAACTCGGAGACAATGGACTGGATCGAACGAACATAGAGTACAAAAAGCAGCGGACCAAGAACAGAGCCCTGGGGAACGCCACACATGCAGGGGAAAGGAGGGCTATAGTTCTCAGCAATGTGCATTATTTAGCGATGATTGGACAAATAGTCGGCAAACCAAACTAATGCTGAACCAGATATGCCAAGCTCAAACAAATCATTAACAATCCATTTGTTTTGGGGGCAAGTATATCCTGGTATGCAGTCGAATGTGCTGCACGATATACGCAACTCCTGGCACATCGAGCGCTAAAAAACTTGGCATGCTATACTACAGTGTAGCCTACCTATACTCGAGGCAAAATCCGTCTTGGCGCCATAGGCGCATCGTCAAAGGTGAACTAAATCTGTTCGCAGCACAATAGAGTGCAGGGTAGCCTGCCAGGTTTATACCCGTCCGGGATATACTGGAAATACGGAATATTATAAATAGTGTGCAAGGTTTCGCTACTTTCAAACCATGCACGCTCTCAGCATTGTCTGTACAAGTACAATGTAGTGTTCTTTCGGTGGGAAATACCCCAGTCACAAATATAATCCTTCACAGGCATCTCAAACGTGAAATGCATGGACTTGAATCGTTTCTGCAAACAAGTTAAAATAATGATAATCGTGCATGTACATGATCTGACTGATTGTGTATAATGTTCTAATGAGCATAAATCAAATGGCACCTACCATCGATTCAGTAGAATATTTGCCCATTCCGCAGATTCTGCTTTGCGAAATGCCCTTTGTCGGAACACTCTTGTGCTGACTTCATATACAAGATTCTCAATGAGTGCTAAATACTGCTCTCGCAGCACCAGCCACATCACAACCACCGGCACAACCAGCCATAGCAGAGACAGGCCAAACGCACCAACGACATACGCCCAGATCAGAGCTGCAAAGCCTGCCGGAATGAAATAGGGTGCACGTTTGATAACATTTTGCTTTAGACCATCCACTGCCTCTCTGTTACGACCTGGTGAACCAGGTGCAGGAGACCGATCAGCCATTTCTCACTGGGTCACACTTCTACCCAAGTCAAAATGAAAATGCCATTCTGCAGCTTCGCAACGATGAAAGGAGCCTGCTACTGATCTTCTGAATGGTAAATCAGAAGCAAAACGTTGGTTTGATGGGAACTTTCTTCTTCGCCAAAATTCTAGTAATTACTTGCAGGAACACTTGCCTCGAAGTTATTTCTACACTGCCAAAGCTCTTCACATTGGGAGCAAAGACAGGACACAGAAGTCATGAAGGCAAGAGCCACTTGAAAGCCAGTTCCATCCAGCAAAACACACCAACTATGACAGGAAACAGGCACACATGCTACACAGATCCCATACTCGCATGCCTATGCCATGGTGTATGGGCCCAGGCATGGCAGGACAGCTCAAGCGCGATGTCAAGGCCAGGGAGGACCACATGCACACGTCGTTTGTAAAATCCAGGACCAGGTGCAGCTGCGTTGCACGACTTCTTGCTCGAGAACGCGGGAGTCACGGTCGCAGCTGAGCTGAGGGTCCAGTGAGGGACGTCAACACCGACGGCGCGCGTGGGTACGCTACGGTACACTACCTAGGCAACCAACCGGCCACATACAATCATGATGGATGCGCGTCTTGTGTCGCGCTGAGCTGTGCATGTGCTAGCTGATCAGAAGAAATTAAATTTTGAGTACTTTTTTGAAGAAATCAACAATCAACGGTGCGTATCTATATCTTCAATTGTTTTCGTGTTCTTCAGTTTCCAATCTCTATAACTACACTAGGGCACGTTTGTTTTGAAGTACAAGTAGAAAACATGAGCAAGCGGCAAGCGCCCAGTGATTTCTTGAAGCTGATTATTGGTAGACCCGTTGTTGTAAAATTGAACTCCGGAGTAGATTATCGAGGTATGTAATTGTTCCATTTACATTGTTTTCGAGACCTTTCTCATTATAATTGTGAGTTACAAGCTGCAAATCATAGATAGCGTGCCACTGTAAGCGAATGGCGTTCAGTTGACCTAATGTGATGATAACCGGTAGTCCCAGGCGATAATTTATTCTGTCCATCATAATTATTATGAAAATGTGATGGTGCAGCAAAGTCTACTTGTTTTGGTAGAGAAAAATCTGAATGGTTAAATACACAAGATATACCCAAAGGAAAGTAAGGGCTAATTCGTTGTAACCGTACTAACTAACGCAGAGTTCCATGGTTCGACAAGCAATCATCAGGCAACAGTAACTGTTGTAGACGCATGTTAAATTATGAAACTCTGAGTTACAACAAATTAGCCCTTAATTTAATTCCCTTTGTGCAAATCTTGCGTACTGCGCTCTGGTCGCCACAGGCATTGAGCACTCTAACTGGTATAAGGAACACTGCCTTCGTGTGTGGTTAGATAAATAGCACTCCTGCTCGAGCCAGCATGGTCAATTCCTGGGTCTGGTGCATGCCTATTCCTGGGTCTGGTGCATGCCTATTGCGTTGGTGATCTACTGTGAGTCTACACATTTTCTGCGCTTATAAATTTCGGCCTCCCAGGGCTTAAACACATTTCGGCCGCATTTAAATTTCAGCCGGCACTTCTGCTGCTTGTATACATGGCCACATTGAACCTTGCAAAACAAAATTTTGGCCGCCACAAATTTCGGCCGAAAAAATATGCGCCGAATATTTGCTGACTTACAGCATCGTATTGCTGTTCTCCTTACTATTTCTCCAGGATTTTGTAGGCAGCTGGGTGTGCTTTGAATCTCTGTAACAAAAATTCCTAATGTTCACCATCTTATGTGCACACATGCCCTCGACTCGAGTGTCTTGGTCTGAGACTATGGTTAGGGAACGAGAGACGCCAGGCTCAAGTCCTGCCTAGTGGGAGAAGGATTTTTTTTCATCCGTGCTGTGACCCGCGGTCAATTTAATACTGTAATGCTTGTAGTATTATTGGAAACACTTGGTGACTTGGTCTGGCATCAGGAAAGAGTACAAGAATGTAGGAAATGATGTACGACACTTAGGGACCCTCTGCTCAGATTCAGGCAAAGTTCTTCAGAATCGGTCTAACACGTCTCAGGTAGAATGACTTGTCAGCAGCTCAACCAACTTCTTGCCACGAGCTGAGTACGGGCATTTTATTTCGATATTGAGATCTTTATCTACAATTCCGTCTGGTGAGCCCCCGATAAAGCCCAATTCATGGAGCCAGAATCCGGAAGCTTGAACAGTGCAGTCCCGTTCACTTGCGTACACATCACATGCAACCTGCTCATGATCAATACTCCACTGTAGAGGCCTCAATTTGGACGATGCTCCGTCACCACGCAATATAGAGTGAAGAGAGATTGCAATGGGCCACGTTTCTTCCGGGCTGCCTTTAGCACTGGTCCAAGCACGGATGCTGTGATGCGCCCCTGCCGGTATGCAGCCCAAAGAACATCACTACACTGTCCCCTGGTGTTCCTCTCTACTTCTGCGATTTCGTCTGAGTTGACAACCATCTTCAAAGTGAGATGGTCGACGAAATTACTATCGGACAAAGAAACAGACAGCATTGTACGATTGAACGGAAGGAAGGTAGAAGGATTCTTTCCCACCGGCTCCGGAGACAACAGCCACGAGGACATGGGGCAAAAACCGATCCCATCCAGCTTAGCTTTGAACAAGTGACGATGGGTGTCAGTGACGGGGAGTTTAGTGGCTCGATAACTCTTTTTTGAATATCTGTAACAACAACTCCTAGTATTCACCATCTTATGTGCACACATACCCTCGAGTGTGTTGGTCTAAGACTTCAATTCATGGAGCCAGAATCCGGAAGCTTGAACAGTGCAGTCCCGTTCACTTGCGTGCACATCACAAGCAATCTGCTCATGATCAATGCCCCGCTGTAGAGGCCTCAATTTGGACGATGCTCCATCACCACGCAACATAGTGTGAGGAGAGATTGCAATGGGCCACGTTTCTTCCAAGCTGCCTTTAGCACTGGTCCAAGCACGGATGCTGTGATGCACCCCTGCCGGTATGCAGCCCAAAGAGCATCACTACACTGTCCCCTGGTGTTCCTCTCTACTTCTGCGATTTCGTCTGAGTTGACAACCATCTTCAAAGTGAGATAGTCGACGAAATTACTATCGGACAAAGAAACAGCCGACAATATAATTATGATTTAACGTGAGGGCAGAAGGATGCTTTGCCACCGGCTCAGGAGACAACAGCCGCGAGGACATGGGGCGAAAACCGATCCCATCCAGCTTAGCTTTGAACAAGTGACGATGGGTGTCAGTGACGGGGAGTTTAGTGGCTCGATAACTCTTTTTCGCAGGTGGAAACATTTCAGAAACAGTCCTCATCTTTGGATTTCTTTTTGATCCATCTGCACTCCGGTCGTATCAGTTGAAGAAACACTCTTCTGGGCGTACAGCAATGCCACGGCCATGTGGTGATATCGCGCTTGACCCCTGGCACACTCGCACTCTCCTGACACAATTTTACGTTTCCTCAGCGTTCCTCATCTTTGGCTTTACTTTTGAACCATCTGCACTCTGGCCGTATCAGTTGAAGAAACTTTCTTCTGGGCGTACACCAAAGCCACAGCCATGTGGTGATATCGCGCTTGACCCCTGGCACACTCGCACTCTCCTGACCCAATTTTACGTTTCCCCAGCGTCATCTGCGAAGAAGTAACGCAATGCATAGCGGCATTCGCTGGTTCAGAGAGAGAGAGAGAGAGAGAGAGAGTTTCTAAAAGCATGCACCAAACAATTTCCTTCGGAGCTTGACTTGAACTCCTTTGTTGCCTTTTTGGGGGTGCGGGCCGACATTGTTCTCGTTACAACTGAACGTACATTGTACAGTTTTATGTGTGGGGGGTGTTTAGCCTATTAAAAGTAGTGAATCCAAACTCCAAAGTGTGACTACCATACGAACAACAATGCACCCGTTTATACGGTAGTTCTACAACACAATTTCAATGGACAAGTTGCTGTTGTGTTTGTTCTGTTGCTGCCCCCCCCCTCTCTCTCTTTCTCTCTCTCTCTCTCTCTCTCTCTCTCTCTCTCTCTCTCTCTCTCTCTCTCTCTCTCTCTCTCTCTCTCTCATGTGCACATTCCCTTATCTGAAGGCGTACTGGCATGTCTGGATGGCTATATGAACATTGCATTGGAGCAGACAGAGGAATACGTCAATGGACAGGTATGTGCCAGTCAGCACTGTGTCTTCACTCTTCAGTCATGCTGTTAGCTCTGTTTAATATGTACATGTACTTGTCCTTGCTACTGGTGCTGGTGGTGGTGCTGGTGGTGGTGCTGGTGGTGGTGCTGGTGGTGGTGCTGGTGGTGCTGGTGGTGGTGCTGGTGGTGCTGGTGGTGGTGGTGTGATTGATAGAATGCAACACACAGTAGTGTGTACTGTATTGCCAACGTGAAGTGACACTCCAGTCTCCGGTATCTCAGCGAGTTCAACTACCTCTACATTCAGTGCGTGGATGCAGCTAACAGGGCATAGGTTGTGAGACTTAGGACTTCACCCTCGCCGCTAGGCGCTGCATCTGCCACCATGGTATCACAGGCATGGTGGTGGCCTGGCACAAGCGAAGCTTCCTAAGCTGGTCGTGTTTCTCAATACGATTGTATAGCCGGTGGTAACGCGGACCGTGCGAACTTTACCTTTTTACATACAGTATAACGCGTTATTTTCGGTGTAACTTTAATTTCGGTAATTTCGGTAGAGAAACCAGGCAGCTAAATTTAGGTGAAACCGTTACTTTTGCTGTTCCCTTGACATGGTTTTGTGTATGTGCATGCCAATATTTGTGTTTGCATTTTCAGCTGAAAAACAAGTATGGTGATGCCTTCATCCGTGGAAACAATGGTGAGTACACTTTGCTGTATAGTATTCGACCGTTGGATGGTTCAATAGCCAATCAAGTCATTTTTCCAACGATTCCTGTTCCATCTGTCTCCTCTCTCCTGGAGAGACCCATGGGACCAGTTCTGGCAGTGACTATTGTACATTGTACAAGAGTGAGTGTGTGTGTGGGGGGGGGGGGGGGGGCGTTCACGGTCTAAGCTAGTGTGTGACGTGTTTCTGGGCAGTCTGTTGCATGTAGATGGAAACGCACTGTGCAGTTCACTGCTGCTTTGCTGCAGAGTGTGTTGAACATGATTGTACTTCGAAGTAGATGAGAACCTGATGTTAAGTGGATACATGCCATGCCAGTCCTAATCCTGGTTGATTAGCTTGGAGTTTGACTATCCAATCTCTTGGTCAGGTGTTGTCAGTGAACAGTCACCTGTACTTGTCAGTGCTAGCGGTGCAATGCAGTAGTTGTATTTGAAAAAGACTTTCATCGTTGGTTCTGTCTGATTATATTTCCTTTGTTTGTGTGTGTGTGTGTGTGTGTGTGCGTGCGTGCGCGTGCGTGTATGTGTGTTGGTGTGTGTATGTCGCTGTTTATATGTTGGTGTGTGTGTGTGTGTGTGTGTGTGTGTCGGTGTTTTTGCACAGTGTTGTACATCAGCACACAGAAGAGGAGATGAGTTGACAGTGAGCAGATATTGAGCTGCGGACGGTGACCAGCCAGATGATCATGTAGTATGTACCTAGGTAGTCAGTGCAAGTGAGCAGCACGCTACACAGTATTACTCCATGGTGCTGGTGACTGAGAGTGAGTGTGTGTGGCCGACATTGTCCAGCAGACCAGTTGCACGGTGTCTGTAAGTCCCAGGCCGTGTGCAATGGCACGGGCAGTGTGTATATCTAGTATTATCTACATTGGCCAATACTGCTTCCAGTACTCACAGTACTCGCCGCTGCTGCAACTATGCGTTCATCTCTTGTACATAGAGCTTTTCTTTCTCTTGCTGCGTGTGTGTGTGTGTGCGCGCGCGCGATAGAGTTACTGCCATTGCTGCTGCTGCTGTTCTGGTACTTGTAGTTCTAGTGCTGTTGCTCTATCATCCCAGATTTCCTAGGGTATTTCTGCTCTTCTGTTTGTACAAGCTGCGTGGCAGCTACTGCCGACTGGTGTTGGAGATTTTTTAACACAAGCATTTCCCTTGTAAATACATCTTTCTTGATACGTAAACATCCCTCAAGTGAGACTCTCTTTGACTTTGCCTTTCCAAGATTTCTAAATGACGGGTTTTCTTTCTGGAGAACGATGCACACCCATTGACATTGTTTGACCAGTCCACCAGTTGTGCTGGCATGGCAAGTTACTCAGAAGTTAGTACCGACATCTGACCCACGATTCAAAAGTATAGCCGCGTTTCCATTTCAAATACAGTACATCATGCGCATTCCAAACACCCATCCAAGGGCCGCATGAGCCTTGGCGCTGCTTTCGGCACACGGGGGTCGGGCTGCTTTGGCTACGACTGTACGTGTTCAGTCAATCTTGCTTGGCTACAACTGTATACTGGTACATGGCGACAGACAGGGGAAGGACACACTGTATGGCATGAATGGATAATTTGATACAGGATAGGATACTGGTATGGTGGTATGCATCACTAGACTAAATAGGGAGAGCATGCCATTCTGTTGCTGCAGTTTTAGAATGACAGCAAACACAGACCCGTTGCCTGAGGATAGTGAATAATGCGAAACTCGGAGTGGTGACATAGCTGCTTTCTCTCCTCTCTCTCTCTCCTCTCTCTCTCCCTCTTCTCTCTCTCTCTCTCTCTCCTCTCCTCTCTCTCTCTCTCTCTCTCTCTCTCTCTCTCTCTCTCTCTCTCTCTCTCTCTCTCTCTCTCTCTCTCTCTCTCTCTCTCTCTCTCTCTCTCTCTCTCTCTCTCTCTCTCTCTCTCTCTCTCTCTCTCTCTCTCTCTCTCTCTCTCTCTCTCTCTCTCTCTCTCTCTCTCTCTCTCTCTCTCTCTCTCTCTCTCTCTCTCTCTCTCTCTACTAACTGTGTCATGGTATGAGTATACGTACAGCTCACGCTGAGAGTATACCACTAGTGCACTCATCAGCTCAGTAATACTAATAATAAAACAGTGTACGGAAAAGAACAACGCTAGGCAGCAGAAATAAAAACCAACAACAGCTATTGTCACGGCAGTTGCATGGCGAAACACCCGTATTCAGATCGGCATTGCTGCCTTGGGGAGCAACAGTCTTATGATTACACCAGTATAATATACTTATATCACAACAGAAGTTGCGACAATCCCTAGAAGGTGATGAGCTAGGCATGCGAAGAGGGCTAAATAGACTGCAAAAACTAGGCATGCCAAGAACTGGCGAACCGAACGAAACACGTCAAAAAAAGAAAAAAAAGAGCAGGTCAAAGGTTTAACACAAACTTAATCACGCAAAAAATACTTCCAACTATCACATTATAACAGTCATATGTGTGTGAGAGGGAGGGGTATTGCGCACCAACAAAAGAAGAAGTAGACAACAACAACAACAACAACAACAACAACAACAACAGCCAGAACATAGAAGAAGAAAAAGTAACAGATCAAAAATCATTCATAGACCTAGCTAGTTTCAAATATAATTATTACCATCAAGACGGGCCACTCCACGCCCACCACACCCACAGCAGAGCATAGAAGAACTACCTACACACACTGTACATGAGCAGGACTAAGCAGAAGACATCAGAAACGTGATGGATATGCTTGCAACAGCAGCAGCAGCAGCAACGTACATGTCAGAACTCAAGCAGAACAACATAGTTGAAAAGTAACAGCAATGGCGAGCAGAGCAGAGCACGGCTGTGGACAGGTAACCGTAATGATGGTACGAGCATTGATAGGAGAGGACATGCCCCGTTGCGATCGCCTGACTGGGCGTGTCAGGCGCATAAGCAGATACACTGATAGAAGTAAGAGGTATGCCTGTTGCACATCCATACACTGATACACTACGACACTGACTGTACACTATGACTGTCAACCCGGTACATGTTCGCATGCAACCAAAACGCAAACCATCCAGCCCAACAGGCATTTGACTTACTTTGCAAACAACCAACTAGCCAGCCAGCCAGAGAGCAAGTCGGTCAAGAAGTCAGCCAGCCGGGCAACCGGAGAGCAAGTCGGTCAAGAAGTCAGCCAGCTAGTCAAGCAGCCAAGCAAATGGCCACACTAGTCGTCAAGCACACCTTCATCCAGCCAGACAAAACTGGACGATTAAAAGGAAAGCTGGGGGAGAACATAGTCAGCTGCAGCAGCAGCTGTTCCAGCACTGCTTATGGCTTATGATTGGATGAGAGCCAAGTTAGGCCTTCAAACAGGCCATCACCCGTTGTTGCACATGATGGCTGAACATACCAATTGCGATCGCGTATTTTAGTTAATCCAAGTTTTTCTTGCACTTCGTGGGGCTTCATAGCTGTGTGAAAGCAAGGACACACACACACACACACACACACACACACACACACACACACACACACACACACACACACACACACACATATATGTACTCAGGTCACATGTGTCTCCCTGGGAGACGGGAGAGACATCCAAAAGGGGCTCCAAGTCGTCAGGTAGCAGTTTGCACCAGAAAATCCGATCAGTTAGTTGTAGTATTTAAATAACCGACGAGGAGACAACAGTCGTAAAATAGCAATGAAAAATATCAATTGTGCACTCATAACCATGTATAAACAATTAAAATGAAACAATTCCAGAACGTTTTCGTGTGACCATCATCAGTGGAACATCGTCACATAGTAAGAATCACTAAAACAACCAGTTATATAGCTAGAGTAATATGAAAAGAAGCGTGAGAATGCAGCACAGCTAGCGGTTATGCATAACGCATAACCTGTTCTATGCAAGCAAAAAGAAAATGTTGTAGCACTCACACTTTTTAAATAATACACACTCACCAGTTTTTGTTCACACGCACTCACAGCTGCCACATTCATCTACAGTCAAATCTGTCGTAAGCGACCGCCCCTTGGTGCAAGAAAAAGCGGTCGCTTACGGCAGATGGTCTCTTACGGCAGATGTATGGTAAATCCGGCACACCAGGTATATGCTTCCATGTACTCAAATCGACGAGGATAATGTGATTTTTAATATCATTTTTTGGATATTCAACGACGACCATACCCGGAAAGTACGCGTATGCGACACGGCAGTAGATCGACACTGCCTGGACTTGAGAGCTACAGCACAGCCTCAGTACAGGCCAGGCGCCAGTCGATCGCACTTGCAAGACAGCGCATTTTCACACTTTGCAGTTGACAGCGCTCTGGCAAGTACAGTTTCGCACCTTACTGAACCTGGGTCGCGGTCGCTTACAGCAGATTTGAATGCAGCCACCGTGCATGAAATCGCGGTCGTTGGTCGCGCACAGCAGATGGTCGTTCTGGACAGATCAGTTTGTATGTGAAACCGTCGGTGCACGGAAAATCGGTCGCTAACGGTAGATGGTCGCCTACAGCAGAGGTCGCTAACGGCAGATTTGACTGTACTGCTACCATTCTCAGATACACTGCAAAGGTTCACACTACACGCGTTATGCATAACCGCTAGCTGTGCTGCATTCTCACGCTTCTTTTCATATTACTCTAGCTATATAACTGGTTGTTTTAGTGATTCTTACTATGTGACGATGTTCCACTGATGTTGGTCACACAAAAACGTTCTGGAATTGTTTCATTTTAATTGTTTATACATGGTTATGAGTGCACAATTGATATTTTTCATTGCTATTTCAGTTAGTTGTAGTATGGTGTTTTTGTTTTGAATGGTGCATGTACGAAGTACGGCTACATGCTGACTGTACACTATTCTATGTAGCACATAGAGACACCAGCGCTCACTGTACAAACGCATGGTGACGAACCCTCTCATGTAATGCCATGTACCAGTGCACTTGTACTACTGTAGTCTGACCAATGTAAAAATTATGTTAGTAACAAACATTATATTCATTGTTTTGAGGGAGTTGAAATGGGAAAAGTCTGAAGAAAACATTGACCATCACCACCAGGACTTGCTTATGGCCAGCGATGCTCTAAGCCGTGATGTAGTCGTAAACCCAGCAGCGACCGTTCAACATCCTCTTTAGACCTCTTCGACCTACAAAACGATCTCTCCAAAAAACTGAGATTTGACCAAATTACGATAATTTGAAAATGCCTACCCCATCGAACATTGGTGTTCGATCAATGTATGGGCTCGGCTATAAAGGGTTAAATCAGAGTGGATCTGATAAAGGCACCACTGGCGCCCTTGAACACACAAGTATTCAGTCAAGCTGTACTTTGGTACATCATTCAGTCAAGTAAGACTAGTACACACACACACACACACACACACACACACACACACACACACACACACACACACACACACACACACACGTACCATCAGGCAAGTCTTGTTTGTTGGCAAAGATGAGAATAATAGAATCTCTCATCTCCCTGTCATGGATTATGCGGTGTAGCTCTTGCTTAGCTTCTTCTATCCGGTCACGGTCGGCGCAGTCAATGACGAAGATCAAGCCTTGTGTGCCAGTGTAATAGTGACGCCATAACGGTCGAATCTTATCCTGACCACCCACATCCTGCACAGCGGATTGCAACAACAGCAGCAACAGTAACAGCAACAATAGCAGCAGCAACAACACCACCAGATTGCATATCTACTCCCAGCAGGGTATTGAGAGTACTGTACATCCAATGATACCTTCACCAGCAGCCCTAGCACCATGAGAAGTACTGCACAATGCACTGCAGCGCACAGAGATGGCCCACGAGGTCCACATATCCATATAAAAATAGGAAATAAAGTAATTGTATATGTACCATATCACTGGTCTGAGACACGGTTGAGGTCTGCAGATCACAGTCTGATGGCGATTGCAAAAGCACGGATCACGCATAACGTCTAAACCCAGATCCACGATCCACAGAGAGTTTCAGCTATGCTCGCATGCCATCTCTCTTCCAGCTACTTTCGTGTCCTGTGTCGTGATGTGAACGCCACCAGGGAGTAAAACTTTAGGCAGGACTAGGAAGAACTTACCCAGACATTGAATTTGATATTCTTATAGGTGACAGTCTCCACATTGAAGCCCACAGTAGGGATTGTAGTCACAGATTGGCCTAGTTTCAGCTTGTACAGCACAGCTGATCAACACATAGGTCAAGGATGTCAACATCTCATCACATATAAATAGAATGCACATCATCACTCAATCTGCAGACAGAGCTGTTTCATTCTTTGTGGACTCAACCGCGGAGCTCAGAAAAAAATAGGCCGAACCCGATAGCTACGAAAAACAAAATTTCCAAGGTCAGATTTAAACCAGGCCTGAACGTACCTTGCCAGAGTGCTCAACCTGACAAGTCGGTGAGCTCTGCGTAGCGCAAACAGCAAAGGCACTACCCCACATGAGAGTGCTCAACTACTATCAAGTGCACATCATTATGCAGCTGTTAATACTACACTTCATCACACTACATCCACACGCACACTAGGCCCAGACAGATCCTGCCGGCAATTCTTTTGGCAAAATATCGTGTTGTGTGCAGGAGGGTCTAGTTGGCTAAAGAGCGCAGTGTGGTGGTGGAGGTGACTCAACATTTTCTTCAATGGCCGAGAGCTCTGTCGCACACTGTAATAATATGATACGTGCGCCGTTAGCGTCAGAGCAAGAAGAGGGACAAGACGAGTCAAGGGACAATCCGGAGGACGCAATACCATACGACCAACTGTTTGTTTCTACCAGCGTTATTGTACCGTCGACACAGCTCTGACGACGATATACTGGGCGAATGCCGCGGGGCCTCCCAGCGTGTCAGCGGCAGTGGGTGATGGGCAGATAACAAGGTAGCTTGCGGACAACATCGGTGGCATGAAGCCTAGTGACTGCCAAGCGTCTTGGCGCGACGGGCGAGCAGTACAGTGTCATGCCCCAGTGGCTGCTGTGGCTGTTGACGTCGGCGGGCCGTGAGGTGCGTTCGCAGGCTGTCATGGCGCTCGGACAACTGCAATACTAGTACACAGACTCTCACTACTAGCTACATAGTACTCTGATTCTGGCACATTATTTCTGCATTGAATAGGGATTGATTTTCCGTGCCGAAATTCCGACGCTGCATGCATGTCCAATGCGCGTCAACAGTACTTCACACTTTCCTTTTCCCGCGTTATCACCTCAGCTATGCCAGTTTTGTATGTGGAAACCCCCTATATAATAGCAGTTTGGTCTATATTTTTAATCATTCAACATCTACCTTCACTGATGAGCTATGTATTAGCGAAACAGCTGTCTGAAGGAGTTTATCAATGTCGTCTACGGAAGTGTCCTCGCAATGGTGATGGTTGTGTGCAGGAGGGTCTAGTCGGCTACAGAGCGCAGTGTGGTGGTGGAGGTGACTCAAAATATCGAAGAATTGAAAGAGCGGAAATTGCCGGCAAAATTGGAGCAAAATATCGAGATGTTGGGTAAAATCGATGCCCGATACTTGGATTTCCTTGTTTTTAGCCCGTTCAGCAGTATACACTGCTCAGGACGAGATCATGTGAACGAAATATCACTGGGATTCACTGTGGATCGACATGATTTCGGAAGAACTAAGGGACACGTGCGTGGAAACCCGTGTTGATAAACCGACCCTGCGATTTTTATGAAACGTTGTACGGGATTGTACGGGGAGTGGATAAAATACACGTTTTTCCGGAGCAAAATGGAGCAAAATATCGAGTTTCTTGTGCGACACTCGGCAAAACATCGAAGATTTCGCAGCAACATTTTGCGGCAAAATATCGAGGCAAGCGGAGCAGAATCTGTCTGGGCCTAACACACACGCACACACACACACATGTACGCGCACGCACACACATGTACGCGCACGCGCACACACGCAGAGCAACTATGCTGGTAAGGCAGGATACTAGTCTTTCCGGCAGCATCAAGACCAAGCATGAGTATCCTCATCTCCTTGTTGCCAAATATTTTCGACAGCATTTTCCCCATGGCGACTGCATAGAAAAACAAATAGCAAAGAGGGAGGCAGGACAACAATGAAGGTCAACTGATTTGTTGATTTCTATTTTGAAGTACAAGCTGTAACGCTGGTCATGTATGTTGAAGCACGGGAAGATACATTTCATAAGTTTGAGGGAGTTGCAAACGAGGACAATCTGAAGAAAAAATTGACTCACCACATTCAATGTAACGGTCAGGGAATTCGAATTTGAAGTTCTCCCAATCCTTTCCAAATTGTCACCACATTGCTAGAGTCCCCACTACCTACCCACTGCTATACCTAAAATAGAACTGGATGACGTCAAAAGTGCCAACGTGGCCATCCTAATACAGCACGCATGTGAACAAACTAAGGGCAGGTGAATGGTGATAAGCGAGAACAAAAATACGAGAACACCGGATCGATGAAAGGACTGAGACCTGAGAAAATATTCCCATAACTGTATCAGCAGCAAAAGAGACTTTGGTCTTACCAGCTGCGGCTCATTCGCCGCTCGTTGGCTTCTCAATTCTCAGAGAATCTCAATCTGAACCTGCTATCCCAGGACTGGCAACCTAAACTAGATTGTCTAGATTTCAGGGGGCGGAATTACAGTAACAATTCACAGATGGAGGGCAAAGGGTTGTCGCTACATGAAACTCCTCCCAACACCATTCGAAGTGAATTACAGTGCCGAAAAAGTGCTCAACATCGGTAGGACAAAAGCTAAAAGTCCCATGGAAAGGAGGATGAAATTGAAGACACAGCGAGCTCACGATCGCACAAATATTTGAAGTCAAGTGCCATTTCTTGTTCTGCATGCAGACAAGTGCATAGTGCAGATACTGTGCATTACTGCAGCGCACATGCAGTAACTGCCCCCTGACGTCATCCAGCGCTAGCAGCCGGATTTGTGTATGCATGACTCATCCATCGTTTCGACCATCGGCATCGTTTTTGAAGAGTCAAGACGAGACAGACTCGAGCTCCCAGGGCCTACTTGTATGATTGTGTTATTGTTGTAGGGAGGAGCTCCGGAGCTTATTTTGCTCTTGGTCTCGTATCCAATGTATCAGTTCTTTTAGTTTTACTGTACGATCGTACTCTGCCTCTGACTCACTAAGATGAGCTCAGGCATCACCGTACATACAGCGACAGAATAATTTAGAAAAGCGATCCTGTCAGCTTTTCTATTATTGTGTTGTTATTGCGCTGTCCTTTTTGCAAAGATACCTATCATGCTTTTCTTTCATTTGAAGATAGCACTAGTGAGTAGTAATGCACATGGTTACAGTACATGTACTAGTGTCATGTATTTGTCAGAGAGCACACATCCACTGGTTGACTTGTTGCAGGGCCGTCCAGACTGAGTAATATTTGGAGAGGTAAGGTCATGGACGTCTGATTTGGGCTCTCTCCAGCAGTTACACACAGCATAGCATAGATTTGTACATGACGTGTATATAATAATTATTATTATTTATATATTATATTAAACTCGGATGTTGAGCCATAAATTATTATAATAATAAGTTATAAACACTGGTGAGCTCAACTCACCAATACAATATGGCAATAGCAAGAGTACATATTAACCAGTAATACCAGTTACCATTGGGTACTAACCAGTTATGTACTCTTGCCAATAGTGAACATACTGTGCGGGATGCCGCACTGAGTTACGATGATACGACAATACTTACTAGTGCATGTGTCAGCTGACCTATGTAACCATGGTCACCAGCGTATATCGTTGCCGGGACAGTGTTGACTATAGTACTGCTGGGCGCCGAGGAACATACAGGCTAGAATTTCACCGAGCACAGCATACCTCAATGTATACACGGTGACTCAATTGTGCATCGACTGCAGTGCATGAAAATAAGAACGGCCCAGGTTACGAGGCTGACCCCCCTCCCAGTTCTTCAGGACCCGACAGTACACATACTGTAGGCATCGTGCTCACAGCGCCATGTTGCAGTGAACACTGGTTTCAGTGACCTGCACTCATGCCGCCGAGGACTGACCAAAGGTTTGAAACCACTTTGACAATTGCACATTCCACGCTAAAGCGGAGATGTACTCCTCATTTAGGCAGGCGGTTGCTGAAATCAGAATGATATTGATAGTCTCTTTGGCTAGGTTCTACCTGTAATGACACTGGTCACTATGATATTACCCACACGGCGACGTTGCTCCCAATCACTAACCGAATCATCAGATTTCCTAGCTCCAACTTCGAATCATCCGGGACTCCTAAATTTATCAAAATGCTTCCTCATTTACTGATACATGATTGTACAGTACTACTACTAGTGTATATCTTTTGTGCACTCAACGAGAGCTTGGTTGGCCTCCTAGAGAACAGTTTAGGCTGATGAGACGACTTGGCCCTCCTGGAGTTTTCCTAACTAAAGGCATTGTGAGTCTTGTGACATTATCAAGATTTCCAACTCTTGCCCAGCTGCTACCATGCCGATAGAGATCCAGAAGAAATCTTGGTAGCAAACACACACGCATACATACACACACACACACACACACGCACGCACATGAGCAATACAGGAGATTCCTCTCAGGCAGACATGCCCGTTTTTGGTGTGGGAACACTTTGAAAGATGGGGTAAATACTAAAATTTAATATTAAATGGTCATACTAAGTCCTCAACGCACATGTGGCAAGTACGTCACAATACTCTAATTGGGTGTAAGAACAACAGGAGGGAGGGAACATAGACAGGCAATGGAAAACGTAGCATGAATATTCAATGCAAAACGGAGAGCCGTGTAAGCGCATTACATCATAGTTCATGGCTGAGTGAGCACATTACGCCACAGCGAGAATAATATGGCACCGACTACGCCTGAAGCAGGTGACAGTGTTTCTATGTTTTTTTTAGTATGTGCATTATGCCATTACGGTCATGAGCCTGCTGATCACAGAGTCTAGCCGACTCAGTCTTCTGTCAACACGCTAGAAGCACTTCTCAAGTTATACATTTATGAAGCAACAACCCAGGCAGTGGCAGTGTGTCTAGTCGCTGCCTAAGTGGGTGCCATGATCACTATGGTAACCATGGTAAGCATCATGTACATTATTTAAGAACTTGATACAAGCAAAGCAGCAGTGTAGATAACAAGATAGGATGGTAGCCTAGGACAAGGGAGATTCCCAACAAACCCTCAATCAACTGGTGGTGCCCGTGCGGATGAAGAGTGCAATAGGTTGCACGGTAACTCGAGGCACACTTTCTAATGAAAACCTGGCAGGCTTACCAGATGAAAATCTGAATCAAACTCCAGCAAATGCATTGATTCCGAGCCTGCGTGTATATGACTATGTACATAGTAGAATGATGTTAGGTGTGTGTGAGTGAGTGTGAGTGTGTGGTACATGGTGGATGCTCATGCTGGTGACATAGTGAATGCGCAGGCAGCAGCATCACACCACATCCGCACCACCTTCTTTTGCCTCTGTCTGTGGCATGCTGAAATCACACACACGCACCTCACACCTTCATTGCCTTTGCCTGTAGCATGCAGAGATCACACACACACGCACCTCACACATTCATTGCGCCCGTCTGTGCCATGCCGAGGAAATCGTGCGCAAACGTGCCCGCCGTGACCTGCTCTGGAATGCGCTGAACGACATCAGCAACATCCAGCCGCACTCCTTCTGGCTTCATTGACGTATGGAATGCATCTCCAGGCTTATAGTCATCCGGCAGATGTAGGTATTCTTCAGGATGACAGAACAGATAGCACATGAGCTCAGCTTGCTCTGCTTCACTTAGATGCTCACCTACAGTACGCACGGATGAGCACACGAGTGTGGTGCCACCACCGCAATACGAACAAGTGCAATATTGGCACGTGCACACACGCACACACACACACACGCACACACACACACACACACGCACGTACACAAACACACACATACACACACACACACACCAATATTATAATTACATACACCTATGCACTGCATAAACTGGCGCACTGAGTTATCTCGTGATGCAGGTCACAGGTTGTCTTTGAAAACGAGTTATCTCGTAATACGGGTGGAAGGGGGTTAATTCATATGCTGCTAGTTGATCAAAAACATTAAAAAGTCAATTGTATAATTGGTTTTAAAACCGTTTGTTGGAGGGATTGATTATTGAAATCAGTAGAAGTGTTTCAGCCCTGCAGCTTGCTGCCTCCACGTTCTGCACTCACTCCAACAAAAGGATGAGAAACTGAGGATGGACTTACCATTCTCTTTCAGGACTTTCAGCAAAGACAGCGTGTTCAGAGTCGAGTCACTTTCCGATTCATTCCCGTCAACGCCGCCATGACGAACGTCGCTCGGATCGTCACTATCGGCTGTTGAGGCATTTTCAGATGCAATCTTCTTGCCGATTCTCTTGAACGCAACCTTCAACCGTTCAAAGGAGTTGCCCACAACCGGCAAGTGGTTAATGTACACTGCAGATGAGTAGAGCATTGCGCAAGAAAGAGCAGAGACATAGAGACGCGGAGTAAAACACAATAAGTTAGCAAAAGGCCACCAGTTACACCGGCCATTTAGGCCACATCCATACTTGGTTGCTTGCATGCACACGCAAATCCACCCATACAAACACACAAATACACATGCACACCCAACCAACCAACCAACCACCACCACCACCACCACAACCACCACCACCAGGTGCAGCAGCAGTAGACGCAGCAGCAGCAGCAACACCAATAGCAGAAGCAACTTTGACTTACATTTAATCAAATCTTCCATGTCTACAGTGTCCTTGTAGACGAGGCAAGTCTTATTATAGAATTTGTACTTGATCTCATTCAGCATATTGGCAATCTGTGGAGACAAGGAATATGCCAGCACCAGATTGAACTGATGATATTAGTCTTACAAATTAAATGTAGCTCAATACCAACATTTATACCGTAACTTAAGTGGTTCGAAGAGTGATCTGTGTGTTCTCGTCCTCAGTATCCTTCTACAGATGATGTTCGGAGCAAGAGCAAGAAATGACCATTTATTGGTGGGGTATTTGGGCACCATCTTCCAGTATGCCGCTCTGAAAAAGATTGGATTTTTCTATTTTGCGGAAATCATTTATAATGTAGGTGGCAATGACAATGAGAGCGGCAGTGACGGTGACAGTGACAGTATATCGTACCTGATACTCGGTGGGGTAGAAGCCCATTGCTCTCAGAATACCTGGCACCTCGGAACTTGGAATATTCCTTCCAATCTTCAACGTCTCTTGAGTATCTAGTCTTTGTCTGTAAGACATGTTGTAAAACAGAAAAAAAGCAGAGATGATACCCAGCTAGTGGCATGTACCTATTTCTATAGTTCGTGTCGCAAACACAATTGTACATTTTCTGTAACAGAAGCAACAGCACCATTGCTGTCACCACCACCACCACCACCAGCAATAGTGACAGCAGCAATAACAACAGGAGCCTAGCAGCAGCAACAGTTGTAACAGCAATAGCAACAGCAGCCAAACTGGTAGCGCCAGCAGCAGCAACAGCAGCAAAAGTGGTAGCAACCGCTGCAGCAGTAGAAGCAGCAGCAAAAGTGGTACCGTTAGCAGCAACAGTTGTAGCAGCAGCAGCAGCAACATGGTAGTGTCAGCAGCTGCAGCAAAAGAGGTAGCAGCAGCAGCATTGACAGGCACCAGCAACAATTGGCAGGTTGGACCCTCATTGAACATGTTCGGTGAGAAATGAGCCAGCGTGGCAAAACACTACAACACGGCGTAAACTGTAACGTAAGTTAGTGAAGTTGATACTCACACTTTGATCTGCGTCAAATAGAAGTAGTCTGATAGTCGCTCAAACCATGCAGTGTCTCGAGACTGGCCAGGCAGGCAGTGGTAGAATGGTGTTATGCCCTCACCACCGGCTTCGACAATCTTGTCAATCACCCTGCAGCGATAAATAATTGAACAGTTCGCGTAGTAGAATATTGCTTGAAAAACAAAACTCAGACTTGAACATCTGTTCCGCTTCTGCAGTGATTAGTTAGGTAAGACACCGTTTTGGCAATCACCCTGCAGTGATTAGTTGTAAAATGAAATGTAACATGCTGCCAATAGGCATGAACTTTACATTATAGACATGTCACCATACAAACCTCAATGTTCTGCAGTATGCACTAGCAGTGAAGAGTGGTACAATGCCTGAGACACTACGTACTGTCTGTTGACCTTGTACATGACAATGCTTGCATCTTCTCCACCGGCTGTGAAGATATACTCGCCATCATAACTAGCTGCCATTGACTTGATCTGAAAGAGTCAGCGGCATACACCAGACACCAGCAGCACCAGCACCACCAGCAGCAGAACCAGCAGAACCAACAACCATCAAAGACAACATTTCCTAAACAAACATACAATGTCATGCAGCAGCAGCAGCAGCAGCAGCAGCATCTACAGTGCTGCTCAATGAAATCCAGTCGAGTCACTCAAGTATGCGCCGGGCGCTGCGCATCCCTCAGACTGCAAACACTGGGCTGTGAAATGGTGCAAAGCGCAAACTTGACTCACACGACCAGATTTCACTGAGCAGCACTGTACACTGTACTGACACTTTAAGAGTTTCACTGGCACATTGATCATCCTTTAGGGTCATCCCGTTCCTCCGCACGTGGACTACTCAGTTCGACTGGGTCTCGCATAAACCGCAATTTTCCTTTGGAGACTCCTCCTGTGTTATCTCATGCACATCTTGCAGGGGTGTCACACACGGCATGACCAGTAAGACCATGGTCGTACCACTTTTCGTCCAGGAGCCGGGTCCGACCAATTCATTTAAAAAACTTGAAAAAAGCAATAAAAGAGACCTACAATGTGCCCTGTTGGCCGAAAAGTCTGAATATTTTCCCCGACTCGCACCCCCCCCCCCCCCCGACTCGCACCCCCCCGACTCGCACCCCCCCCCCCCCCATTGTTCCACTTCCCATTGCCCTGTGATGCCCCTGTTATATCCAACGCACGTACCTCTCACTTGACCACCATGACAGGATATCACCGTTGAAAAATCTGATATCTCTGTGACCCCCCACCCCCAGGTGGCTGACTCTATGTTCACAAAATCGGACTGAGTCTGTGCCAACTCCATGATGATGACATTGGAGCATTTCTAATGGTGTACGGTTATTGGTCTATAAATATGTGTGTGTGTGGGGAGGGGGGGGGGGGGGGTTGGGTTGAGGCATGGTGAATACTGCTGGACTTACCCCTCCCGGATGGCCAATGCACGGAGCATACTTGAACGGGTTTCCATCAATGGGGCATTGCACTAGACCAAGCTGGAATCAAAACAAGCATACAGACATACGCACACACGCACATGCGAACACACACACACACACATGCATAGACACACATACATACATACATGCACGCATACACACGATTGTACAGTCAAACCTAAGCACCAGTCTACCCACCTCATCATGGGCTGCACACTAGTGCATACAGCATGTACCCAGCTCATCATGGGCTGCACACTAGTGCATACAGCATGTACCCACCTCATCATGGGCTGCACACTAGTGCATACTGCATACAGCATGTACCCACCTCATCATGGGCTGCATACTAGTGCATACAGCATGAACTAGTCTACTTACCTCATCATGTGCTGCATAGAGCATGTAGGCACGCTCTTGTCGACCTTCCTCAGAGAATGTCTCATGATCTGTAAGTGGTAGCAGCATCATCCTGCTCAACACAAACATGCATACACACATGCATACACACATGCATACACACGATCACTTCACGGGAGCAATAGGTTCACGAGAGCGCTGGCATCACGGGAGAGCTGGGTTCACGGGAGCACCGGGCTCACGGGAGCGCTGGGTTCACGGGAGCGCTGGATTCACGAGAGCACCGGGTTCACGGGAGGACAGGGTTCACGGGAGCGCTGGGTTCACGGGAGGGCTGGGTTCACGGGAGCGCTGGATTCACGACAGCACCGGGTTCACGGGAGCACCGGGTTCACGGGAGTGCTAGGTTCATGGGAGCGCTGAATTCACGGGGGCAATGGGTTCACGGGAGCAATGGGTTCACGGGAGCAATGGGTTCACGGGAGCAATGGGTTCACGGGAGCGCTGGATTCACGAGAGCACCGAGTTCACGGGAGGACAGGGTTCACGGGAGCGCTGGGTTCACGGGAGCGCTGGGTTCACGAGAGGCTGGGTTCACGGGAGCACCGGTTCACGGGAGCACCGGGTTCACGGGAGCACCGGGTTCACGGGAGGACAGGGTTCACGGGAGCGCTGGGTTCACGGGAGCACCGGGTTCACGGGAGCACCGGGTTCACGGGAGGACAGGGTTCACGGGAGGACAGGGTTCACAGGAGGGCAGGGTTCACGGGAGGACAGGGTTCACGGGAGCGCTGGGTTCACGGGAGCACCGGGTTCACGGGAGCACCGGGTTCACGGGAGGACGGGGTTTACAGGAGCACCGGGTTCACGGGAGTGCTAGGTTCATGGGAGTGCTAGGTTCATGGGAGCGCTGAGTTCACGGGAGCAATGGGTTCACGGGAGCGCTTGGTTCACGGGAGGACCGGGCTCACGGGAGCACTGAGGCAAAAAGTGGTACTATCAATGCGCCAGTGACCGTGGGATGTCCGGTGTCCCTGTTTTGTGCACTGTAAGGTCCTAGGGAGCAAATAGTAATTAAGTGATCTGGTGACTGGTTTAGTGGAAACATCTAACTAACAGATCTTCAACACGACCCTCTCATAGCTAACTTGTCTATTGGTTGACGGCTGCTCTTGGCTTGGAAGGTAGATCTGGTCATCTTCGTGCCAAGACTGTAGAGTTTGATCTTGTACTATTGCACACATACGAGTGCACACATACGTACATATACACACACGCACATACACACGCACGCACGCACACACACACACACACGCATACACACACGCGCGCACACGCGCGCGCCCACACACACACACACACACACGCACACAAATTTGTACCGGTATACAGAAACAAAGCTACATAATTTTAGCTTTAACGTATAGCCTTCTGTGAACGCCTGCCACCCTGTACAACATGTACTTGGCCTGTATACACTGAGCTCATGTATTGTCACTAGTATGCGGAACGCGATAAACTCGGAAAGGCATTTCACACCAGGACCTCCGGGTAGTACGACATAGGAAGTTTGTGGGCAGTACAGTCAACCTTGTACAAATTCAACCTAGATGACAAGTTTCATACACCTTTACAATGACCTGGGAATGACAAAGAAATGATAAGCCTTGCAAAAAAATGGTACAAACGGTGGCTGGGATGGTCATTGACTGTGGTATTGGGGCGTTTGCAGCGGGCATTATGGTACTAGTATTTGCTCACGGCCAGAAACTGGTCATGTGGGTCAGTTCCAGAGGGACAGACAGAGAGAGAGAGGAGAAAGGAAACTGCACTAATCCGGGGAGGACAACTGGTAAGAAAGCATTGACGACTTCAGGGTATCCATTTCAGGATAACTGCATTTACACTCCCCCCCCCCCCCACCATCACGGGGCATCGAACTATTGCCATATTTAGAAGAAAAATTCTAACTAGTCCAATATACCTCATTGTTTGCTGTCATCATGAATAGCTGATCAGAGAAGTATGGATACCATGCAAGACAGGTTGGAATAGCCTCTTGCTCAATCCGATCACGAGTTCGGATCTTGAGATCATCTTCCACACTTGCAGCCAAGTCATACTCCACCTATAACCGCACAGTACAGTACCATGGAAAGATTATGCAAACGCCGCATCTTAGAGCACAGTATATTTGTTAAACCATAGAAGTATTTAGCAGCACCAGCAGCAGTAGCACAACAGCGAGTAGCACAAGCAGCAGCAGTAGCACAACAGCGAGTAGCACAAGCAGCAGCAGCAGCACAAGCAGCAGCTGCAGCACTGAGCAACAGCAGCAACAGCAGGAGCAGCTGCAGCACTGAGCACCAGCAGCAGCAGCACCACCACCAGCAGCAGCAGCAGCACCAGCAAAGGGGGCGGCCGCAGCTTGAAAACACTAAATCGCTACGAGCTCATACATTGTAACGGTTACTAACTTTACCTACTGAAAAGCTAAACATCACTCAGTCTTGCATTTACTAACCAGCATTCTGTCATTTCCAACAGAGAAAAGTCGCGGCTCACCATCCTCTTCATTCACACCAAACAGAATGCCTGTGCAGTACAATACGAGAGCAGTTAAACAGCACTGATGTATAGACACATACACGCATGTGTGTACACGTGGACAGGCACATGTACACACGCATTCACGTACGCACGCATGCACACACGCAGCCTCCCCCCCCCACACACACACATGCAGCGTAGCTAATAACAGCACCGTAGGCTGACACACGCACACTGCTACCCGGGCCTTGTGAGGTGTTTGTTGTGCTGCAAACAAACCATCACTCTAAATCACTCTAAATCACTCTAAATTGTGCACTCCTTATGATGTTTTGGGGTGATGCAGCATTTCCCTGAACCAGAATCATTGGAACTTAGAAGTTGCGACTTCGGCGGTAATAGTCATGTCAAGTCATGTCAAGTTCGGCAAGAAGCGTGTGCTCCTCGTTGGAGCAACTAACTTCATGACTATTACCGCCGAAGTCGCAACTTCAAAGTTCGTATTGTTGTCCCTCACGCGGACGTGCGACTAGTTGTTGGAGGTGACAGCGTTGTGAATAGCTATACTGGCTCTCGACGTCTGTTTAGCACAACTCCATGAGCGACTCTGACTCACGCTGCTACCTGGGGCTTCACGAGGTGTTTGTCGCGCTGGAAACAAAGCGTCTCTGTAAGTTTGTATCCCTGGTGATGGTTTGGCCTGGAGAGCAGTATATAAGTGGTGCTTTTCAGGCACAATCTTCCTCAGCCTACTCAAGCTCAACTGATGAGGGGTGAATTCCCCGAAACACTGTGTATTGAGCAGGGAGTGGTGCTTTCTTTCAGGTTTGCCGAGCGGAAGGTGCGACATGCTCCTGGTGTGCTCCGGATGGCAGTCGTGAGTCAGTCAAGTGTCAAGTTCGGCAAGAAGTGTGTGCTCCTCGTTGGAGCAACTAACTTCATGACTATTACCGCCGAAGTCGCAACTTCTAAGTTCGTATTGTTGTCCCTCACGCGGACGTGCGACTAGTTGTTGGAGGTGACAGCGTTGTGAATAGCTATACTGGCTCTCGACGTCTGTTTAGCACAACTCCATGAGCGACTCTGACCCACGCTGCTACCTGGGGCTTCACGAGGTGTTTGTCGCGCTGGAAACAAAGCGTCTCTGTAAGTTTGTATCCCTGGTGATGGTTTGGCCTGGAGAGCAGTATATAAGTGGTGCTTTTCAGGCACAATCTTCCTCAGCCTACTCAAGCTCAACTGATGAGGGGTGAATTCCCCGAAACACTGTGTATTGAGCAGGGAGTGGTGCTTTCTTTCAGGTTTGCCGAGCGGAAGGTGCGACGTGCTCCTGGTGTGCTCCGGATGGCAGTCGTGAGTCAGTCAAGTGTCAAGTTCGGCAAGAAGCGTGTGCTCCTCGTTGGAGCAACTAACTTCATGACTATTACCGCCGAAGTCGCAACTTCTAAGTTCGTATTGTTGTCCCTCACGCGGACGTGCGACTAGTTGTTGGAGGTGACAGCGTTGTGAATAGCTATACTGGCTCTCGACGTCTGTTTAGCACAACTCCATGAGCGACTCTGACTCACGCTGCTACCTGGGGCTTCACGAGGTGTTTGTCGCGCTGGAAACAAAGCGTCTCTGTAAGTTTGTATCCCTGGTGATGGTTTGGCCTGGAGAGCAGTATATAAGTGGTGCTTTTCAGGCACAATCTTCCTCAGCCTACTCAAGCTCAACTGATGAGGGGTGAATTCCCCGAAACACTGTGTATTGAGCAGGGAGTGGTGCTTTCTTTCAGGTTTGCCGAGCGGAAGGTGCGACGTGCTCCTGGTGTGCTCCGGATGGCAGTCGTGAGTCAGTCAAGTGTCAAGTTCGGCAAGAAGCGTGTGCTCCTCGTTGGAGCAACTAACTTCATGACTATTACCGCCGAAGTCGCAACTTCTAAGTTCGTATTGTTGTCCCTCACGCGGACGTGCGACTAGTTGTTGGAGGTGACAACGTTGTGAATAGCTATACTGGCTCTCGACGTCTGTTTAGCACAACTCCATGAGCGACTCTGACTCACGCTGCTACCTGGGGCTTCACGAGGTGTTTGTCGCGCTGGAAACAAAGCGTCTCTGTAAGTTTGTATCCCTGGTGATGGTTTGGCCTGGAGAGCAGTATATAAGTGGTGCTTTTCAGGCACAATCTTCCTCAGCCTACTCAAGCTCAACTGATGAGGGGTGAATTCCCCGAAACACTGTGTATTGAGCAGGGAGTGGTGCTTTCTTTCAGGTTTGCCGAGCGGAAGGTGCGACGTGCTCCTGGTGTGCTCCGGATGGCAGTCGTGAGTCAGTCAAGTGTCAAGTTCGGCAAGAAGCGTGTGCTCCTCGTTGGAGCAACTAACTTCAGAATCATTGGGAACAGTCAACTCTTGTTTTGTTACAGCCGAAATTGCTACTCGTATTTTCACGTTTTGGTCATGTGCAACCGTAAATTATAACAATGGAGGTGCAAAACCGTGTTGGGTATGCAAGGCTTGACATGAATGTGTTGGGTATGCAAGGTTTGAGTACATCTGCCGAAGGACAATTGATCAGAAACCCCTAGACTGCATACAATATACCCTGCCCTAACCGGACACCCTTGGCGCAGCAAAAACTGTCCTGATGCGACAGGATTCCACTTGACCCAGGGATGCAAGTTCAACCGACAGCACTTTGGTGCATGAAAATTTGTCCGGTCAGTAGAGGATTTCACTTGGCACAGGGTCCAGCAAACACAGGTTAATGGGACGAGGTAGTAGCACGGTGGGTCAATGGGTCAGTGGGCCAATGTGTCAATGGGTCAGTGGGTCAAGGATCAGCGGGTCAATGGATCAGTTATTCAATGGGTCAGTGGGTCAATGGGACAGTGGGTCAATGGGTCAGTGGGTCAGTGGTTCAATGGGTCAGTGGGTCAATAGGTCAGTGGGTCAATGGGTCAATGGGTCAGTGGGTCAATGGGTCAGTGGGTCAATGGGTCAATGGGTCAGTGGGTCAATGGGTCAGTGGGTCAATGGGTCAATGGGTCAGTGGGTCAGTGGGTCAATGGGTCAATGGGTCAGTGGGTCAGTGGGTCAATGGGTCAGTGGGACAATGGGTCAGTGAGTCAATGGATCAGTGGGTCAATGGGTCAATAGGTCAGTGGGTGAATTGGTTTGTGGGTCAATGGGTCAGTGGGTCAATGGGTCAATGGGTCAGTGGGTCAATGGGTCAGTGGGTCAGTGGGTCAGTGGGCCAATGGGTCAGTGCGTCAATGGGTCAATGGGTCAATGGGTCAGTGGGACAATGGGTCAGTGGGTCAGTGAGTCAACGGATCAGTGGGTCAATGGGTCAATGGGTCAGTGGGTCAATGGGTTAGTGGGTCAGTGGGCTAATGGGTCAGTGCGTCAATGGGGCAGTGGGTCAATGGGTCAATGGGTCAGTGGTTCAATGGGTCAATGGGTCAATAGGCCATTATGCATTTTTTTGTCTTTGCCAGTGAGCTGTGATCATTGTAAAAAATAAAAAATAAAATAAAAATAGGTCAGTGGGTCAATGGGTCAATGGGTCAATGGGTCAGTGGGTCAATGGGTCAGTGGGCTAATGGGTCAGTACGTCAATGGGTCAGTGGGTCAATAGGTCAATGGGTCAGTGCGTCAATGGGTCAGTGGGTCAATGGGTCAGTGGGTCAGTGGGTTGATGGGTCAATGGGTCAGTGGGTCACTGGGTTGATGGGTCAGTGGGTCAGTGCGTCAATGGGTCAGTGGGTCAATGGGACAGCGGGTCAATGGGTCAGTGGGTCAGTGGTTCAATGGGTCAGTGGGTCAATAGGTCAGTGGGTCAATGGGTCAATGGGTCAGTGGGTCAATGGGTCAGTGGGTCAATGGGTCAATGGGTCAGTGGGTCAATGGGTCAGTGGGTCAATGGGTCAATGGGTCAGTGGGTCAGTGGGTCAGTGGGTCAATGGGTCAATGGGTCAGTGGGTCAATGGGTCAGTGGGTCAATGGGTCAATGGGTCAGTGGGACAATGGGTCAGTGGGTCAGTGAGTCAATGGATCAGTGGGTCAATGGGTCAATAGGTCAGTGGGTGAATGGGTTTGTGGGTCAATGGGTCAGTGGGTCAATGGGTCAATGGGTCAATGGGTCAATGGGTCAGTGGGTCAATGGGTCAGTGGGTCAGTGGGTCAGTGGGCCAATGGGTCAGTGCGTCAATGGGTCAATGGGTCAGTGGGACAATGGGTCAGTGGGTCAGTGAGTCAACGGATCAGTGGGTCAATGGGTCAATGGGTCAATGGGTCAGTGGGTCAATAGGTCAATGGGTCAGTGGGTCAATGGGTTAGTGGGTCAGTGGGCTAATGGGTCAGTGCGTCAATGGGTCAATGGGGCAGTGGGTCAATGGGTCAATGGGTCAGTGGTTCAATGGGTCAATGGGTCAATAGGCCATTATGCAATTTTTTGTCTTTGCCAGTGAGCTGTGATCATTGTAAAAAATAAAAAATAAAATAAAAACAGGTCAGTGGGTCAATGGGTCAATGGGTCAATGGGTCAGTGGGTCAATGGGTCAGTGGGTCAGTGGGTTGATGGGTCAATGGGTCAGTGGGTCACTGGGTTGATGGGTCAATGGGTCAGTGGGTCAATGGGTTGATGGGTCAATGGGTCACTGGGTTGATGGGTCAATGGGTCAGTGGGTCAATGGGTCAGTGGGTCAATGGGTCAGTGGGTCACTGGGTTGATGGGGTGATGGATTAGTGGGGAAATGCTGTAATCCACCAAGGGACAGTCAAAAGACAGATTAGACTGTAAGTCATTATGTGAAACTGTATCACTGTTTAACTATCCAACCGTACAACTATGCCACTGCATGACACTGTGTAGGGTAGCAATACACTGCATGACACTGTGTGGGACTGTAATACACTGCATTGCACTGTGTAGGACTGTAATACACTGCATGACACTGTGTGGGACCGCGATACACTGCACGAAACTGTGAGTAAAGTGAAGGTACATATTTTACACCTTACCTTGTATGCTCTTGCTGTGAGATCTGTACTTTCCAAGATAATTCCAACTTGGCCGTTCGCTATCCTTTCTCGAATCTGTTCTATAACTGCCTCGACTGCCTTCAGACAGTGCTGCTGCTGATGGCGTCGATGGCGGACTAGCGTCTAGAGAATCCGTGAAGTCTGCAACGTTTGTCTCCATTGGACGGTGGTACACGGTGACACAGCGGGATTGATCCTGTTTTGGTGGCAGGACAGAAAACACAAGCGGCATGCCGATGGCAAAGAGCATTTCCAGCACGGCTAGAGGTAGTGCACTCCTTTGCTATGCTCACTGAACGTGTCGCCTACCTCCCCCCCCCCCCCCACACACACACGATCACCTAATCGCAAGCGGTACTCACCGATGTGGCGAGGTATTGTCCATCGTGTGAGAAGGCAAGATGGCAGATAGCAGCTCCTTGGGACATTGTGAAGACAGGTGATTGTGGTGTGAGATCCAAGGCTGCAAAGACCTGAACTTGACCATCCATTGTACCCACACCTAAACAACAGCACCACACCGTGAGAGCAAGCCACAGCAGCCAGGCATGTGCACACACCGTGAGAGCAAGCCACAGCAGCCAGGCATGTGCACACACCGTGAGAGCAAGCCACAGCAGCCAGGCATGTGCACACACCGTGAGAGCAAGTCACAGCAGCCAGGCATGTGCACACACCGTGAGAGCAAGCCACAGCAGCCAGGCATGTGCACACACCGTGAGAGCAAGCCACAGCAGACAGGCATGTGCACACACCGTGAGAGCAAGCCACAGCAGCCAGGCATGTGCACACACCGTGAGAGCAAGCCACAGCAGCCAGGCATGTGCACACACCGTGAGAGCAAGCCACAGCAGCCAGGCATGTGCACACACCGTGAGAGCAAGCCACAGCAGCCAGGCATGTGCACACACCGTGAGAGCAAGCCACAGCAGCCAGGCATGTGCACACACCGTGAGAGCAAGCCACAGCAGCCAGGCATGTGCACACACCGTGAGAGCAAGCCACAGCAGCCAGGCATGTGCACACACCGTGAGAGCAAGCCACAGCAGACAGGCATGTGCACACACCGTGAGAGCAAGCCACAGCAGCCAGGCATGTGCACACACCGTGAGAGCAAGCCACAGCAGCCAGGCATGTGCACACACCGTGAGAGCAAGCCACAGCAGCCAGGCATGTGCACACACCGTGAGAGCAAGCCACAGCAGACAGGCATGTGCACACACCGTGAGAGCAAGCCACAGCAGCCAGGCATGTGCACACACCGTGAGAGCAAGCCACAGCAGCCAGGCATGTGCACACACCGTGAGAGCAAGCCACAGCAGCCAGGCATGTGCACACACCGTGAGAGCAAGCCACAGCAGACAGGCATGTGCACACACCGTGAGAGCAAGCCACAGCAGCCAGGCATGTGCACACACACGGATATAACACTTACAATACATGCACCAGCAGACAATGCATAGCATCAGCAGCAGCATCAACGGCAATATTAACAAGAACAATGACAACAACAGCAGTAGCGGCATCAGCAGCCAGCAGCAGCAGCAACAAGAAAAGCAACAGCAGCAGCAACAACAACAGCAGGAACAGCAGCAACAACAACAGCAGGAACAGCAGCAACAGTATACTGTAGTATAACTGTTGTATACCGTAAAGTACCGTTGACCCCCCCCCCCCGCCATGTCACTTCCCAGCTGGTTTTTCAGCAGGGTTTAAGTCGTTCAAGTGCAGTACGATGTACAACAAAGCAGAAGATCAGACCTAACATGCTGTATTGTGCACATTTCATCCTGCACTCGCACGCATTGTGTACAGCAGTACCGGTACATGTGTCGGTTCAACATCGTATTTCGTTGTATACGTCAACGTCGCTTCACAGGCAGAAATTCGACAGGGGACGGAAATTAGAGCGGGGACGGATCAACGGTACTTTGCGGTTCTACTACAGAACGTCCACGCGCGATCACATAATGTAGTCACTTACCAAGATACTCTCCTGTTGCATCAATTGCCAGGGTATGAATTCTGAAGTTTTCTCCCAAGGACTTGTCAATCAAGGGTAATCTATGCAATGAGCACACGCACACGCACACACACACGCACACACACACACACACACACACACACACACACACACACACACACACACACACACACAGTGGCACACAGTGGCACACACACACACACACAGCAACAAGTCAAAAGCAGTCCAGACATCACGGGCCGTAGACCCATCATTACACCAGTGGCATGTAGAACAAAAGATGTTGCGACATCGGCGGTGATTAGTGAAGAAGGTGTCCGCTCCGAACGTCGGAGCTCGCGCTTCCTGCCGACTGACTTGACACTTGACTGACTCACGACTGCGGCATGTTGAACCCTGCACAAGCCGGGCAGTAGTGGCGACTATGCAAGTGGAAACCTCCCCATGTCCAGGTCCCTACTGCAGTCAGAATCGCCCAGCTATCATCCACTTCTAGCTTCACACCACTACACTGTGTGTGCACATCCACCCCCCCCCCCCCCACCCCTCCCTCCCTCCCCCCCCCCTCTCTCTCTCTCTCTCTCTCTCTCTCTCTCTCTCTCTCTCTCTCTCTCTCTCTCTCTCTCTCTCTCTCTCTCTCTCTCTCATGTGCACATTCCCCTATCCCCACCAGCACCAGAATTGGCAATAAAATTGAGTGATACAAATATTCTAAGCAGCTACCTTCTCTTGTAGTCCCACAGTCTCAGATATCCTTCAAAGCTGCCTGTCACAATGCGATGCCTGCAGTAAAATGGGTAAACATACATCACAAGAACAAATCAAGTTAGAGCCGCCAGGCCTCAAATGAAAACACGATATAGTAACACGCAACCGAATACACGATGGATACAAAGCCGTAAGTAGCAACAGCCTCTGCAACTTTTAAAATATGCTGGGCATCACATACAGCTTTCACGCATATGGACGACAAAAAGTCACTCGGGGTTGGGTGCTACTGAGATGCTTCGGCGAAGTCGGGGACTCGCGGTTCAGCGTTTCACTTGCACTAGCGACTCACGCTGCATGCTTCGCACCCATTAGAAAATCCGCCGTGAAATCATTCGCATAACGTCTATCGTAGTACAGAAACTAGCATACATGCATACGTACATAGCTGCTACTTACAGGAACGGATGAGCAGCAACACAGTGGGTCTCGTCAGAGTGTTCACGTAGTAACACCTATGTGTAGATAACAGCATTCAAACATAGCAACACCAGAATGAATTGTACAAAATAATATCAGAACTTCCAATCACTTAGTCCAACAAGTCTGTTGAAATACTAGCTCAAAATGGCAAATGCTTTGTCACAACAGGACCCATACAACCAACGGTTTCAAGCCTATTACAGCAAAGATCGGCTATAAAAACCCTGCAGTTGCCACGCAAAGTGATCATTGCTACCCCAGCCATGCATTGCTAGGAATAAAATAAATAAAATAAAATCAAGAATTTGTTCGTTATAGCCGGTGCTCTCTATCACAGGATTGTTCAAAGGCAGATACGGAAATGTGAAACAATTTGCCACGTTTGCCATTCTCCCAATTTTCCATTGCTATGTGCCTCTCTGCGATTTCCTGCTGGCATTCGTACCATGATGGTTTATGGCTATCTTGTGGCCGCAAATTGGTAAACATTATACATGTACTATAAAAACGCACATTGCAGTACTGCACACAGCCTTACCTCAAACACATTGCAGTACTGCACACAGCCTTACCTCAAACACATTGCAGTACTGCACACAGCCTTACCTCAAACTTTCCTCTGCCGAGCGGAGTACACTTCGCAACTACAGTTTGCCTTGTTGCAACAAAGAACTCAGGTACAGCAAAGCGTCGCGCCATCTTAGATGCATCAGCTGGAAAGGCTTGTCCACTGTGAGAAGAGAGGAGAGTGCATGTGTGTGCGTGCATACGTGCGTGTGTGCATGTGCGCATGTGTGTGTTTGTTTGTGTGTATGCACATGCATGTATGTGTGTATGCAGTATGCGTATGTATGTGTGTATGTAGTGGTCGAAATAGAAGCAGAAACCACGGCCATTGAGTAATAAAGGAAGAGGCAAGATGGAAGGCATACCCCCACCCCCAACATTTGAAGGGCTCCAATGCAAAACGAGATAAATCCATTTTGTGGAAAATTCAGGAAGTGCATTATTTCATTTGTTCTTTTTCGGTCTGCACTGCAGCATCAATGACTTTTGTCACGTTAAGCAGAAGAACACAAACTTCAGGCATCATTTTGACTGGGATGTATCGCGTTTTGACCCGTAAAACCGACACACAGACGTCCGTGGGGTGAAAACGAATTCTTTCGTGACAAAAAAAACGCAATAAAAGCTCCGGTTTGATCTTTATCGCGTTTTGAATAGGAGCCCTTCATTTGTACCTCCCAGAGTGGTCGTGGTCTGATTTATGTGATCCAAACAAACCTGCATATCAACTCACTGGGCAAGGATGTCTTGTGATGAGAAGACCATTGAAACAATGGGTCCCTTCTGTAGCTGGTCGTACCTTGATTATAGAGGACAAACACACACACACACACACACACACACACACACACACACACACACACACACACACACACACACACACAAATGCACGCAAACACACACACACACTAGGCGATTGCATGGTACTGCAGGAGGTAGATCCCCTCTCCCCCCCCCCCCCCTCCTCCAGACCATTTCACAGAATCGCAACACCCTCATTCAACAATATTCCACAGAATAACAATGTAGTACAATGCAACTGCATTCACATAAACACATACCAGTATCTCAGCTTTAAATCATTGCCATAGAAACGGATAGCGCCTTCCTCATCACCAGTGACAAAAAACCTGTAATAAAAAATTCAAAAAAAGATACGGAGGTATGACGGAGACTCCCTCGATATAGGCTGAGGCCTGTGGAGAATCCATGAATGCAAATACAAGCGTGCACCACTGCACTGCACTGCGCTACACCGCACTGATTATTTACCAGCACAAGTAGACATCTCACACATGAACAGTTGAACACAACAACTATACATCACAAGTGCAGAGGACAGTGTATTAGCTAAGGGCCGTGTCCATTGTACACAGATACAATTTACCATACTGTATGCACTACAACAGTTCTGCCAGGGTAGGCGCTTGCAGTGTCTGCCACGGTACGCGTGATCATACACAATTGGCTCCGCTGAAGTCAGAGACACTTGCCTGGCCGCTCCAAAACCTTGCCGCCTAAGCAGAACCATTGTGCCTGTGTGACCAGGCTCTAAAAAGCACGTCTATGGCTTAGCCAGGTACAGTCAAAACCGCTTAGTACGCCCAGGATGTAAGACGTACTATTGTCTACAGTCCATTTCAAAACTATAGACGCGTACCTAGGCAAAAACCGTCATGCCAGCATCTATACCACATAAAATCTGTGATCACTTTGTGCATAATTTTTTCCAAATTGGGCGTCTGTTATCTAATCGTTTAGAAACAATATGAGAGTAATTGTGGAGCGGACCTGAGCAATATTCCGAAAACTATTCTCAAAAATTTCCAACCAAATTTGAAATATTTTAAAAATACTGCGCGTCTATAGTTTTGAAATGGACTGTAGTACGTACTTTTTGCAGTTGAGGAAAAAATTGTCACACTTTATTGCAGCACGGGTGTAGTATGTACTTTGGCTAGGAAGTACTTTTACCGTGTTTCCTTGTGGGTAGTACGTCTTATCAATTTTTGACTGTATGCCCTACGTCAGAACTACTGCCACGATTGCAAGAGTATTCAATTTCTAAACTTGACCGCCAGAAACCAATTCTGAACGTTCAACCGCCGGCTGATCCATTTTTATGGTCACAAGCAAGATGATCAACTTTTCCTGAGTGGAGGTTACGCGAATAGTTTTGTTAGGTGAGTCAGAGGAACTGCCTGTGGGCGCTATGTATGCAGTGTGAGTCACTAGTCGCTAGTGCAGCGCTGTGCCGCGACTTCGCCAAAGCAGCTCAACTGACGATGTAATGGCATAACCTCTATATCTATAGGACTTCACACGTACAGGCAGTTACGTACAGCCATATCCGCACACACGCGCACATGAACACACACACACACGCACATGAACACACACACACGCACATGAACACACACACACGCACATGAACACACACACACACACACACAAGCGCGTGCACACGCACAGGTCACGGAAACTTACTGTCCAACACAGGTCACAAAGTTGAGAGGTATGTCACATACATGAACTAACTTCTCAACTTCCAACCTCAGCACAGGAGATGCGTTGGGATCAGTTTGCTCTGCACTCAACAGAACACAACAGAACAGAACAGAACACAACAAAATATAACAGTATACATGTAGGTATACCGTGTAATCCGGTTTGCCTTGTCACTCGGTCGCTCATTACAAGTCCTGATGCCATATTCTCCTTACCAGTGGGGTCGATGAAGGATTCCTTCAAGTGTGGCTCAGGAGGGTGTACCTGCTTGACATCCAAGACGAGAAGGTTTCCCTCTGTAGTGCTACACACCAGCTGCTGTCCGTCATTGCTAAACTTGCAACCTGTCATCTTGCCCAGTGCACGATTGAACCTCTGCAAGAATACATATGTAGTGTACATGTACATAATGTATGTGCACAAGAACAAACGCATGTGCGCACACACACACACACGTGCGCAAAATAGAGCAGTGAGGAGCGTCCTACGAGTAAAGGCGGCAGATGCTACTACCTAACGTTTTTCGCATAGTTTCAAGACTATTATGTCACTAGGTCCAGTCACTGCCACAGCATCCGTGGTACTATTGCTGTGATGGGATACCTACCTTGACATTAATCCTTGGAAGTCGTGTTCTGACCTTCTTGGTATCTTTGTCCTGTACACAGTCACAGATGCAGCATAGAAAAATAGCACCAGTAAAGAAATGGTGGACAGGAGACTGCGCTCTTGAACAGTGTTCTTGTTGAAACGAGTGGTACTGTCGATGTAAAAGGAGTTTCTGGGTTTTGTGGTCTGCCCGACGATGGTTAGTTGCGGGACCAAGTCGCACCGCAACAAATGGGAACACCTGAACAACTGTCTATACTATTCGTACTGATTGTGCCATTTGCACTGATACTCACAGACACATATTATAGTTTTCCATGTTGGTGCATGTGTAGTGGTGTCAGTTTACAGAGTGTAATGTATTGCCTTCAAGTACTAATGCTCTGGTGTTGCATTGCGTTACCTTAGTTATACATTGGCACCACACGTTATCATATACCACTCATATCATGTCACACCTATATCATGTCACACCTATATCATGTCACACCTATACGATTGGTATAATAGACTAGCAGAGCTACAGGGAGATCTCTCTCTCAGCCTGCACACCTAACTGTTGGTCACCACATTGGCGCAGTGAACAGGATTGTGGCCAGGCAGGATGGCAGCAGTCAAGGGTCGACCACCACGCGAATTTGTTGTGGACCCCTCTGCCAATATCGCAGCCGATTTCGACCTATGGCTAGAGGACTTCGAAGACTATCTCGATATCGCTAAGGTCGCAGACGCAGGGGAAAAGAAGAAACTGCTTCTAAACCTGGCAGGCCTATCTCTTCGCCGCATTGTGAAGGGTCTCCAGGTCGCAGAACCCTCTGGTGACCAGGACGTGTACCAAGTCTTGAAGGCCGCAATCCAATCGTACTTTCGCCCGTCGGTAAATGCAACTGCGGAGCGTCACAGATTCAGGAAACTCAGGCAGCAGTCTGATGAGTCCGTCACCTCTTTCATGGGACGGCTCCGAGAAAAGGCGGCACTTTGCGAGTTTGACTCGACTGCAGTGGACTCGGTTGTGAATGGCCAGCTTCGGGACCAGTTCATAGCCGGACTGCAGTGCCAGGAGGCACGCAAGCAGCTTCTAATGGAGTCAAGACTAACGCTAGCTGATGCTATCGCGAAAGCTGTCGCATTAGAAGCCTCAAAGGTTGACAATAGGCTGTTCAGTGAGGAAGCAGGAAGGACACTGGACATGCCTTCGGGAAGTGTGGCAGCCGTAGTACCGGATACGGCTGCGGTGAATATGGTGAAACACCGTCAGCACGGCAGAAGCAAGGCTCACACGTGCAAGTACTGTGGCGGAACCCATCCACCAGGCAAGGACAATTGCCCGGCTGCGCGAGTTCGCTGCAGACACTGCTCAAAGGTCGGGCACTTTGAAGTCGTCTGCCTGTCCAAGAGCAAGGAAGTTAGAGCCCAGACTATCGGCGAGGAGGATGAAGCCAATGAAATTTGCGAGTCTGTGTATACCATGCACACTGATCAGAAACACTGGTTCACAGCAGCTCTGCAGGTGGATGGAAAATCATGCGAAGGCCTGCTCGATACTGGTGCAACGAGAACAATTTTGACATCGGACATAGTGCAGCCTACTCGTCGCAGTGACCGAACTCTCCGTGCCTACAACGGGGGAGTTGTCAGCACACTGGGGATGGCAGACGTCACCCTATCATCTGCCAGTCGTAGCTGCACTGTGGCCTGTTTCATTGTACCAAAGGGCTCCCACCGAGTGCTATTTGGCCAGGACGTGATCAAGGAACTCGAGCTACTAGTGCCAACCCACCTGGTGGAGTCTGGAAATGTGGTCAGCGTTGCACCAGTCAGCATTACCGTCAAGCCAGATGCAGTGCCTGTCGCTCTGCCAGCTCGGCGTCCCCCTTTCAGCATCAAGGACGAGATAGAGACAGAACTTCAGCGGTTAGTCGATGCTGACATCATCGAGCCAGTGAAAGAGGCTGCGGCATGGGTTTCCCCAATCGTGCCAGTTCGCAAACCCAGTGGCAAACTGCGTTTGTGTGTCGACTACAGGCAGCTGAATAAGAATGTTGTCCGAGAGCGACATGTCCTGCCAACCCTGGATGAGATAACAGCGCAGCTGGACGGAGCGCAGGTGTTCTCAGTCCTCGATGCAGAGTCGGGATTTCACCAAATTGAGCTTGACCAGGAGTCGCGTCCACTGACGACTTTCGCGGCCCATTGTGGGCTTTATCGCTTCAAGCGTCTGCCATTTGGTATTGCCAGTGCACCAGAAATGTTCCAGCGCGTGGTCTCGGATATTTTGGCAGGGCTCCCAGGAGTGATTGTCTACATTGACGACATTCTTGTGTTTGGAAGCAGCCAGGAAGAGCATGACAGGCGTCTCGCAGCAGTCCGGCAGCGCCTGGAAGCAGCAAATCTCCGGCTCAATGCAGACAAATGCCAGTTGAGCAAGTCCAGCGTCAAGTACATTGGCCACTGGCTGTCGGGCACCGGCGTGGCTCCCGACGGTGACAAGCTGCAGGCCATTGCAGACATGGCTATGCCTAAGTCGCTTCAGGATGTGCAACGTTTCCTCGGAATGGTAACCTACCTCGGAAGATTCATTCCAGATATGTCGTCCATCTCCGAGCCGGTGAGACGGTTGGCAAAGCGTGTGCCCTTCATTGTGGATAGCGAATTCTGCAACGCGTTCAGCGACGCTAAGACGCAGCTGGTGCAGGCACTGGACCACCTGGCCTACTTTCGTTTGGACCCAAACGTTCCAACGGCCATAAGCTGTGACGCATCGCCTTGTGGCCTGGGAGCAATTCTATGGCAGCAGAATTCTAGTGGTCAATGGCTACCAGTGACATGTGCCAGCCGCACTCTCACAGAGGTAGAAACTCGATATTCGCAGATGGAGAGAGAGATGCTGGGAGTCGTGTTTGCGCTGCAACGCTTCCGGCAGTACGTGCTCGGGCGACACGTCGAGGTGCATACTGACCACCAACCCCTGATATCCATAGTGCAGAAGCCGTTTGATGATGTACCTCCCCGGCTACAGCGTTGGCTGGTGTCTCTCATGCCCTACACCTACAAGTTGGTGCACGTACCAGGAAAACAGCTCTTGTGCGTGGATGCTTTATCCAGGGCTCCACTACCCGGCCACGCCCCTTCGACTGCTGAGACAAAGTCTATGGCCGAGTTTGTTGGCATGGTGCTAGAGGCCTGTCCAGTAGACCTGGAGCAGGTTGCACAGGCCACGCAGGACGACTCTATTCTACATAGTATTCTGCAACGAGTGCTGACGTCCAGATGGGAGGCTGTGAGTGCAAGTGAAGAGGCATACTTCATCGTACGCGATCAGCTCTCAGCCTCAGAAGGTGTCGTGCTTTTCAACGCAAGAGTGGTCATCCCGGAAGCGCTTCGCACTGCAGTTATGGCGTTGGCACATGAGGGGCACCCAGGTCGAGCTGCATTCCTGGAATCTCTCCGACGTCGAGTTTGGTGGCCCGGTGTCACAAAAGATGCCACATTGTACGCCGAGCGCTGCTCGGAGTGCTATAGGAAACATAGCAACTCGCATCAGGAGCTTCTCCCTTCTGAGATTGAAGGTGTATGGGAGAAGCTTGCAGTAGACCTGGTGAATGTGGAAGGACATCAACTGCTTTCCATCATTGACTATGGCTCGCGCTACCCGGAGGTGATCCTACTGCAAAGCACGTCAACCACCAGCGTTGTGAGTGCATTAATGGAGACGTTCGCAAGGTTCGGCTTGCCAGCACAACTGGTCTCGGACAATGGTCCCCAGTTTGCTGGCAGAGAGATGGCAACGTTCCTCCAACGCCTAGGGATCCGTCACGTTAAATCGAGCCCACGCTACGCTCGGTCCAATGGCATGGTTGAGCGTTTTCATCGCTTACTGAAGGAGCGGATGGCAGGGCTTAAACCACATTTACCGTTCAGCCGACGCCTGCAGCAAGTATTGTTCGACGTCCGTAACAGCAACAACCGAATGATTGGGATGGCGCCAAATGAGGCGCTGTTCAGTAGATTGGTTCGCACGAGGCTCCCCGCGTCAATTACTCCGACGATTGTCAATCCGTCCCACCAAATCCAAGCCAAGGCAGACATGGCCACGCAGCATGACGCTCGCCGAGGAGTGCGAGCGCTTCCTTCAATGAAGCCGGGCACTAAAGTTATAGTGCAGGATGGTTACTGCAACCCAAGACAAACTTGGAAAGTCGTCGAGCAGTACGGACGACAGGTTGGAATCACGGATGGACGCAGAATACTCTTGCGGAATCGTGTTCACTTACGTGAAGTGGTCCGGCCGGGATGTCAGGTGCAGCCAGAGGTAACACTGCAGGAGCAACATCTGCGGCAGCCGAGCATTCCTCACCCAGATCGGCCACCTGCAAGTATGCCACAGACGAGACGACAGGAGGAGCCTAAGTCAACTGGACACCCTGTGCAGCCCGGTCCTGTTCATTCAGAAGCAGGTCCGACCGGAGTCGCCAGTGGAAGTACACCAGCCCCAGATGCATCACCAGCGCGACCGGATGACCCTCCGAAGAGTCAGCGTGCCAACCTGGGAAGCCGAGTGGCTGGAGGGCCTGCCGGTGGTGGGGCTGTATTCCGTGAAGGCATCGTGACCCGTGCAGGAAGGAGCGTTCAGTTATCACAGAAAGCAAAGGATGCTATGCACGAAAATGGGCGTGTGCCCGTGTGTGTATGTGAGAGAGAGAGAGTGTGTGTGTGTATGTGTGTGTGCACGGGAGGTAGGGAGTACAGTATGACCTACCATAGAGCATAGTAGAATAGCTTCTGCAGACCACACGATGAAATCAGTCATCACTCCCGGGTAGAACACCACAGACACCTAGCAAAGCAGTCATACACATACACACACACATATGCACATGCACACACACACACGTGTACACACACGTGTACACACACATACACACACAGAGACACACACGTGCAATACAAACCATGCATCTCACAATGAAAAGCATTTAGTACGGAGTCGACTAAAGCTTGCACCTAACTGGTCCAGATAGAATCAGCGGTTATTATTTTCCTTAGTACAGAAAAACCTGTAGCTAAAGACCACCGTGACTAGCGACCAGCCTAGTACTAAATACCACTTCGCCAGGCACGGACGGTCTCACATTCATAATTATATGGTTGTGCGGTGCAAACCTCAAACTAAAGACCACCTGCCAGTAAAGACCACTTTCTCTGGCCCCAATGGGTGGTCGTTAGTCACAAGTTTTACTGCAATTGTGAATACTGGTTATGTGTCATCAAAGCATACTGTCCCAACATGTGCATGCATGCATGAACCCCGAGGTACACACAAGATGCCAACTTACAGGATCTTCTAGAATTGTGTTCAAGTTCATGTGCACTTCAGGCATTGTCTTGTCCGTATCACTCCAATCATAAACCTGTAGAATCTACGTCCGCAAACATTACACACACACACACACACACACACACACACACACACACACACACACACACACACACACACACACACACACACACTCACACACACACACACACACACACACGCATGCACACACACACGCATGCACACACACACACATACATACACACACACACACGCGCGCGCAGGCAAATTACAACACGGACATTTACAAGAAGCCAATCCAAGAATGCACATGACACTCGCCAGTTCTGCCTAATGATCGCACTGCTTGTTTCTACCATTGATGCCGCTTTATCTCGCCGTGCACCCGAGTCCTATCTCATCTGCTCTTGTCGTGCACATCACACTATGCAGAACAGACCCATGTGCTTCCTTCACACGATGTGTCAGGCGAACAGAAATGTACAAGGCAGTTAGAAGATGGACAAACTCAAAGACAACAACCACTACTGGAGGGTGACATGCAGGGTGTTATGGATCCGATGGCGTTATCGACAGCAACATCCTCTATCGGAAACACCAATCTGATTAATTCTCATACGACTGATGTACATGCTATCAAGTTTAGACATGCATAATCAAGCTTCAAGTCAGGTCGGCGGGAAAAAAGTGCAAGCTCCTGTGTGGGAGCAACCAACTCCAATATAATTATATCACTTTGATAAGAAGTTGAACCATCAAACTGACTTTGTTCTCGTCGGTCTTGCGGATCATGGCTAGATATGCCGAGTTATCAGACCATGCCATGACCTTAGCTCCTGTTCCTGGCTGGAAAAATATGCTCTGGATGGGCGCCCTACACCAGACAACAGTACAGAACATTAGAAGCGGCAAAAAATGTACAGGGGCAATCAATGAAGGTAACCAATGCAGGACAATGCAGCAACAGCAGCAATCACAGTATTAGCACTAGCAGCTACAGCAGTACCAGCATTAGCAGCTACAGCAGTACCAGCATTAGCAGCTACAGCAGTACCAGCACTAGCAGCTACAGCAGCAACAGCAGTAGCAGTAGCAGGTTACACAATGGGCACAAAGCTGGGAGAGAGAGAGAGACATAGACAGACAGACAGACGGGCAGACAGACAAACAGATGGACGGGCGGACGGACAAACAGACGGACAGAGGCAGACTCGTAGAAAACTTCCTTACGCATGTTCTTGGTCCCATATGTGCACAGCCGGTTCCCGATCTCCACAATCAGCTGTAGCAATCCAGCGTTCACAGGGGCTAACTGCTACACTTGTGATGTTGTTACGCTGCACAAACGCATGCATAGCACAAACACATTCACAGCACAAACATATTCAACATTTTGAAAACATATTCACAGCACAAAAAACAACTCCAGCAATTACTGCAGGGAGTTAAGCAATTTATAGACGTCGCCCCCAGTCACCATGGTGGTGGCCTGGCACAAGCGAACCTCCCACTGAGTTGGTCGTGCTTCTACACGGCACAAGTGTATGCCATTCATGTAACACGGACGTGCAAACTTCACTTTACTCCCACCAGCACTGCCAGCGGTCACTGGTCAACCACCAACAGAGGTGGGAGGGGGGAGCAGGGAAGAATCTTAGAGATGGGCAAGCAGTAAGCCGCGGCGGCAGGGATGATTGGGAAATCAAGGGAGTGACAGGGAGGAAGCTGATAGGGACAGGGAGGAAGCCAAGCACAGGAACCTGATAGGGACAGGAGGGAAGAATAGGGAGACGGAATAGATAGGAAGCTGATAGGGCCAGGAGGAGGGGGGGGGGGGGCCGGGGAGAATAGGGAGAAACAGGTAGGGAGGATAGGGACAGGGAGGAAGCTGATAGGGCCAGATAGTGTGGGGGGGGGGATGGGGTCAGGGGGAGGATAGGGTCGGAGGGGAGAATAGGGAGAGACACATACGGAGGATAGGGACAGGGAGGATGGGGAAAGGGAGGAAGCTGATAGGGCCAGAGACCAGGGGGGGGGGGGGATAGGGAGAAACACATATGGAGGATAGGGACAGGGAGGAAGCTGATAGGGCCAGAGAGTGGGGGGGGGGGGGGGATAGCGTCAGGGGGAGGATAGGGTCGGAGGGGAGAATAGGGAGAAACACATACGGAGGATAGGGACAGGGAGGATGGGGACGGGGAGGAAGCTGATAGGGCCAGAGAGTGGGGGGGGGGGATAGGGTCAGGGGGAGGATAGGGTGGGGGGGGGGGGGGAGAATAGGGAGAAACACATATGGAGGATAGGGACAGGGAGGATGGGGACGGGGAGGATGGGGACGGGGAGGATGGGGACGGGGAGGAAGGATTGGTAAGAAAGTGAGGAAAGGGCATGCAGAATGGCGAGACAGAGGGGACAGGAATAGTGAGGCAAAATTGGGAGGAGGGAGAGGGGTCGGGGAGAAATGAAAAGGCAGGATAGGGAGGAAAGAGACGGTGGGCTGCTTACATGAGCAAACAGCAACCGTTGCTTCTTCTCTTCATAGTCATGAATGACCACAATGTGGCCTGCAGCATACACCAACTCCTGCAACACACCAAATATAGGCATAACAAAGGGTAACACCCGCCCGTACACACACATACATACACACACACACACGCACACACACACACACACACACACACACACACACACACACACACACACACACACACACACAATAGGAGATAGGACAAGGTGAGAAGATAAGAGAGATGAAGGAAGAGAGACCAACAGAGAAGGGGGACTGGGAAGAGAGTACAGAGAGGAGAGAGGGGACATAGATATTGAGAGAGAGACCCAGAAGACGACTTGTGACGATAATGATGCAGACACCAATGACGACGACGGTGACGAGAAAATGCAAGGATATACAGCAGGTAAACTGTGCTATCAGCAGCCTATTACTTCAGTACTTAGTATACCTGCTAAAGATATCTACATTGGACCTGATACCTTCAATATGGCCTGAACAAACCTATCAAACTGAATAATTTGAGACTATTCCTTGGCTTCAAGCAGTATTAACAATTTAACATGCCATATCGGCAAATTTGGCGTAAAACTCCAAATTTCGACGTGAGCTGCAGGTAACCCGCGTTGTTTTTCGACGCGCGAGCCAAATAAGTTGAAATAACGCGAGCTGAACTTTCGTGTCACGTCGGAAATAACGTGCATCTTAACCTCTCTAATATTAATCATTGCACACAACCCACCGCTGACAAGGATGTCCCATACTGAAATCCTACTGCACATGCAATCTCAGCATTAGCAAGCCCCCCTCCCCTCCCAAGAATACACATTTCACCACCACACCCTCCATAGCACTGCGGGTACTTCAGACCGTCCATAGACTGTTCGTTTATCCATCACCAATGTAGGCACTACGTAGCCATCACAGAATGTCCAGTCTGCTGCATGTCAGGTCACGGCAGGTAGGCAGGCGGATATCTCACTCATGCACTCATGCCGCCGCTTTCTTACCATCTTTCCAGAGGATGATGTCAGACATTGAATCGGTATATCAATGTTATAGCCCTGGACCCAGCTCTCCTCCTGTACATGTAGATGACAACACCAAACCAATGTTACAATACTACAATGGATTCTGCAATGGATGACAACACCAAACCAATGTTACAACACTACAATGGATGACAACACCTCAGCAACGCAGGGACGTCGAAAGGTATCCTACATTGGCGCGACCATGAAAAGGCGGGGTCCCGGGGGTCGTCCCCTGGGATATTTTTAAGGAAACTTGGGCCCAAATGGCCCATACTTCATTGCTACAGAAATCACAGGATAAAATTATTGGTGCGGCTTTGGCCGCAGCGGTTCCGACACCCCTGCAGTGTTGCAATACTACAATGGATGACAACAGCCAGCGATGCTCTACCATTAAGCTATGGTGTAGTCGTCATCCCAGCAGCGAGCGGTGCAGCCCTAAAACTGCCAACACTGGGCTGTGGAATGGTACAAGGCGCAAACTTGAGTGAGGCGAATGGATTTCATTGAGGAGGACTGTACACTGATCAAGCTCTTTTACCAGTGGTCTTGTGTAGATTGGTTCTTGCTCGGCGCCGGTGTCTAGGTGATGTGTTGCACTGCTGCCCGCACGATGCTCATCACCACCACCATCAGTGTACATTGATGATGCACTATCAGCAGCAGTACGACTATGCATGGGTGCACGCGTAGCTCCAACACCAGATGCACTATCGTCCGACGCATCACTGTGGTGCTCATCAGAATCGTCTTGAAGCGATGACGCCAAACTGCCACCTGCTCCCATAGCTACATGCTCAGCTGCAGTATTGGAAGATGGCGGGTTTGCAGCATCACTGGGCGAAAGGGATTCGTCATATCTATCCAGAGCCAAGGCGGGTACCGTGTCCTCATCAAACGCCTGTGCCAACCCTGGTTCAGGAGATTCTGTAGACCCATCAGGTGAAGAATTGCAGGACAATTTACCACCTTCACCGGTGTGTTGGTCGTGCGGTCCATCGTACTCATCACCCTGATCATCGTGTCGTCCAGGTTCCTCTGTTGAACTCGTATCAACATGCTCATCTTCCTTAGCTTCTGTTTCGTCGTCCTCGCTCACACGGTCACCGGCGTCCTTGTTAGGGTCATCTGGATTGACCGTCTCCTTTGTGCACGCATCAGGCGCTTCAGACGCATCGTCATCAGCATGCTCCTCATCATCAGGTGCGGTGTCAATTGCAGGTTCTCTCTCCTCTTCTTCCAGCTCCTGATTTCCAGCTGATTCATTTTCACATTTTACCGGCTCATCTCCATCTTGACTGGGCTGGCCTGGGTCTTTCTCTGCAGGCTCATCCATTGCGGCGGCGGCTTCTTCATCAACCACTATGTCTCCATCGCCTAGTGATGCAGCTGAGGACCTTTCTTGGTCGGCCATAGCTCTTACTTCTCCAACTCCTTCGACATTTCGACCATTACGGCATTAGCGTTTTATCTCGCTCGCTACACGGCACGGCACTCAGTGCAGCTGCATTACATTTACACAGTGCCCAGACTGGACCTGCATACAGTCGTGCCTTGCTGTCGAAAACAAAACAAAAAAGACTGCACTCTCTGCCGTGCAGGATCAGCAGCTGCACCTGAACAGTTCGCGCTCGTTGCTAGGTCCTCGTGGTGACCAGGGTAACAGTTTCCCAGCCAACAATCACATGCCTGCAAATTATTGTACAAAATAATTACAATGCCTGCATGCATTCGTGGCCAAAGAAATCCGACCCACGAGGCACGAGTCAAAAAGCAGCTCCGCGTTTCCATTTCATGGACGGTCCAAACACCAATCCGAGGACCACAGGCACAGGGCATGAACCTCCCTACAGTAGTTGTGGGGTCGGATTTCTTTGGCCACGACTACTGAGTCTGTAGTCGACTGCCATGGTCCTCTTCTCGTTGTAGATCTACCGTGTTGTACAGACAGTCATCATGGTCAAGTACTATCATACAGATGGCAGAACTTACTTACTTATTGGGGCAAGAGCCAAAGAGGCAAAGTCAAAGACTGAATGAAAGTCTTAGGATGCCCCAGCCCGACCTCTTGACGAGGTGGGAAAGCTGGTTTGGTTGGTTTGGTTTGGTTTATAATTATTTCAGTTCGTTGCCTCAAAACTACAGTACAAAGTACAAAAGAGGGATGAACGAAAAGAGAAAGTAACCTGGGCTGCATGGTAACTACATTTTTTTCGATTTTGACAGCATGTTACAAGGCGAGGACGCGTAGTGCTCCTGACTACAACCATAACCCGGTTGGCAGAGTCTTCTCGCCTTGTAACATGCTGTCAAAATCGAAAAACATGTTAAAGGGGAAGTATACCCTAAAATCAAATTTTCACCAGTTGTAGTCTTCTGGGTGCTGAGTCGAATGGTCTTGGTCCGAGGAAGCTGCGACGCTCCCTTCCTGCTTGAATCCCAATCGAACTCGCGCACTTCCACCGAAACTGGGTGACTGCGCCCTAGTAGATGGGGATTTGTATGCAAAATGTCACTCAAAGCGCCATTTCGTTCTTATAAAAGCACGGATGACCGCGATTGGCCCATATGTTGTAGTCTTTTGGACGCTGCGTCGACTGGTTTTGGTCCGAAAAGGCTGCGATGCAGCGTTCCTCCTTTATTCCCAATCGAACATGGTTGAACAAGCGGTCAGTGCTCCTGCGTACACCAGTCAGCTGGTCACCGTGCCTGCAGGGTACAACTTACTAGCCTGTTTGACCTTTTTTGGGTGCAGTCCTGTCACTCGAGTTGAACCTTGGTGTGAAAGTTGTCGCCTACTGGCGCGGTGACCAGGTGATTTGGGCACCCAGGAGCACGTGACCACTTGTTCAACCATGTTCGATTGGGAATAAAGGAGGAACGCTGCATCGCAGCCTTTTCGGACCAAAACCAGTCGACGCAGCGTCCAAAAGACTACAACATATGGGCCAATCGCGGTCATCCGTGCTTTTATAAGAACGAAATGGCGCTTTTACTTTTAGTGACATTTTGCATACAAATCCCCATCTAGTAGGGCGCAGTCACCCAGTTTCGGTGGAAGTGCGCGAGTTCGATTGGGATTCAAGCAGGAAGGGAGCGTCGCAGCTTCCTCGGACCAAGACCATTCGACTCAGCACCCAGAAGACTACAACTGGTGAAAATAATTTGATTTTAGGGTATACTTCCCCTTTAAACTACCAAGCAAGGCTTCTGTATTATGGTAACTACATGTATGTCTTACAACCAGGGAGTCGTATAGACCTATACGACTCCCTGGTTACAACTAACACTAGTAACGTTACGTGTTACTTACGGTCTGCAGACCCACCAAACACATTGTATTTAGGGCACACATACACAGTCAACAAAGACGGACACCAAGTACACGCCTACTATGTATAATTATCATGGCTAATGCATTGATTCTTGACCTGAGTGTGTCGATTCTTGTCATTGTTCAACAGTGACAACACTGCTACTGAGTGATGAGCACACGGACATGTACAGAGGTGCAGGCATACCGACTTTACTGTTATCGTGGTTATGCTAGCGCTTGTCGATGTGGAATTGTTTGTACGTCGAGTTTTGCCGGTTTCGTTTCCACCTTGTACAATGTATTCGGCGATCATTCATGGTGCAGCATGCATTGGTGCTCGTTCCAAGATTATCATGATACCGGTACTACACTACAGTACTGTACTGATAGCTCATCTACTGTACAGCCTGGGACCTACACAGTGCTGGCAACTGAAATCCGACCCCCTGAGCGGTGCGATCTCATCGCAAAGACCCAACACGGGATGGGATGGTGAAACTACGAAACAGAGACCGCTAGAGTGTGAACCCACTACTCAGGGGGTCGGATTTCAGTTGCCAGTACTGTAGTACTCGTAGTAGATCTACCTGTTTGTACAGTTGCTCATTTTCGTATTGTGGCACTGCAAGTCTGCATGCATAAGTCTGCAACTGTTGTAGTGTTGGAACTGGTCGGCAGCGCGAGCTGCGCTTCTCCGGCAGTTCGGGCGGCAAGCGGCACTAGCACTGCAGAGTACAGCGTCGACTCAGTCACTGCGTGTAGAGTGCAGTCTGTTATTTTGGGCTATGCCGCGATCCGAGCCGATCGCATACATGTAGATCTGCATACATACTTGTAGATGCAGCATCTGGCGACTTGTACTTGTGTAGATCAAGAAGTGCCGGTCCGGCATCTCCTTCTGAAGGCCGGATGCTTGCCGGGTCAAAGTCCACCAGACGATCACGTGACTAGCGACAACTGACAGTCGAGTCTGCGTACATGTACACGTTCGGATGCACGTCGTTGCATGATGTAGCGCGTCAGCCGGTTTTCATGGTTAGGTGTTCAGTAGCAACGCCCTACCCAGATCCGTGTGGACTATGTCTATGCCCAGGCCTGAGTATGGTATGGGCCGGGGTCAACCATGGTCAACAGGTCAACGGTTCACGACGATGTGGTTCACTAGCGCTAGAGTATCGTGCATGTATCGTGGGCGCTCTCATCAACACACTCAATCGCGCGCTTTCCGGACACGCCGCTGCTCACTGAGTCACACTTGTCCATGTGCACGTTTGACCTGAACTGAAGTAGTTTGTCTTCCTTCACCGTCGCGTGGTCGGTGAAGAGAAGTTTTACAGCTTATTGCAAACCAACGAGCAAGGAAAATGAGTCTTTGTTCAGAATAATCGACCGCGATCAGGTTTTAGCGGCGCTATAGTGCGCACCCATACACAATAGCAGTACTTTGAGAAGTTGAGTGGTCGGAGTTTCTCCAAGTCTCGCTCGCTTCAAGAACACTTACTTGTACATGTATCAAGAAGAACGTTTCGTGTATTTACGTAATCAGTAGCGCAATGTGGTTGAGCGGATGTCGGTTTGTCTTGCTGGTACTTGGTGCTGTGTTGCTAGCAATACTGCTGCCTTCGAGTTCAAGAGTAGCTGGTGAAGTGTTCTTCTGGCGACCCAGCGTGTCGTGGAGTAATCCCGCACATTGGCAGAGTGGTGAGATACCTTGCCATGCAGACGGTATACACCTTCCAGGCTCGCAGCAGGTTAGTCCGTGACTAACTGACTAAGTCAGTGTGCTGTGTGTAAGGGCTGTGTGGAAGAATGGTCGGCGTGCCGTGAAGATCTACTATGACTGTGACAAAATGGTGAAATGGAAGGTTTTCATGAACAGCCAGGCTGACCACTACTGGCACTAGGACGTTGTAGTGGCATACATATAGCTGGTGGCTTGGGGATTGTGCAGTCGAAAATTTCTTGAAGCAGTGTGTTTTATTATAATAGTACTGTAGTAGAAATTGCACTGCACAATGTGCGCAAGTACATGTGTGTCCCGGGCCCTGGGACAACCACTCTTGCAGTGTGTCCCGGGTCCAGGGATACACAACGCATTTCCGGGATTGTCCCAGGGAATCTGGGATGGTTGGCGTGCATGTATCCGAGTCAGTGTATGCCCTATGCTGTATATAGCATAGCAGACAGTGACACTGTTTTTAAACTGTATACGGTTGAGATGCTTACCTCATTCCGTCCAATCTCCCTACCACATGGGCTGGGAGTCTCCAGCCAACCTGCTCATCTATCGCACACCAGCAGTGCAATTCCAAGTCGTTGTGGATACTGATCCCCTAGGTTATTGAGCTCTCTGCGCATACTTGCCCCCCCCCCCCCCTTGCAGATACTAGCATAAACATGTCCTCCATACAGCTATTTGAATCATACAGATGTCGTCAGTGAAGGTTATCAGAATATTGAATGGCTTGAACTTGTTTATAGCCCTTTTCTATGCAGAGAACTACTGTGAAAATGATGTAGTGCAATTGCGTGCTTTGCGGCAACAGTCATACGTGCTACGGTATGGAGAATATCGCGTGGGTTGACCACCATTTTACAGATCACGGTCAACCTTGTGAATAACGACCTCAGGTATAACGTTAACAACTCGTGAATAACTACACACTCTTCACACCTAGTCACCATTTGACTGCATAGCAGTTACTTTCAACGTCATGAATAACGACAGTTTGCGAATAACGGCACTTTTCTCTCATGCACCATCAAAGGTTATTATTTGCAAGGTTGACTGAATACAGAGAGCTGGAAGGAGAGTCTTCAAAGCATTTTTCACACGGAGAATACGTGCAAGGCCACACTGATATGCGCAAGCCACTACAGACATAGATACCGTAAAGTCTTGTATAAAAGCCGCACTTGAATAGAAGCCGGCCTCGAATAGAAGCCGCAATTTTGGGCCCATCCAATCACACATAAACCTGGTTTTAGTGTTGACATACCGTAAAGTCGCGGATAAAAGCCGGGTTTGCATACAAGCACATCGCGGATAGAAGCCTAAAAGTCAAACGGGTCAAATGCATATAAGCCTTTCGCGCGTAGAAGCCTGATTTCTATGCAAGCACGGATCGGGTAGGTCAAGAGTGCATGTGCTATGTACAGTGCATAGTAAAACTGCCGCCATACCGGTAGTCAATGGTAGATCTACGCGTGTCGCGCGTAGAAGCCTGGCTTCTATGCAAGTGTGGTGCATATAAGCATGGTTTGCATACAAGCCTGGTTTGCATTAAAGCCTGATGCAGAAAGCGGCTTATGTGCTTATAAGCCCGGCTTTTATCCGCGACTTTACGGTACATAGAAATACCTGTCTTGTATAGAAGCCTGTCTCATATAGAAGCCTGCAAAATTTCACCAAGACAGACATAGAAGCCGCAGCTTTTATACAAGACTTTACGGTACGTGCAAGTAATGCTGTAGGCGCGAAAGACCATAGCACACTGAAAAAGCATAATCGGAATATCCGGGTGCCAGTTCAGACATCGGCGTGAATGCCCCAGGGCCTGTTATGTTACTACTACTGTGACTCAGGGGCGTCGGAAGGTATTTTAGTGTGGTATGGTCAGCCATTGGAAGTAAAATTTACCCCTGGGGAGGGGTTGCTGAGCCGACATTTTTGGAAATGCAGAGCCCAGATCAGTGTATGTTATTGATTCACAGGGTACCTGGGGCAAAGAGTGGTCACGCGGTCAATGTCGTGGTGACCGTAGCGTGTCATGTTGCTACTTGCAGTGTTGTGCTGGAGCCTGAACTGTCACCCCAATGCTCAGTACCTTACACAAATATGTGTAATCTTGCACTTATTCTCCAAGTGTTAGTGCTCACACAGGAGAACGTGGAAAAGTGTATCGAGCACTCTGTGGGCAGTGGAAGACGTCTACTGTGTTGTGTACTTTATGTGTCTGTACATGTGTTGATCATTGATTGCAATGTCTACAGCCATGGTCCGTTGATATCAAGCAACCAATTGCCCTGAGAAAACTAGTGATTGGAGAAAATGCTGGAGTGCAGTTTGGATCACCGGGCACTGGAATACATTTCCTCAGAGTTGCTGGAGGATGTGAAGGTGAGAGTGAGATCTGCCTAGAATCTTTAGTATAATAGAATCTTTAGTATAATAGAATCTTTAGTATAATAGAATCTTTAGTATAATAGAATCTTTAGTATAATAGAATCTTTAGTATAATGCCCAAACAGGGTACTGTAGATTTGCTGCCATTATTACCGTCATGATTTCCCCGTAAGTTAGTACGTACTAATTTTCGAACTTAGCAGCCACATGAGTACTAACTTTCGGGGAGTACTTTTTTTATCGGGGGTAAATGACACGCAGTGGGAAGCCTGTGCAACTCTAGTGTCCGTGCATATGGTGTATGTACTGTATGTTGTATTATGATGTAATGCATTACGTAGCCATGCAAGAGCATGCGCGAGATACGCATCTCGCAGCTGCCTACTTTCATGCAGCATCCTTTAGATGTCGTGGTTCTTATGATTTGCCTACAATGGCCAAGTGAGAATATAATCCTATCGTAAACAACTAACTTGTTTACCCCGAAACATGGTGTCAGAAGTAAACTAAATAAACGCCCTAGAATTGTCGCAGTAGCGCCACCGGTGCAAGAGGTAAAATGGCAGAAGCTGCCGGATTTACCCCGCCGTCGATGGATTGGCAAGCCGCAGATTTACCTGATGAATTCGAGCGGTTCCAACAATACTGCCTTCTAGTTTTCCAAGGGCCCTTTTCCGACAAGTCCGACAAGGAAAAGGTCGCCTATGTCATGCTATGGATCGGGAGAACTGGTGTTGATGCTTCCAATAGTTTCGAGTCGGGATAGCGCGTCTGCGATGCCAGGACCATGATCTCAACATGCACCAGATGATGGTTCGCTGCGAACAATCTGGTCTCAAGTTGAACCCAGACAAATGCCGCATCAAAGAGGACAAGATCAAGTTCTTCGGCATCATCTGCAGCGCTGACGGAATACAGCCCGACCCGAAGAAGGTCTCAGCGCTGAAGCAGATGGAGCACCCCGAGAACGAGGACGAGCTCCAGACGTTCCTCGGGCTAGTCACGTACATGAGCCCGTTCATACCGAATGCCAGCACACTGACCGCGCACCTGCGTGAGCTGACCAAGCCAGATACACCGTTCGCCTGGACAGACAGCCACCAGCGCACCTTCGACAAGGTCAAGGCCGCCATTTCGACAGAAGTAACGCTCAGTTACTTTGACCCAGGCAAGGCAACGACACTACAAGTCGACGCTTCCATGAAAGGTCTCGGCGCCACTCTGCTGCAGGACGACAAGCCTGTTGCATTCGCCAGCAAGAAGCTTACCGAGACGGAGTCTCGCTACGCCAATATTGAGCGTGAGCTCTTAGCTGTCGTATACGGGTGTAAAAGATTCCACACCTACCTATTCGGTCAGTCATTCACAGTAGAATCCGACCACAAGCCGCTGGAGTCAATCAAGCTCAAGCACCTCCGCGCAGCCCCGCCGCGTCTACAGCGCATGCTGCTGAAGCTGCAGCCGTACGACATGACCATCAAGTACCGCCCCGGAAAGGACATTCCGATCGCAGACGCGCTATCCCGACTGTCGCCAGAGGAAACAGAGCCAATTGAGGACCTCGACGTCAGTGTACACGCCGTGTTCCCGCAATTCAGCGATGCAGCGATGACGAGGATCCGCGAGGAGTCGGCTAAAGACGCCGAGATGTCAGCACTGAAGGAGATGATCTTCAGTGGCTGGCCATCAGAGAGGAGCGCGGTGCCGGCAATTCTGCTCCCGTACTGGAATTTCCGCGACGAGATGAGCACCGAGGACGGTCTCATCCTGAAGAGCAGTCGCGTCCTGATTCCCCCGCCAATGAGGGGGGAAATCCTCAGCAAGCTGCACGCCAGCCACCAAGGCATAGAGAAGACCAAGCTGCGAGCCAGAACGTCCGTCTTCTGGAAGGACATCAACAAGGATATCGAAGCAACTGTCTCATCTTGCACGACGTGCCAGCGCCACCAGAGCAGTCAAGCCAAGGAACCACTGATGCAGCCCGATATTCCGCCAAGGGCATGGTACACCTTAGGCACGGACCTGTTCTACCTCGGCGGGTCAGAATACCTCATTGCCGCCGACTACTACTCCAAGTACTTTATCACCCGGAAGCTGCCTGCCGGACAAGCGACCAGCAGGGCCATCATCCAGCACCTCAAGGAGATTTTCGGTGAGCACGGCATCCCAGCCGTGCTGAAGTCGGACAACGGGCCGCAATACAGCAGCCATCTGTTCGCGGAGTTTGCTGCCGGATATATGGATTCCGCCACAGTACGTCGTCGCCACATCACCCGCAGAGTAACGGGTTTATCGAATCGCAAGTCAAGATCGCTAAGAGAGCTCTCGAGAAGGCAAGGGAGAGCGGGACCGACCCGCACTTAGCACTGCTGTGCATTCGCGCCACCCCAGTGTGCCAGGGCTTACCGTCGCCGGCCGAGATGCTGTTCGGTCGTCAGGTACAGGACAACCTGCCTCGCAAACACCAGCGCGACACTCGGGACGAGGCCATCCGACAGAAGCTCGAGGAACGGCAGGACCAGCAGAAAGTACACCATGACCAGCGAGCGCAGTCTCTCCGCCCCCTAGTTCCTGGTCAGCACGTCGGCATCCGCAGCCCGACCACGCACCTGTGGGAACCTGGTATCGTAACCCAGTCTGTCAACGGGCCACGGTCATACATGGTGCAGCCTGACCATGGGACAGAAGTGCGGCGCAACCGTACCCACCTCAGAGAGAGGCGGGTCCACTTCCCGCCGGATGCCAGTCTCGCAGGCCCTCAGCCGCCGAGTGACGTGCCGTCGCCGTGGAGCGACGTTAGCCAGTCTCAGCCGCCGTCACCGTGTGACGGCAGCCAGCCTGCTGAACCTGCCACCCAGCTGTATCGAACACGGTCTGGCCGCGCAGTCGCACCCAGGTCAATCCTGGATGTGTAGGGCCAGAGAGGCCTCATGGACCTGTTCGCTTATGTCACAGTAGCTGAGGTGCCATTGTTATATTGTACATAGAGCTATTGTTGGATACTATGTCTCTGTATTGTTAGCACGCCGTCGTGTGCCATTCATGATTGTTACCTTGTACATAGAGCTATTGTTGGATGTTATGTTCTATATTGTGAACACGCCGTCATATACGTACGGTATGTTATGTAGGTTGTTAAACTCCTTTATGACGAAGGGGATGTTGTATTATGATGTAATGCATTACGTAGCCATGCAAGAGCATGCGCGAGATACGCATCTCGCAGCTGCCTACTTTCATGCAGCATCCTTTAGATGTCGTGGTTCTTATGATTTGCCTACAATGGCCAAGTGAGAATATAATCCTATCGTAAACAACTAACTTGTTTACCCCGAAACACTGTACGGTGTCTGTACATGTAGGACGGGTATAAACTTACTATCTTTCGGGGGAACTGTCTTTCGGGGTGATAACCTCGGCAGTGGAAAGTGTATTTTTTATAGGGGGGTACTAAGTCATTGGGGAGAACTAACTTACGGGGAAATACGGTAATGTCCGACTCGGAAGTCACGAGGGAGGCTTTTGGAGGCTTGTTCCTGGTCCTCAAGTACTTGCATTCATCTGGTAAAGACCATCTTCAGTGTAGTATTGCCTGCTTAGCTGGAGTAACGTTATCCAATGTATCTGCAACCTTGATGTGTAGTGGCTGCTGCTTAGTCTAACCCGTACATGTACATCTAATGTACCAGATCCGTGCAAATTTGTCTACGTAGTCCAGCTTGCTACTACCTCTCTGCTACCGCACAGCCTCCACTCATGTACTTCAGTACGAGGTTACGGTACAGTCAGACCTCTCTTATCCGGTCCTCTTTTGTCCAGATCCATCGCCATCCGGAAGAAAATCGTTGGTTACCAATTTATAGCATATGTCATGCATACATACAGTGTGTGTATTCGATTATCCGGTTCCCTCGACTCTCTGGGTATTGTTTTGTGGAAACCGGATGTGTGCGGCTAAGCGAGGTCTGACTGTACTTGATTACTGCATCGTGTATGATAGTATGCTGTGAAGAGAAATCTCTCTAAACTAGGAGTTCCATCTCATGTCAGAGCAGGGTGTTGGCAACCGTGACTCATTCTGGAACCCTAGCGGCATTGCCTTCACTCAGACTGCATAAAAGATTTCTCCGGCTGGGATTCCAGGCAACTTACATTAGGGTTGTTAACAGCGCTCTTGAATTACCTCTCAGGGAAGTGCTCACAACCTTTTCTGACTGCACGTGTTTGTGTGTGTGTGTGTGTGTGTGTGTGTGTGTGTGTGTGCGCGCGCGCGTGTGTGTGTACGTGTGTGTATGTGCATATCTGTTTGCTTTTCCACTCCTTGACTAAATTGTGCAAAATCAGCATCAGACGGATCACTACGACTGGGCAAGGTATGCAAACACTACACGTAACCTACACTATTTGGCCTTGGCAGTCTGCTTAGCACTCTTTTTCTCTTATACATGTAGCTTCTTAGGGCCGGGTTTCACTGCGGCTCCACTGCTCCGCGGCAACGGTCCCAAAGTTGTGGCTTGCAGCGGACCAGCACGGTTCCACTGACAACGTGATCAGTGAGTGCTTCTGAAATGTGTATTTGCATATACCGTAAAGTACCGCCAGAGCGCCCCGTCTCGCGAGAGCGCCCCACCTTGATTTTACAGCCAAGGGAAGAAAATCGTATGGCAGAATGCTACTAAGTTTGTACGATGTGAGAACCTTCGTGTACTAAGGTCACACTTGGTATGCTTTTATGTGGAGTTCGAAGGTAAACTGGGTATGGATTGACTGCACAATGTGCAATGTTTGTACAAGGTCCGTGTCGTATGACCTACAGACAGGAATCCACCTCCACAAGGCGGCCACGAAAGGACGAGATGGTGGGGCGCTCTGGCGGTACTTTACGGTACATGTAGTGGCCAGAGTAGGTATTTATCGTTTCCCTTTCCCACTTTGGCCCGGTGATGGGTCTGATCTACTCACCTCTCACTGTTTAGTAGCTGCATCTGCGCCTTGAACCATGAGGATGGTGGCGTTCCAATGGATGCTGAAAACTTGGCCCCCAGCCGAGTCTCATGTGAACTGTGACATATTTTTGTCCACTCTTTTCCTGAGCTGCTCAGTGTGTTTTTATACACAATTTTATAGCCGGTGGTAATGCGGATGTGTGAACTTTACTTTTTGCTGACCCCAGCTTGTGTGCGTATGCGCATGCGCGCTCAATTGTGCGTGCATGCACGGGCACGTGCCTGTATGTACTGATGCTGTTCCATTGTGATCATTGTCCTACAGAAACAAGTATTTACAGGTGCCCGGCTAAGAGATTGGGGATGTGCGTCAAACTGGCTCTATCATGATGGTCGTGTGGCAGAGAGACCACCGTGTCATGGGGATGTTGCAGTGTTCCAACAGGTGAGACACATGCATGTACATACACTACAGTCAGTGTAACACACACACACACCAGTCACAGTGACGGCACAAAGCAGCAAGGCAGTGATGAGACAACTGTCATATGGAATGGCAGGGGTAGGGAGAGGCAGGGGCAGATTTGCCGACCATAGGGTCTCGGCTGCATTGCGACCCGAGCGCTCCATAGAAACAAAATACTACAGACTGGGGGGGGGGGGGGGGACAAGGCGGATTACGGAGCAAAATATGCACAATATCAGAGATGTATGTATGACTCCGCAGTTAGCAGTGTGTATCAACTAGTGTCACTACAGGCTGGCAGTGGAACTTGGGTAACACAAACACTCAAACTTGTTCATGACATTCAAATACCTGACAGTTAGCTTTAACACGCGGCATGAATGCACTAACCGGTAGCCTTCCAACGTGGTGTTTGCACAATTAACTTCCCCCCCCCCCCCCCAGCCTTCCCTTATCTCTGGCAAAATGTGGACCCTCCAAGTTGGGTGGCTATTGCTTTGATGATGCTCCGAATGTATGCTTTGACCATGTCATGCCAGGCTGTGTCCATGTCATGCCGGACGTATTCTGTTTGTATTCTCTGTGTGTTTGATCCCCGGCAGAATTCCTCGATACCCTGGGTGCACATAACCAAGCCACTCGGTGTTGGTCAGGTAATTTGGCAAGGACGGCTATTGCGTAACACGGACGACTGGCTCTCAATCACCAAGCATCAGCTGGTCATCGCTCGCCATGCACGTTTCAATGCCGAGTGTGATAGTGTCAGCGACTGTGATTGCTATACGTCAACGTCTGGTTGTGAAGAGGGTGTGAAATCAGATGATGACAATACTGCTCATCGGCCTACAGAACCAGGTGCGTGTAGACAATGGTCCAGGCTCATATGACCAGTACACTGATATGTATCATTCATTAGAATCATCACCCTATGATACCGTACAGTTGTCACTTGACTAGATGATTGGCTGATTGATTGTTGATCTACTTGTACATACTCCTAGCCATGCATCAAATAAACCAAAACCAGAATCGAATACTTGAGCTAGCTGGGAGTATTGTTTGTGTATGATCGATTCCGCCGTGCGCTTCCCCGGCCATCTAATGCTATGCAGAAGTGAAGGAACCCCTCCTCCTCGTATTGTTGCTTTAGCTCTCTCTCTTTCTCTCTCTCTCTCTTTCCTCCTTTCTTTCTGTCTCCCTCTCTTTCTTTCTGTCTGTCTTTCTCTCCTTCTCTTTACGCATGTTCTAGCAATCACTACAGCGCAGCCCTCGTCTGACCCACCAACAAGCGCTAGCAGAACAACTTCCGCCGACGAGGCCACGGAGCAGACTTCTCAGCCATCAGAGCAGCCAGTGTTTGCTGTAACCCGTAACAACACATTGACGGCCCATACTGCAGATGATGTGCATATCGGAGCATCACTGCCTCCCACACTAGTCTCCATTGAGGAGCGTCAGGATGCATTTACCAGCGATTTCTTAGAATCATCGTATCACACTAAGGTAATCACTGATGATAAACCAGCTTCAACTTCAGCCGTATCGGCCGATGATCTAGTGAGAACTGATCCAGGTGACAGTGGAAACAGTGCCTTACCTGCTGGTGGTGCCACCGCTGACCAAGACAGTGGATTTTCCAGTACGTCCCTGTGTGTTTGATTCCGGAATACATGTGTGTGTGTGTGTACGTGTGTACGTGTGTACGTGTGTATATGCCTCGATGCCACTGAGTGTTTATTCTGAAACGTGCCCCTGCAAACTTAATTCAATGTGTTGAGGTGTTACCCCCCCCAAAAATGGGGGGGGGGAGGTTGTTTATCCATCCTTGCCACGTCTGATGTTTAGCAAAACGAATTGCATGTTCGCGCTTATGCGCCAATGGAAGTTCAACTTGGTGACAGAATTCACAATTCGAAGAGGATTGGCAAACAGACTTTGTGCTGCCTTTGACAAGTCATACAGTAGGTACAGACAGTAGAACGTACAGAATGCTGTGTCATGAATCTGAGATCTGGGTTTCGACTGGTTTTCGGAACGAAAAATGAACAAAAAAAATTCCAGTTTGGGAACTGAAAAATGTGCACGAACTTGAATGCAACAATCTGTATACAGTACTAGTCCATACTTGCGGCATATATCCTGCATGCATCCTGTATGCATTTTGAGTGTGCATACGGCAGTTCACTTGGTTAACAGATAGTCAAAACATTGTGTGGATCAGCAATTTACAAAACATTCTGTTGATCTTCTTGTGCGAACGCGCGTGTATGTGTGTGTGTGTGTGTGTGCGTATGTGTCTGTGCACATCTTGTAGACACCACTCTGCTACTGATAGTCTGTGTGGTAGCATCTCTACTCCTGTCCCTTGTCATCGCGATGTTTGTCATTGCCTGCTATCGGAGACGGTAAGTCAGGGATGCATGCAGTGCATGTGTCAGTGTATGTGTCACTCTGTGTACTCAACCAATATAATACTAGAGTATGCAACTCCGCACGAGCTTGGAAAAGAGGACTGAGACTTGCGCTGCATAAGGACGACATTATTGTATATCAGGCCTGCCGGAACTGGTCCGGTTGGTCAGGTTATCACCAGACTGACTTTTCGGCCACCAGCAAGTGTTTCCTATTGTGGAGGACGCGTGTACCTGCCGTATCACACGCAAAGTATAAACGGCCATGAAACTACCGGACCAATCAAAAACTCCTTCCGACGGTCCTGTACACTAATAGATTCGCTACCAAACGGATGTACACGATAGGTTGCACTGTCCCGCGAACCCATGCGCTTCTCCTCGCCCTTACCAATCGCAGTGTGAGATGTACACCTCTGGGGTGTTTCCCTCACTAAGGGGCCATCCGGCTAATTATCGATCTTTTTTTCACACGAAATGAAACAGTTTTATTCATGGGTGGGTGGGTGGGTCGAGGAGAGTTTCGTTGGCCCCTAATACGCCTCTCTTCTTGCTGCTGTATGTGTGTTGTACTCCAGTAATCGTGACGTGAAAACCGAGACAACTAGTTGGTCACCATCAGCCAAGCGTAGTGAAGTCCAGGTTCCTGAGTCAAACAGTCATGAATACGCTACTCCTGGCAAGGCACTACAGCATGTTGATACCGTCATGCTGCAGGCTAGCCGTAAGCAAATCGCCGAGTACAGTGACCCGAGCATCTGCACTCAGAGTGCTGCCTATGCTGCAGCTAGCTGTTGCCATGCTGTGGATGCTGCCCCAGAAGAGTACGACCTGTCAGCAGCTGAGACTGGTCTCACAGAGCACGACGGTGGTCCTCACACTGGTCGTAGCTCTATCGTCAGCTCATGCCGGTCATCCGTCCCTCCACCAGTGCCCGAGAGACGGCTTAGCCAAGTGACACCGACTGCGGGTAGTGAAGGCATGTTCTACAGCCCACTGCCAGGTCGCAGGTTTGCCACGCCGGAAATGTCGGTGCGTCGCTTTGCTACGCCATCGGACTTGCCGCAGTCCGAGTGGAAGAGGATGGTTTTATCGGAGTTTGATTCGTGTGACAGTCTGAGTGCTCCGCTACCTCCTATGCAGACAGCTTGCGCCACTGCTGCCGTTGGTGGTGGTGGTGATAGTGGTTATTGTGGTGGTGGCGAAAGCATTACTCATGCTGCAGTGAACACAAGCAACACCAACGCCATCGATGTCAACAGTCACACACTCGATGCATCGCAGGAGCTGTACACGTGTTCCAAGATGCGACGCAGCCTCAGCAACTGCCACGGCGCCAGTAGCAACAGCAGCGTGTTTGTTCACGCTGGAAAGCGATCACGCCCAGCCAGCATCAGCAGTGAGAAAGAGCTAGGCTCATTAGCGCGTCAGCACCATCAGCAGCAGCAACCACAGCACCATCAACAGCAACAACACCAGCAGCAAAGTCGTCGCTCTACTGCAGCTGCTGGCCAGCATTTTCCGCTGGCAGATGGTTACATCAGTTCGTCGTCATCATCGCCTGCAGCATCACGGCGCAGGTCCTACGCCAGTGCAGCAACAACCAGTCTGCCAGCTGGTGCACCCAGTGCGGTTGCTGCTACTGCCTCTGCTTCTGCTGGCAATGCAGCCATGTCTGTATCTACATCTGCAGCACAACAGACATTTGAGGTACTGGATGAAATGGCTACGGATGACATGAGCAGGGGAACTACATCAACTGGTCTCTACTCTACGTCAACATTCAGCACACCCGCTCCAGTGGCCGAGGCGACTTCTCCTCAGGATGAGGACACACCGGTGTACGCTAATGTTCGGGACGGCTTCCGCCCTCGTGATGTCCACACCGTTATGTCCATAGCTGAGCAACGAGGCATAGCTGCAGGCTGTGAGTATAGCAGTACCGGTCACACCCACAACAACAGCAGCAGCAGGCCAGCACAAGATGTTCTAGCTAGTGATCATGCCGGAGATTTGCATCCTGAGCTTCCAAGCCCTCCAGCTCTAGATGAACTTGTGAACATGCAACATGACAACTATCGGCAGCCCTACTACACTGCTGATGAAGATTTCTAGCAGTGTCACAGTCACGCTAGCAGCAGCAGTAGCAGCAGCAGCATTGCTTGAGCTATAGCATTGCTACTTACTTCAGCAGTGCAGCACACACTTTGCACCTTGAGCGGCGGTGTAGTGATGTGTGTGCGTGTGCTTGCAGCAGCTAGCTACTCCAGCAGTATGCGTACAATACGGAGACAGCAAGCCATGTGTAACAGTATGGTTCTATGTCTTCATTGGAGGTCTTTCTAGTCGCCGCATCCGATATATTTTGCATTTCCTCATTTTCCTCATGATGTTTCACACACATCATGCCATTGCCCATGTTCTGCGACCTGCATGCGCTCGAAGGAAATCTCTCTCTCTCTCTCTCTCTCTCTCTCTCTCTCTCTCTCTCTCTCTCTCTCTCTCTCTCTCTCTCTCTCTCTCTCTCTCTCTCCCTCCCTCCCTGTGAGTTAGAACAATGATATTATCCTGATGCTGATGTGCACACATGTATTGTCTTTCCACTCAGCACCGATACGCTGTGCCCGAACACACTGCAGATATATTTTAAAAATAATATATTATTCACAAAAAAACGTTCTATTTTCAGCTTGCATTGCAAGGCAACGATGTAAACAAAGTAAGTTGCAAACTAACAGCCAGTAGATCTACACACACAATGTCATGTAATTTTTCTGCCGAACTACATTGTTCTCTGCTTTACATATCCTGATTCTGTCAACAAAACTACTTGAAGTAAAGTTATTACTGCAGGGAGGCCATACTGCAGTGGTGCTCTGAGTCTATGCAGCCCATCAGTGCCAGTGGCCAACGATACAGTCATAAAGCTGAGTGGCGATGTTGTAACAATGATACGGTGCACTTTATACTTTAGAGGTTGTGCAATCACATCACCAGTTGAGATGCTTTGGGGGAGCGCTGCACTTGCACTAGCGACTCACGCTGCATACATAGCGCCCACTAGAAGATCCGTTGACTAACGCCATGAAATCATTCGCATAACCTCCATAATACCATGATATACATGCTTGCACGTGGACATCAGAGAGTCGTAGCATCTAGGTAGATGACACGGGTGACTGTAAAGTTAAATGATGTCTGTTTCGCTCCCGGGTTGCCCGTCACAGTCGAGCTTGGCGTAGGGCCGATTTATGCATGCTCGCATATGACATTACTGGTCAGGGCCGTGCTTTTAAAGATGCTATGACTCTGGTCCTGGAGGACATGTACATGACTGTAATGACAAAAGCTTGTGTGTGTGCGCGCGCGTGTGTGTGCGTGTGTGTTGCCGAGGCATAGTGCATAATGTGTATATGTGTTTAATAATATGCACAAGCACGTAGTTGCGTAGGCTGTGGTATCATGCCAGTGCTGGACGGGTTCACTTTGATTCTTGTGATCATGCTCATAATCATGGCATGTGTTATGCTTGTGATGCTGCTCTCTGACTCTGTGCTACTTGCCACTGCTACATGCACTGAGTACAAACGTATGTATCGCCCTGCCTGTCACAGTGTTTGTTGAATGTGTATGAAGTTCCGAAGGCCTGCTGAGGTCCATGCTGCTCAGTGTAAAGCATGCAGTGCTATACTATTGTACTGTCTTTTTTTGATCCTGAATCGTGGCAGTGGTGGCTAGGTTATATAATTATACGTACTGTAAGTCTACTCAATATGCGGAAAGAACTGTTTCGTCCTTTGTGAACTCATCAGCGCAGCACAGAGATAATGAGGCCGAACCTGATAGCAATGAAAAATAAATTTTCCAAAGCCAGATTTAACCAGGCCCGAACGCACTGTAAGTCTACAGATTTTCGGCGCATTTAAATATTAGCCCCCTCCCCCGGGGCTAAAACACATGTCGGCCGCATTAGTATATCAGCCTGTACTCCTGCTGCCTGTGTACACTGTCACATTGAAACAACATTTTGGCAACAACAAACTTCAGGCCAAAAATGCCCAGGCCAAAATAGCCGAAAATAAGTATGCGCCGAATATTTGTTGAATGCTAAAGAAACTGCGGATGTGCACAAACGAACCCTGGAGGATGTACATGTACATGTATGTATAGTCGTATATTGATTGTAATAAATGCCGAGCCGAAGGATTTACTTGAATAAAAGCCGATGAGGCGAAGACAAGGTTTTTTTACTGGTATGTACTTGTAATAAGACCTGAGGCTAACTCTCCTCCTCCATGCGCTCTAAAGCCGACCATTGCTACCCTCGGTAGCCATTACTCACACCAATAACTTCAAACAACGAAGTTTATTGAAAGTCCTGAGGCTACTAGCCTACTACATTTTTATTATGTGTATTGACCTTGATATTTTCCCCCTATTAAAAAAGGAGTATTTTATATTAAACAAGCCTCACCCTTACTTCTGATTTTATAAACGGTAGCTATAAATGTCATACACTATTGATCTGACATGCAACTGTTTCTAGATTTAGTACGGTCTTCGATAATCACCTTTCCCCAAAGGACCCCAATACAAGCAGCAAATAGCCAAACCTCTGATAAATCCAACGGCACGACTATTGCAGGCTCGATACTGTAGTTATTATGGACGACTCCCTGGTTTGTAGCAGGGATCACTCACAACTCACTGGATCATGGATCATGGACCCAATGGCCAAGCAAGATCTCGAAATAATAATTATACATGGGGCAAAAGTTACTTTTTTGAATCGGACGCGTCGACGCTCTGTAGTACATACGCGGTACGCACAGATCTCCAAGCTCGCTACACATTTTTTTTGTCGCCTGCATGCATGCAGTGCAAGCCCACATCATGCATGTGCATACTGCTGATCAGGTCATGTCAGTGCGCGCAGTGTGGATCGGTTTTCCATGAGCAGCGAAAAGGTAGCTACCGTAGGATACCGCGTAGCTGTGGACCGTACAGTCGTATCAGCCCTGATCGACCCGAGCAACAAGAAGCTGTCCCAGTCTGCTGGCAATGTTCTTGTGTCAAACCAATTATTTTCGAGTGCGTTTGATTGTTATTTTGATGCCAGTATCCTTACCAGAGCTGGTGAATCATTTCATTTTTTCCTGTGTGGAAGCTTTTGGGCGGCCTGTCACTTTCAGTAGTCGTGGTGTCATTGCCGTTCAGTCCCAGGTGTTGAATGATGATTTAGTCCAGCTGCATCGATATAAAGTACTGCTTGATTTGTTGAAAGACACAGTTGTCGTTTGAAGTGTCCTGTGAGGTCTGCTGGTGTTTGTGGAGATGTGATGCGTCTATCCTAGCTGTCAGCACAGTATTTGGAAAATGGCGGAGGAAGTCTCTTCCGTGGAGAAAATATCGGAGGAAGAACTGTTGGCGAAGCTTGAAGAACAAAACCGGTGAGTTTTGATGATCGATTCTTCAATCATGTCAGCGTATCGATGAATGAAGAACTGCTTGGTGTCGTTTGCTCAAAGCTGGAAAGAGATTTGTCGTCCCATAGCTCCGTGTGTGTGTCTGTCTTTGTGTCTGTTTGCATGTTGGCTTCACTTGAATGTTCTGTATTAATTTTGTAAATAATCATGTTGTGAAGATGTGGCGTATGTCGTGATTAGCTGTGGTTTGGCCAGAAAGCAATGGTCCATGAAAACTTTGGAACATGAACGTTTGAGAAGCTATGGCCATGGGGGCACAGGCCTCTTGACTTGTAGCTGTACGTTTATATTTTTACTCATTTGAATTGGTTCATCTCGATCGAGTGCCATGGTAGTAAATCTCGGTGGAATCCACGTGTAGTTCATTGTATTCCTCCCTGGGTCAAGAGTCAGTCAGCTGCAGATCCGCCTCGTGTGATATTTCTGTCGGCTAAAGTGATTAGTACGGTAGTGGTTGCACCACCCCTTCTACTTCCTTCTGCATTTTCAGCCGGTGCGCTCGTTGCCCAACTCAGTACGAAACCACTGCACATGTTGACGATGCACACAGCACAGTCCACAGTTTACGAACATAACAATCGTAGATCTACGATCTGCACTTTGTTTAGATTTATCTACCTGTGTGGAATTTTATTGCTTGGTGAGTTGCGCAGTGGTGGGACAGGTTACCGGTGTTGTTGTCTAGATAACCATGCATGCAGTCGCACACGTGTTACACAATGGGCATACACGCATATCATTGTGAGATGGTTTGCCTCACTGCACACGCACACTGCCCACACAAGTAACAGTTTGTATGATTTCATGTACAGGGTGATTTGATTATGTTGCGCTAAAGCGATGTTTTTGTAACGCCAGGTAATAACTGATGGATTATGTTTAAATTCCCGAAGCAACAAAAGAGTCGAAAAAGACGTTAGTATGTATGTATGTATGCGTGTGTGTGTGTGTGTGTGTGTGTGTGTGTGTGTGTGTGTGTGTCCCATATGGTGCAGTGGTATGTGCAGCGATTTCCAATCGATAGGTTGCGGGTTCGATTCCCGACGATTATGGTCACACACGTCTTTCTTCTCTTTCTCAGACTCTTCCTGACTTTTCTTTCATTCTCCTGGGTGGTTACCAACAGCCAGTGCATGCCGGAGTATGTGGTGTGATGTGTGTGCGGGAAAAAAAAATAAAAAGACCAAAAAGTAGGGATTCACTGGCCAGAAAAAAAGCCACTTCAAAGCTGTGTGGTGTAGACCAGGCTGAATAGTGGTGGTCAATTCTTCAGCCTTGCAAGCTGTTGAATGGTGCAATCCCAGCACAAGTTGCTATGGCTTCTGCTGTAGCATCGCTATCATCGCCTCTGGCGATGGGCGTCCAATGGTCCAATGGTGTGTGTGTGTGTGCGTGTGCGTGTGTGTGTGTGTGTGTGTGTTTGTGTCAAGGGTGTTGTTCACCTGTCACATGACTGATTGTAGGTGACTGTGTGACTGGTCGCTGTCACACGTACCACGTGACTAATCCCTAGTTTAGCTGGCTCAGCCGAATGAGTTGTTTGTATGAGGGCCTAGATAAAAAACGAGCATAGCGAGAGTCCTGAGCTGGCTCTCTCGTTGATGTAGATTACTGGTTTGAAGACTTCACTTATTCGGCGTGTATTGACCGCTATTATACAGACCATCCTAGTAATGAAAACGTTTCCGTGGAGATAGGAATGCTATTAGCGCAATGAATCTACTGTCGTGGACATGGAAAATTGGAAATCCAGTCAAATGACTGGAGCCGGCACCCTCAGTGCGTACAGAACGTTGCATGTATGCAGTGCACATGCTGATCCGATGCGACCAGCAGCAGGCCAGCGCGCTGCAGCGTATAAATGAAATGTGTGCACGGTATGTGTACTCACGGTTGCATGGCCAGCGCCCTGGGGCCGCTAGATGTGCGACCAGATTTTCATGTCCACGACAGTAGTTGTCCAGGTGTGATATGCGGTGCTGGACGTGTGAAATCGAGGGAGAGGAGAAAGGTGACAGTGGCCTGAGCCAGACCAGGGTGATGGCTCTCTGTTTCACTGTGATTGCTGCCGGACTTTTGGCATTAGGATTAGATGGTGGTTGGTGTAACACACTCGGCTTATAATCTGCTCTCTGTTAGCTTGATAGCATCATTGATTGTACTTGATGATGGCTAATCGCCCTGAAGTTGTAATTAAAACAAAGCTGGTTTGGGGAATTTCAGTGTCTTCTGGAATGGATGTGTCCACCTGACCCATCTTTTACTTTGTAGGAACTGCAAGAAGCCTCAACATTTCTCCTGGGTTATAGTGTATTTCCGTCGTTTTTTCCGAGTAGTGAAGCGGGCACCATTCAGTCCCGAGGTGCCCGGATAAGAGAGGCTCTTCTGTTGCCTTCCATGCACTGTGTACTGGTTTGCGACTCAGTGGGACATGACATGCAACATTATGTATGCTTTGCGGACTGTCTAAATGGCCTATGCTGTACGGTCTTGTGCTTGTTTGGTTGGCGGTATGTTACAAAGTGGAGGACACACTATGTTGAAATCAGTGCTCCCTACTACAACCATCATCGGCTGGCAGAGCCCCGGTCTTGCTAATACCAGTCTTGTACTTGTAACTAGTAGTCCAGTCCACGACCACGACCACCACCACCCGTCACCACCACCACTTGCTCAAGGCTTGTACACGAGTTGCATTGTGGATGCATGCACTTGAATATGCTGCACGACTGCAGTTAATCAAGTTCTGCTTAATTCAGAGAGAAGAGTGTTGCTCATGGTTCAGATTTCACTGACCTATACTGTAGATAGAGGTAACCCCCCCCCAAACCCACACCACCATCAGGCAGTAACCTTCATGATTGTATTCTACTCTCTTTTGGCATGGTCGTTTTGTTTTACTAGTATGTGACTCTATTGTTATTGTCCACTCTGGTGTATTGCTACATTGCAGACTACTACAACAAGACAGCAAGGTACCTAACCTCCCACAGCGTGTCCCGTCAACATCATCGTCTACATCCATCTCCACCAGTGACTTCTCGCCGCTCGCACACCACCAGCAGCCGCCGCCACAGCAGCAAGGTCCACAGCCTAATCGTCCTGTAGCAGCGGCAACATCGGTGTTAGGATCCATCATTTCAGCAGTCTTGCACCCCGATGCTGATAAGTAAGGGCCATGCAAGCACTTTTCTTTTCATGCAACGCGTGCGTGGTGTGTTGTGAGTACAAGTCACACCAAGAGTACATGAAGCCCAGAATGTGCAGCTTCCGACTACAGTAAAGCCTGTCAAGGCGACCACCTGTCCTAGAAGACCACTGAAACCAGGACCGAGGGATGCTATTTCCAGTCAAATGACCCTGGATAAGGAGACCACCTGGTAACAGTGACCAACTTGTGAAGGTCCCTTGAGCGGTCGTCTTAGACAGGTTTCACTGTAGGTCTGCATGGGCGCCTGTCACGGCGAACTTCCAGGATTACATCATATTCGGTGCAGATCTGAGGTGGGAAGTGGCGTAGTGCGTACAACCAAGCTGCAGTTGTGCAGAAGGAGACCTGCTTGTACGCACTACGTTACTAAAATGATGTAATCACGGAATTCCGCCGTGACAGCAACCCATCAGAGCTGTACACTCTGGGTTTCATGTGCTCTTGGTCATGTTCATGCCTTGAACAAGTTGATAGCAACGCCATCTCTCGTAAGGTTTTCGGCCTCCGACCGCTTATTGGTGGATATGAGATCTACATGTACTTACCTCCCACCACTTTAGAAGCTGCTGCATGGGATGATGCGTTGATCCTTGATGGCGGTGGTGTTCCTACAGTTGGGGAATAGTCAGTCTCATTGACACTGACCTGAGGCAGGAGTTTTATTTTATTTCATCATGGTAACCCTTTGCGTGTGTGTGTTTGTGCTGTGTGTGTGTGCTGTGTGCGCGCGCGTGCGTGTGTGTGTGTGTGCGTGCGTGTGTGTGTGTGTGTGTGTGTGTGTGTGTGTGTAGGACTTCACAAGGTAGTGCATCTTTGGCGAGTACTCCCGGTGAACCCCCAGATATATACCAGGTTAGTGGTCTTGCTATGCACATGTATCTTGGTACCTGTGTTTTTCTGTCTCATGTGTACTGCAAGCAGGGTATCCTTTGCGATCTAGAGTCCTACGTGGTTTTCGTGATGGGTGTGAAATCGTAAAAGCAAGAACTGTAGTAGAAAAGTGCCAGTGAAATTGACTCCAATCGCAATCGTGCGAATGGGTCTGTGCTGGTAAATCGCAAACTAAAGCCGGCGCAAGCTTTCCAGGCTTACAGTATCTTAGTATCTGTGTTTGTGTGTCACCTTTATTCTAGAAGGGCGTGGTTGGGCATCATGCAATGTAGCAAGGGCACGGTCGCTCATCATGCTATCATTTTCGGGGAGTACAGTGTACTTCTTACTACATGCCAGCCAGTGTTTGTGAAAGGTGCTACATGTATGAGAAATAATTCTGAAACTGCTGTGTGTGCATGTGTACATAGGTATGGGGTGAGTTGCTCTCGTCTTGGGAAGACACTCAGAAGCGGAAAGGCAAGCAGCTACAGCGTCTAGTGCGTGGTGGTATTCCTGGTAAACTGCGTGGCTTAGCTTGGCAGCTGTTGTCAGGAGCCAAGAACCACTTGATATTACCCAACAGCTATTTGCAACTGTTAGAGGTAAGGCTCAGCTTCTATTTGTTTTTTGTGTTTTTTTGCGGATGATCACAGCCTCTTTTACATGCAAAAGCAAAGTTGTACAGCTTGTGTTGATGTTTAGCAAAGGAAGAACAGAAGAAAACTGAGCCGAAAAGTACTATGCTGTGAAACACGCATGAGGGCAGATAAGGTCAAGGAAAACTTTCTTCTATTGTACATTATACAATTCAACGGGGAAATTCCTATACCATACCCCGTGAAGACAAATGTCTTCTGTATTAGAATATCCACACTCTATTTTTGTCACATGCCACACATGCTTACAGTGTAAGGAGTTATATTCGGGGGGGGGGGGGGGGCATAGTCCTAAAAGAGCCGTAGTTTGTTGCGGATTCTCTGAAGCCGTACAGCACTATCGGGCGGCGAAGAAAGTAGCGCCAACGAGCTTACAGGCTTGGATTTCACCAAGCATAGCATGCCACTACTAGTACATACGCGGCGATTCCACTGCGCATAGACAGTGGTAGTGACATGTAAATAAGAACGGCCTAGGCCTAGACTACGAGGCTGACCTCTCAGATCTTCGGCACCTGACAGTACTGTATGGTATTTGACCGGGCTGTTCAGGCATTGTAGATTTTGATGTGATGTACTGCCTGCTAACTTATTTAGTATTTACGCTGCATCTTGACAGCTTTAGGAGCTGCATATGCGCCTTGATCCTTGGGGGTGGTGGTGTTCCTACGGATGCGGAAAACTCGGCCAGCCGAGTCTCACGAGAACCGTGATTTTTGTTGACAGGTGCTGTGCTGGCTTGCACTTGTATGGCATTCTTCTGTATCTTAGCATTGTGAGGCGTTACTCCCTTTGCCCTCCTTTTCCACACGCCCTTGGTCTCAGTAAATCTGAGCTCCCTTTATAGCTTGTCCCCTGAGAACAGAGTAGCAGGTGCCAGTCCTCCCACCCCCCTCTGTCTCTTTCTCTCTCTCTATCTCTCTCTCTCTATATCTATCTCTCTCTCTCTCTCTCTCTCTCTCTCTCTCTCTCTCTCTCTCTCTCTCTCTCTCTCTCTCTCTTCCTCTCTTCCTCTCCGTTGCTCAGAACCGTGGTGACCTTTTTTTGATATTACTTTTTTTCATGTGTAGTAAACGTTGGTGTGGATTGGGTGTTCGTATATTTTGTTTTATGTGATAGCGCGACTCGCCATGTGAGAAGCAGATTCGTCGTGATCTTGCACGGACATTCCCCGACCATGACTTCTTCAAGGAGAAGGACAGTTTGGGCCAGGAAGCACTTTTCAATGTCATGAAGGTTAGAATTGAATTGATGATTACTCTGTGTAGCGTTATCATCTCTAGTAGTATTGTCTCTAACATTTGTGTCCATGCTGCTGAAGCTGATGCTGCCCTGGGTGGCTCAACTCCCTATTTACAAGGCAACCCATGGCCAAAAAGAAATGTGAGACAGGCTTTAATACAAGACACTACGGTACGTCCCTGGTTCATCTTCTCTTCGTGGAATGTGTGTACTAACGACGTGAATTCTGGCTGTCAAACCCAGAAAACCACTGTACGTAGTACGATACATTGTAGGATACGTATATTGTTTTGCAAGTACCGGACTCATCATTTAACAATTTTTTTTAAATTTGTTTGGTCTTGTGTTGTAGGCATATTCGCTTCATGATCGTGAGGTTGGCTACTGTCAAGGATCACCGTTCATTGTAGGCCTTCTTCTCATGCAGGTAATGCCTGGTGTGTGTGGTGCGTGCGTGTGTGTGGTGCGTGTGTGTGTGTGTGTGTGTGTGTGTGTGTGTGTGTGTGTGTTGCGTGTGTGTGTACCACAGCTGTTCTAGCGTGGCCACTTATCACAATGGCGGCCAAAAATCAGGATCCGCGAAAAACTTGCTACGTCACAAATCTCTATGGAAACTCCAGAGCGCGCGACGTGTCGACGAACATTTCCAGTCATTTTTGTACTTGTTGAGGGCTTGTAGCCGTGTGACTGATTTTTAGTAGATTTTTTGATCGAGAGAAATTCAAGTTCTTCAGAATGTTTTCCCTTATGTATTCTGTCTAGACACGTTCTGGCTACATTTATACCTATGGACAGGTGTGGACAACCAACCCTAGCGGGTCCGCCGGCCTAGGCTCCGGAGGATAACCTAAATTGCGAACAACAACGATTCAAAGGATCAGTATCAACTATTCAGTTATTGAAATGTTAGGTATATTTACGCTTACCTTTCTACTTCTCAAGTCTTCATCTCTTCGGCTGAAGTATCATACGGTTGTAGTGGGGCAATGCCGTTGTCAGATACTGCGTGACCAGAACTCGCAGCGGATCGACATCACGGTTCATGTTCTCAAGGGACGAGCGAAGCTGCTTGAATTTCCTGTGGGTACTTTCTCCACCTTGCTCACCGAGGAGGCGAAGGGAGACGCCGAATCGTAGCATGCAGGGAATTGTGTGACACTCAAGCAAGTGTAACTAGGGTGTGATGGACTTCCCGAGACGTTCTGCAATGTCATGCCTCACCATTGCCATGAGCTCGGGAATCTGCTCCTCCAAGGATTCCAGGACATCGTCATCTGCTGCTTGGCACTTGGAGAATACTGCTCGACAACTAGCATACGCTGCAAACAGCTTGCTGTAGCGTGACTGTAGCTCCTGAGCCTCCTGGAGTATGCTGGTCTCGTCCAGCGACGGAGAATCTGACAGATATGACTGGACCGTTGCTACTGGAGCAGTGATGAGCTCGTCAATAACGGTCTGCTGCAGTGCCCTGTGGACGTGGTTGCCGATGAAGGCACCAGAGTGGTATGCCTGCCGCTCGATGCGATGCTTGACGAGTACTGTCTCGAAGCAGGACACACAGGGACCACTCTCCACAGAGGCAGTTGATAACGACTGTTGCAGAGTAGCAATCTCTTCCTGGAGTTTCTGTGCTGACTCTTTCAGCTGCGCCCATTGAGACTGTAATGCTGCAACTGCAGCCATTGCAGCCTGGTCCTCCTCCCGGCAGTGCAGCATCACAAAGGACAAATGCTGTTGTACATTGCTGATGTCCTGCTGTGGCTCTACGAGCTCAATCCGGGCTTCCCGCAGACGACAATTCTCCTGGGAAACACGTACGAAAGACTCTGACGGTTGCTGGACATCAGCGCTTAACGTTGCAAGCGCCAGATCCAGCTTCTCTGCATCCTTCAGCATGCCCGCATACAACCATGGAAATATCCTGAGGTCCAGATGCAGCACAGGAATGCAAATATTTTCGATTTCGAACAATACTGGTCTAATAACGTTCTTGTGTTCCTTTGCTCTTGATAGTTTGCTCCTGTCTGCCTGAAACGCTTCTACGTTGTTGTTAAGAGCATGCAGTGTGCGTTGTGGTTGAGTGCTTGCAGTGTGGTTGTGCTGGAAAAAATCAGAATGCAATAGTTGCTCTCTCAGTACCTGGATTAGCAGTGGGTGTGGTGCTTTGTATTGTGAAAGGCGAAGTTGTTGGCTGCAGTGTGTGCGTGTCATCCTCCTGGTGGTGAGCGTACACACAGGACGCATACAACAACAATAGACAACACAGTGGCTGCACAGTCCTATCGACAATATCTACACATACACCACACACACCACACGCTAGGCTCGGCACGGGAGAAATGAACCTACTCGGCTCTAGCCGTCTCTGGGTCTTAAAGGACGGAGCTGTGATCTGGTAGAATTCCTCTTCTTCCATGTCAGTTGCAACATCCAGTGCACCATGCTCCTTGGACATGCTGGATGAGGCCTGCACTCCCGAAAACTTCCTCTACTTTGCTGGACGACCACCCTGCACTACCTTCCCTCTCATCTCACATGAGGTACAAGGGTGCTTTAGCCATCGGTGGGCAACCCTTGGCCTCGATGTTGCACTGGATGCAGCTACTGCACTGGATTCACTGAATGTCGATGACGAGCCCGTTGTCACAGTAGAGACACCACTCACTCGCACTGAACTTTGTAAGTGTGGCTCTGCACGATGCACAGAAATGCGTCGGATGAATTTCAGGGTCATCCAGACGTGTTTCTGTGCTGTAGCAACGAGCTATGCCCACAACATAGTCCTCCACCAGGTACACTGACGCCACCCTACCAGAATACCTGCGATGGAGCTTGCCTGCACACATACAGCTCAGCTGGGCAAGGTTCTTCACGTGCTCCTCCATCCTGATCAGCTGATGCATCAAAAAATACACAACACGCGGGCGGTTGTAAGCAAAAAGCTCTTCATGCTTTCAAGCTGATTCTTCTCAACGAGCAGCACGAAAGCCTTACCTCCACGAGAAAACTTCTCGATACCGTGGCAAAAATCCAGAAACAAGGCTGAGTCACGTCAAAGTGCTCTATAACCAAAGTGAAAGCTGCTTTCACGAACTATCCAGTGCTGATCAAAAAGACGAGAGACTCGCAAAAAAAAAAGCAAAGGACAGCTTGAGCTCTTGATCGCGGCAGGGACATACCTGACCTGGCGAACCCGATCGATTTTATCGATTCCCGGTTTGATTTGGTACGGTTATCTCTGGGAATTTGGCCAGTGACCTGACATTTCACGCACAGCTGACTCCCACGAGCGTCGTCATCTTCACCAAAAATTCAAATCTCAACAGAAAATCAGCTGGCTTTTGAGTGGCCGTTTTTCGCCCACTTGAACAGCCGTGGTGTGTGTGTGTAGTGGGTGGGTGTGTGTGTGTGTGTGTGTGTAGTGTGTGCATGGGTGGGTGTGTGGTATGTGTGTGTGTGTGGTATGTGTGTGTGGTATGTGTGTTTTTGTTGGGGGGAGTATCAATCAGATCCACTCTGATTTAGCAGCCCACATTTGGGTGCAGGGGCAAATGCAATTGGATCCCAGATGGATACCTGGATACCTTGCCTATCACGGGAATCTCGAGGTGTGGCGAGCCTACAAGTGGGATCATTTCCAAGTCCACCTGGAGTCTGGGGATTTAGGGATGTTAGCTGCTGGGCTGTACAATAGCCATTCGAGGCATCTTTCCAACGTTACTTTTAATTCTCTCACCCAAGGAGACCCTTGTGATCAGTGTTTGCCATTGAGCAAGCCCAAGCATGTAGATGGGAGACCCTTGTGATCAGTGTTTGCCATTGAGCAAGCCCAAGCATGTAGATGGGCAGGTAGTTGTGTGTGTGTGTGTGTGTGTGTGTGTGTGTGTGTGTGTGTGTGTGTGTGTGTGTGTGTGTGTGTGTGTGTATGTGTATGTGCGTGTGTGTTCGAGTGTGTGTGTGTGTCCGACAAGAAAATTGAAGGAGTTTTTTTCTCTGTATTTTTGAAATGATTTCCGGGCTTTTGCTTGTCCCTGCTGGATTCTCATCTCTACGGTAGTACTTGTACTGATGCTGACTCTCACCTCTGCTATTGCTGACTCTCGTTTACTTACTCTATGTTTGTAGATGCCTGAAGAAGACGCGTTTGGTGTCTTGGTCAGAATCATGCAGGAGTATCGGCTACGAGAGCTCTTCAAGCCGAGTATGTCCGAGCTGGGTGTGTGTCTGCATCAGCTTGACTCACTCCTGCAGGTATGTAACACTTTGCTCTGCTGCACATCATCATCACCTTACCCTAGGTACAGAGGGGCTAATGTTTCATGCTCTGTATCCTATCCATGCAGATGTACAGTTAAACCTGGTGTAAGCGACCACCCCACGGTGCAAGCAAAAGCGGGCGTTAAAGCCAGGTGGTCTTTAGAACCAGGTCCCACAGTTTCTGTGGAGAACTGTCCGTGCATGGAAAAACGGTCGTTAAGAGCAGGTGGTCGCTAAACCCAGAGGTCGCTTACACCAGGTTTTACTGTATGCGATGACCACCCAATTGTTTTGTGTACTATGTTATATATATGACAAATCATTGAAATGAGATAGAACAAGGTTTTCATATTCTTTACTTTGTATAGTTTGAGTTTTTCACCATTGATCTCCAAACCTCTCTCTCTCTCTCTCTCTCTCTCTCTCTCTCTCTCTCTCTCTCTCTCTCTCTCTCTCTCTCTCTCTCTCTCTCTCTCTCTCTCTCTCTCTCTCTTCCATTCTGCAGGAACATCTAACAGAGCTGTATGGTCATTTTCAGGCACAAGGTTTCCACAGTACTATGTACGCGTCATCATGGTTTCTGACACTCTTCTCCAGTGCCCTCCCTCTGGAGATTGTGTTCAGAATAATGGACTGGTTCTTGTTGGAGGTGAGTCAACTGCTGATACTGAGCTAGAAAATACTGTGTGTGTGTGTGTGTGTGTGTGTGTGTGTGTGCGTGTGTGTGTGTGTGGTACATGGTGTGTGATACATGGTGTGTGGTACATGGTGTGTGTGTGTGTGTGTGTGTGTGTGTGTGTGTGTGTGTGTGTGTGTGTGTGTGTGTGTGTGAGGGAGAGAGGGGGGGAGAGAAGAGAGAATTTAGGCTGATGGCTTGTGGCTAAAGTCGAGCAACTTCGGGTGAGGCCACTGACAGGATGGGTACGAATGGAGCTGTCTGTGGCTTGAAACATGAGAAAATGACTTTGGCACAGAAACCACTGCGTTACAACAATTTGATCAAGTGACTTGATTTGTACTGCTTAGCTTACTGTAACCATGGAATTTGACGGATGGGCTGGAGGGCAAAGTAGTGCATACAGGTGAAGAACAAAACAGGGAAGGCCGTTTTTGATCTCCTGTAGATAGCAATCAATGTACCCACACACCATCACTAATGCTCTGAGTCTGCTCTGAGTCTGTACCCATTCCGGCTGTAGAAGTCTTAGCCAGAATACGTATGGCTGACCGCTCTGTTCTTTGTGTGTGTGTGTATTGTGCATGCGCGTGTGATGCTGATTATGATCGTATTATTGCTGTGTGTGTTATGTTCAGGGCATGGAGGCTGTATTTCGTATCAGTATTGCTCTGCTGCAAGGTGCTCGCGATGACCTACTCAACCTTGATATGGAGGGTATGGTGAAGGTACGCATCCCTTGCACTGATAATGATATCAACACCAATTCATGGGTGCTGCATAGCGAGCCCCTTGCTCTGATAATTCAACACACGAATCCATGGGTGCTGTATAGCGAGCCCCTTACTCTAATCAACACACGAATTCATGGGTGCTGCATAGCGAGCCCCTTTCTCTGATCAACACACGAATCCATGGGTGCTGCATAGCGAGCCCCTTTCTCTGATATTTCAACACACGAATCCATGGGTGCTGCATAGCGAGCCCCTTACTCTAATCAACACACGCATTCATGGGTGCTGCATAGCGAGCCCCTTTCTCTGATCAACACATGAAATTCATGGGTGTCGCGTTGCAGTCCATTGCATACCAGGTGTACTTTATCAACAATAGAGACTTATTTGTAACGTTTCCTAGGAGTGCGAGTCGAGCATGAGTCGAATACTCATTCGTGTTCTGGTCCATCGAGGATTCATAAGAGCTCAGTAGAAAGACTCATTGTATAATGACTTCGATTAACCAGTGTGCGCCTGCTCATGTATCAGCTGTTCCGATTGGGATTCGTTCCATCACGGATTCCGAATTGTCTATATTGGTGCTGTCATTTGTTTTCTTTCTTCATGTATATTTGATTCAGAATCTAGTGTGATGCTTTACACAGTTTTCATTGAATAGGAAACAGCAATACTGGCTGGCACTCAACTGCTGTATTTCAAATGATTAGAAGTCTTTTCAGGGGAGTGTTTAACGTGTTGGTCATCCTAGCTATCATTTGGGAGTCAAGTTGACATGGAATAGGAGAATAGGAGAGCCGAGAACGGTGGTGTTTGTGCACGTGTGATTCATATCACCAATAATATCAAACAGCAGAGATCACAAGATGGTATGAAATAAGGCATGTAAGCCCAGGGTACAAAGCAAGGTGAAAGAGAATCAATGGCACTTGATAAGTGGCTTTGATTGATGCAATGTGGCACATGTGGTATGTGTGTATATGATGTTTGTGCTTGTTGGCTTGATTTGCTTACAGTTGCTGCAGAACACGCTGAAGAGCCGGTATGAACTGGAGGAAGATCAGGAAGCCCTCTTCATGCGTGCCTTCGACCTGAAGGTGAACTCAAAGAAATTAAAGAAGTGAGTTCTGTACCGGCCGTTGTACACTTATGAAGAGACCCTGTACTGGCAGAGAGATACAGGCAGACAGGTATAGAGACACAGGCAGGAGACGGAGATATAAAGACAGACAGGAGACAGAGATACAGACACAGACAGGCAGGCAGACAGAGATATAGACACAGACAGACAGAGATACAGACACAGACAGAGATACAGAGATACAGACACAGACAGACAGAGATACAGACACAGACAGAGATACAGAGATACAGACACAGACAGACAGAGATACAGACACAGACAGACAGAGATACAGACACAGACAGAGATACAGAGATACAGAGATACAGACACAGACAGACAGAGATACAGACACAGACAGACAGAGATACAGACACAGACGGGAGGCAGATCGAGATATAGAGACAGACAGACAGGAGACAGTAGAGGAGAGAGGCTCATGAAAGTTGTGTTGTATTATCAAGGATCCTGTCTTATGCAGTGACGAACTAACGAGGGGTGACTGTATGGAATAGTTTAGTGATTGTTCAGTGTTTCTCCCCTTGCTAAGGTGCTTTGCTGGCATAACTTGCTTTTTTCGCCCCTTCCCAAGGCGCTTTGTTTGTTTCTGTGTGTGTGTGTGTGTGTGTGTGTGTGTTCAGAGCGGGTAAAGACTTCCAGATTCAGCGAGAGCGAGAGACAGAAGAGAGTGTGGAAAACAGGGTAGGTGGAGCAGTTTTGTGCCAACGTCACATGCGTGTATTAAAAAAGTATTGCTGCTATCTGTATAGTATTACCAGGGGCGGATCCAGGGGGGGGGGGGTTCGGGGGGTTCGATCGAAACCCCCTGATTTCTTCCGACCATAGTTCGGGTGTGACCAGTAACCCATGGCCATGCGACGTGCGCGTCCCATGCTATGGCCCAGTCGGCCCAGGCCAGAGCGGTCCTCTAGCTATGCCGCTTGGTAGATCTACATGACGTTGTACATTGTTGTTTTGTAGAATCTACCTAGATAATACAAAGTAAAGTAGATCTGCACTGAATGTACAGCTACGCATCCGCTTTGGAGAAAGAGGTGCATGCATCTGTTGAGCTGCTGCGGAAACTTCGAAAGTAAGTTTCAAATACTAGTTTCTGAATAGTGGCCGTGTAGTGCTGTAATTGTCGTCGCGGCTCGTGCTTTTTGAGGTGTCTTAGAGTTCGTCCAAGCGTCTAAAAGAGGCAGGCTCAAGACCAGCTGCCATTGAATTTTGGTGACACTCCAAAGAAAAGTGTAGCCACTAGTGTCGAAGGTAAAACAAAGAGCGAAACTTTGAAAATCACCTTCAAGTTCAACGTCCCATCATCCAATAATCAAAATTTCTCCGAACTGGGGACAATTATGACTGAGACATGAAAGATGCAGGAAGCCTGCCTTATGGAACCTACTGTACAGTGGAGTCAACATCTGGCGCCTCGGAGTACAATACATGTATTACGGACAATTGTTACAGACAAGCTGCTGGAGAAAGTACCAATCAGCTATTCTGCGGCAAAGAAATTGAAAATGTCTTCCTTGTGCTGCGTGTCTTCAATATTGTTTTAGCTGCAGAGTGTTGAAAATAGGGGTACTGAGTGAAGTTACATTTGTATAGCAGCTGGCATGTTCAAGTACAGTATGCAATACAGTACATTGGTGCTGTACCGATGACGCGAACGTGTGAACTAAGTTACTTGTTACACATGTGAGTAGAAAGCACGGAGGGCGCCGTTTACGCTCGGCTTCAGAGTGTCGTAGAAGAAGCTGTACATCAGCACCTTCGACAACTCAAGGATGAAGAAACCCACGTAGATGGGTTTGTTCAAGATGACTTTGCACTTAAAAAACTCGTACACGATGCTGCGCTTGTAAGTCGGCTTGACGATGGCGCGCCGCAGCCTGTCCACCTCTTCTTCCGAGTGGACGAGCTTCAGGTTCAAGCGGCGGCGGACATTCTCCATCGTCTTGCCAAACACTGCATTGTTCATGAGCTTGTAGAAGTCCTTCTCAAACTCTGATGCAGCATTCTTGCGCAGATCGGTATTCAGCTGGATGTACGAGTGCATCCACGGACACTGCGAGAACTGGAGGACGCGATGGACTGCGTTCACTTCCACACCTAGCGCAACGTATGCCTGCAGATTCACGTAATGGCACACGTAGCGAGTTTTTGGCAGCAGAGTGAGCAACAGCTTCTTTTCCTTCTGCTTGCCCAAGCCGAGCTGTTGCGCCAGCTGCTGCTGATGCGGTGACAGCATGCCATCTGTCACGCTCATGTTCTCAGGGCAAGGAGGATACTCGTTCAACGCATCATGGATGCCATCAGGAATCGTGAGATCGCATTCCACGATGTATCCGACGGGTGAATCGTGAGGATGCGTCGTGGCTATGTCATTCACGCGATCGTCGGTGATATCCTCCACGAACCTGAACTCGCCGATAGGTAGGGGTCGCTGCATGGCCCAGCCGTACAAATTGTTTGCATCGACGTACGGTAGATATGTTGTCGGCTGCGAAGGATCGTATCCGTCTGGGATCAGGTCGTTGTTGGCCTCGGCATATCTCTGCACGCTCATACTGATTCCACCGCGGATACCGTGCTCGATGAACGTGTGCATGGTGACATCGGAAAGTAGATCCAGACTGACATCGGACACCTTGAGCAGTGCACTCCACGCAAACCCGGGCAGCGTGTAATAGTAGGCCGGATCGAGCGAGTACGTGACGATGGCAGTGGTGCGGAAGTTCTCGAATACATCTGGCAACAAGTACACGTCCGTCTTCAGGTAAAGATCGTGATAATCACGCAGAGTGACGAAATCAAACCTGTTCCAGACCGTTCTGGCATGGCTGTACTCATCGCCAGTGATGTGCGCCTCGGACAGCGACAAGTAGAACTTCTCTCGTGGGGAAGACTGTCCTCGTCGAAGCAGCTGAACGAGTCCATATACTCGTACGGATACACACCTTTCCGAAGCAGAAGATCCGTCTTCTCGGGATCTTCACCATGCAGATCACGCATGCGGACGAACGCTTCTCGAGGTGTTGCCTTCGCGAGCTTATCTAGCAAAGTGCTTAGAAAAGCGTACGAGTCGATGAAGACTAGCTGCCGCCACATCATAGCGATGTACTTTTCGTGTTGGAGGGAACGATGTTGATGGATCCTCGCTGTTCCGTATGCTCCTTGTCTGCAGCATCTTGATACGTCACTTCGTCAATCTTCATTTTACCGAGATGGCTAACGATGTGATTTGCATCGTACTCCTTGAGGTTGTGGAACACCACCGGGTTGTTCACCTTGGCCGGTACGATGCGTAGCTGAAGGTTGCAGGAGTTGTGCGCTGCTCCGCGAAACGCACCCGTCATGTGATCGTGACCGCGCATACGATCCCCTCCGAGTCGACGTTTGCATATCCAGCAATCCCTGGCGTTGAGAAAGCAAGCCTCCGAGTCGGGCGTCAGGTTCATCGGGTGACGATTCTCCAGATCTTCACGAATGGAGATTTCTTGCTGTTCCAGTGAGGTCAGGAACTGCTCTACTGCATCTTCACCCGTATGCTGGAACGTATCCGTCCCGGTGCCATCACTACGCACGACGATGTATGCAGCAGAACAGGGTATGTGCTCCGAGTACTGCTTTGTCTTCTCCCCAATGCTTTTAGGCTGAGCATGCGGTGCGATGATGCTCTCGAAATCCGCATAAATCACATAGGGTGCCCGAAGCTGTTTCTCGTGCTGTGTGAAACGGAGGGTTAGGCTTTCTACTCATGTGTATGTCATCATTTCGTCATTGTGGGTAGGGTGGGAAAAAAATTGAACCCCCTTGAAAAAATCCTGGATCCGCCCCTGATTACTACATTTTCTATCCATGTGATCTTGACTATATGATGTACTGTATATCTCCGTTCTGCTTCTGCCGTTCTTGCAGCGGTTGCGTAATGAGAACCAGATTCTTCTTCATCGTATTGGTATTCTTGAAGAGGTAAGTTCCTCTCTTTCCGTAGACGTGTGTTATCAAAACCTTCCCCTCCCCCCCTACTCTCTCTCTCTCCCCCCCTCCTCTTTCACATACACACAGAACTGTTTTTTTCTACCCAGCTGCGTGTTATGTTTGCAATATCTTGTTGGTGTTGGTACCATGTACACTCCTCTGCTCCCGAGAGGATGTCTGTGTTGGATCGAATCCCACCATTCTCGCCCTGAACTGTCACTGCAGTCGCTGAGGAGTTTTAAAATTACGAACAATTTTCTTCAATATGTAATACGTGCGTGTGTGCTGTGCTGTGCGTGCACCCTGCGTGCGTGTGTGTGCTATGTGTGTGTGTGTTTGCATGTGTGTTTGTGTACGTGTGTGTGTGCTTGCTTGTATTGGTGAAATCATTGTTTGTATATATGCAGGAGACCCAGACCCTTGCACAACGCTTGATTGAAGGACAAGTAACGCGAGCTAATGAAGCAGAGGAGGTGTTTACCCTACGTCGGGAAATGGTTGCTGTTCGCAAGCAACTGGAGATCTTGACCGAGAGCAGATCAGTGAGTGCATGATATGTGTGTTTGTGTGCATTTGCACTCGCGTATGTACGTTATGGTTGACTGTCAGTAGATTGTGTCAGGGTATTGTGACTTCTTACTGTGTTTTTATGCAAGACTAGTTGCTCTCATACTGGTCTGGGAGTTCAGTTTGTAGTTGGAGTGATGTTCTTTGCTCAGCAAAATGTCGACCGAGGAGTGTTGCAGCCTCGTACCAGAAGTGTTTCGTTTTAGCCTTGTTGCTCTATCATGCACAATGTGCGGATAGTGTACACAAGTTGTTGGCGTGATGTGAAGTACTGCCATTGCACACTCTTGGGAGTAATGTACTCTTGTGGGTCTCTTGGTTATAGCCAGTTGTTCATTTGTTTGTTTGTGAATACCTAGCACCTGTACCTGATTGCACAATAGCTAATTGAATGTGTGTGTGTGTCTGTGTGTGTGTGTGTGTGTGTGTCTGTGTGTACGTGCGTGTGTGTCTGTGTGTGTGTATAGTCGACTCCCAATCCTGAAGCTGATGTAGAACGGTTACGACAGCGTGTGGCCCAGTTGGAGGTGGACAGTCAAGAACTGACACATCTGCGACGCAGAGAAGCTGATATGGCCTCGGCACTTGCATCGTCACAGGTGTGTAGATTTATACCATACTGCTCACGCACACACACACGCACAAACACACACACACACATACACACTTTCTAACAACCGGGAACTGGTCATATAAGAGAGACTCAGTGAGGGCTGAGAGATTCAGAAATAGTGAGGTTCTGCTATGTACGTGAAGCGTAGTAGAAACCACATACAGAACAGGTGTCTGGGTTAGAGCCTACGGCTTTGCGTGTTTTGCGTCCAGATATCTACGCGCAGATCAGATTCTCTACGTTGAACGTCAGTAATAATCTTGAGAAAATGGCTCAATTGGTCATTAGCCTGCCCAACAGCCTATAACCCCCGCCCCGATGCCTATGCGTTGGGTGGACTTAGATATACATGTATGACCCTGCTGATAGGTTGATCGTATCCCAGTAATTAGGTGAGGATAAGATGCAGATACTGGTTTGACTGCTTCAGGGAGAGTGTATCTATCCTGTGGTTCATTTCCATCTACCCCATACCCAGTGAAGAGAATACTTGACGCTAGTGTGGGTTGCTTAGGGGTCATTGCCAAAGTGTTGTTGTCGTCCCTGAAACGAACATCATTCATTTCATACTCTGACCGCCTCCCCTCCCTCTGATATGAACGCAGCCTGCTATGCTGGCCGACAAAAATCGTACATGTGTACTGTACAGTGCCGATCGACTTGTGATTTTGGCTCCCCCCCCCCCCCCCAACGAATGATTTTCGTTTCAGGGACGACAAAAAAACTTTTGCGGCGACCCTTACTATTAAAGACTGGTTCTGGTATCCTAGTAGTCTTCACTTTCACTTTTGATGGCCAGCCAGAGGTAACCCAATGGTCAATACTTTTTTAAACCCAGATACGATGAACCCTTGCTTGCATGGACGTGTGTGTGCACGTACGTGTGTGTACGCATGTGTGTGTGTGTGCGTGCACGTGTGTGCATGGATATATGTGTACATGTGTGTCTGTTGGGTACTTGCTCCAGGCAAGAATAGCTGAACTGGCAAGTCAGACTGTTGAGCTGTGCCGGTTACAGCGCCGTGAGGCTGAGCTGGCAGCTGAGGTGTCTGCCCTGCATGAAGATGTTGATATCCTCCGCGAGCAGGTACGCAGTTGTCATTTCATGAGATTCTACTACTTTTTTTTCATAATTGTAATTATAACGTGTAATGAGTGTTACTGTAAATCAACTATATTTCGTGAGCGTATAATATTCGTAAACTGAGAAAAACGAACACTTCGTAGGCAAATTTCGTAAGTGCCATCGACCGTCAGCTACTATTTACATGTATACAGTACTATACAGTGGGTGTGACAAATTTTAGTAAGCGTTTTAATTTCGTAAGTAGCAGGAGCCTTACGAAGTTTACGAAATTGAAACGACTACGAAATATAATTGATTTGCAGTATAGCGGAAAGGTGGTTCTTGACCCGCCCTGTAAGCAAACCCGTGCAACCCGTTTTATTTTATTTTATAGCAACGAGTGGATCCAAGTCCAGGGTGTATACTACTAAGCCTATGTCATTCCTTTTTCATTCGGAAATTTCGCCCAGTGTCGTGCTGACTAGAATTCAGCTGTGATGTGAAGGCTGTGCACCTACTAACATATGATCATCTGGTGTATCTGTGTTGTAATCATGTTCTGGTGTATCCATGTTGTTATCATGATCATCATCATGCCTCGACAATACACTGCACCTGTGTTTTCTTCTCTGCTATGAATCTGTGCTTATTCTTGCCTTTATCCTTCCTTTTGTGTGTGTATGTGTGTCATGTCAGCTTTCTGAACGTAGCCGGCAACTTGATAACTTGGAGCTTGGCTCAAGCCCTGCTGCCGTGCGCTCCGCAGCAATAGGTAGTATTGGCAATGGGCGTGCTGGCAGTCTCTCAGCGGCGTCACCACTCGCTGAGGTGTGCGTCAACGGTGTAGAGGATGGTGATGCGGACTGCTAGCCACGTTGCTGACCCCCCTCCACGTGCCACTATGCTGCTATGTTACTGCTACTGCTACTGTTCATGCTGCTACTGCTCATCACGCTGCTACTGCTCATCACGCTGCTACTGCTCATCACGGTGCTACTGCTCATCACGGTGCTACTGTTCTTGACTGTGCGTACTGTCAGCATGCTGAATGGGTCTGTCCTGTTAGCACTGCACTCGGTAGCCACCCACTCACCCACTGGTGACGGTGCTGCAACACCTACCATCATCATCAGACTCACTACTGTCATCATCATCCTCCTCATCGCCGTTGTTGTTGTTGCTACGGATGAAGTCACCAATGGCCGCGTCCTTGCTCACACTGCCCGGGACTGGTGTCAGTAAGTCTATGCACTGCACAAGGCTCTGCAGCAGCCACTTAGCCGACAGTGAGTGCCTGTGTGTGCTGCGCTGCACAGGGTTGCAGCCTGTCGACCAGATTGACAGTGCCAGTGCATGCCGCCATGCTGTGCTGTGCAGGGCTGCAGCCAACGAGCCGACTGCGCGGTGCTCGCGGCGTGTACTCTGCAGTACAATTCCAGTCTAGTTTGTATATACCCTCAAGTTGAGACGCTATCTGCCTGCCTGCCTTAGAACCTCATCATCCGTCCTCCTCCTCCTCCTCCTCCTCGATATCATCATGTAGTAGTCATTGCCATATCAAGAGTACTGTCAGATTACTGTCAGTATGTCCTACTCACCGGGAGAGTATTGAAAGCTGGCCAACTATGCCATTGTGCTGTGGCAGCTGTTGCCGCCGCCGCCGCTGCCTGCTTGGTATGACATGGCACCCTATCCAGAAACCTCTCTCTCTCTCTCTCTCTCTCTCTCTCTCTCTCTCTCTCTCTCTCTCTCTCTCTCTCTCTCTCTCTCTCTCTCTCTCTCTCTCTCTCTGTCAAGTCTTTGTGGCTATATTATATACTCTCCTTTACTGCTGGATACTTTGGTTTTGAACAGGGTATTCAGGAGAGAATATTTAGTATGCTGCATGTTGGTGGTCCAAGCAACGATTCCAGTTTGCCTCTTCTGGCATTGACCATTGTCCCATGCCTGCAGCTATTTTCAATCTCTTCTGCTCATATTGAGCGTGTGAGTGTGTGTTTGGTGTTTTGTTTTTATATTTCCAGTCTAGTTGTCTACTTTCATAAGTTTTATCACCGACTGGAGGCATGTCTTACTGCCGTTCAAATTATCTCCACGGTGCTCTTTTTCACTTTCTCAGCTCCCCAACCCCTCATTTCAATTCCTATCTGTGTATGTGTGTGTGTGGGTGTGTGTGTGTGTGCGTGTGTGTGTGCGTGTGTGTGTGTGTGCACGCGTATGTGCGTGTTTGTGTGTGCGTATTGGCGTATGATTATATGAAACTAACCCCCAAGTGTAGAGGTATTAATATTTTTGTAGTTGTTGTATGCGGCTATGTTATATCTGCTCGGTGAAGGCGCAGCATATGTGCCTTGCCCTAGATTTGCCTGATCTATTTTTTATGTCTTTAGTAGTCGAAGGTTGAATGTATCACCTTCATGAGCTTCGCGAGCTCCATGTTGTCTGCCATTGTTGCCTGCTATTCACTATGTAATGCCTTGTCGCAGTTATTGCATGCCTATGCTGCTGCTACTGCTATACTGCCGCGCCATTTCTCTGGTACTTTATACACAGAAGTAGAGACAGTTGGCGTGGATGTCTTGCTCTGCTTTCCGCTTGTCTATAGTAACTGCTGCTGCTGCTGCTAATCCTGTTTCTGCACATAGGAATTACTGTCGTAGTACAATAGTATAGTGTTGCCATGCTGCATCATCATCATCCTCATCCACAGCATTGATTGTTGACTATTCTCTCTCTCTCTCCACTCCACCCCTAGTCCTTGTATAGATACCTTAGTGCAAGTATCATGTCATTGTAGCCGCCACACTCTCTCCTGTTAGCTGTCAGCTCCTCTGCCTCCTCCACCTTCACCACCACCACCACCATCGCTGATGCTATCTGGCCACAAGCTGTGCAATGTTCTTCAAGTATTCTTTTCTACATAGGCACACTTGCACATAATAGTATTATCTCTGTGATGCTTCAGATTACCATTGCAGCCCGATTTACCATGAGACCAACCTCTTGGACACGTATTGTATTTACAAAACTCAAGACGTCTTTCTGTTTTCGTCCAATACTACTCCAAGTCTACAGTTGTGTGTCTATTGCTTGTGTGTAGTGCCGGTAATGGTGGTGGTGGTGGTGATGGTGTGTGCGTGCGCGCACGCTCGCGGGGGAGTCTGTTTCAATCAGATTCAGATCCGCTATCGTTGCTATGAGAGAAAATCTGTGGGTCACTCCACATCCAATCGTATACATAATCGTATATCGTGTGTGGGGGGGGGGGGCATGCCTTTGTGGTTTTGTGTATCCGAACAGTTAGAACATTTGTTGCATGGTAAAAGTATGCGATAGTGACTTGTGCATTGTGTTATTTTGTGTGCAGCTTATTTTAATACCATGATTTACTCTCACCGGTACTGCATTATGACTTTGTGGGTTGTGCACCTGGTAGCTGGTGTACTTGGACCACCCGCGGCCCGGCCTCTTCTCTTTCAAGAAATTTTTAGTTCCAAAGTCTTTGGGAGTTCGGCAGTGTCACATGTTGTATTATACAGTCATACAGTATTCACAGTAGATGTACATTAGGCCACAACAAAAAGATTTCGTGTTTCCGGTCGGCCGACCGGGTCCGTTTTTTCAAAAATTATGGAATTTTTTTGGTAGCTTTAGTAGCTTTAGTAGCTAGTAGTAGTACTATGTAGTGTGCGTGCAATTTTGTGCAGGCATGTTTTTGTGTCAATGTCAGTACTATGCGTCTATTGATGCTGATCCATTGGTATTGCATACAATTCTCAGAAATCTCTGAACTATGCAATACATCTACTGCGTCCCGCGGTGGTATTCTACTCCATATTCCATGTGTAAATATGATTGTATATATTGTGTATCACAAGTGTCTGATCCAAACTTTCTCAATTAATTTGGCTCATGTCTATGAATACAGCAGGGAAATAAACTTTCAAACCAAAAAATAATAATTTTCCGACCGACCGGGCGTATTTTTTCGGGGGGTGCCGACCGGAAACACGAAATCTTTTTGTTGTGGCCTTATGTTTTCCCTTTATGTTTTGTTGTTTACTATAATTATACTGACGTCTTTAGGCCGATTCCACACTACGCCGAAAGTGGCTTTGCCTTGAAGGCATAAAGTGGCTTATAAAGTGAAGCTGCATTCACACCTACAAGTGTCGATCATGGGACTTTGCTTTGAAGGTTAGACTGTGAGGCTTTCCTGTGCTTGATCTAGCAACGGTACGGCGGTAGTGGAGAGGATCTTTGTTGGTCCAAATCCTCGAATATCACCCATTTTCGCGTGCCCAATCTTGAAATTTGACCACGCTAGCGCGCGCTGTGTAGGCGGATTCCAGATCATAGGTCGAATATTTGTCAACCTCGCCAACAGGCATTCCGGTGGCAGTTTTCGTTGTGTATGTCTCGTACAGTCCTTTCGCCTTCGTTTTCATGTTGTCGATTTTGGAATGGACGATCGACGCAGTATAGATTGCCTCCTCCCGGAGCTGTTCAGCAAACAAATTCAGCTTGATGGCGATCTCCTCCGGCGTAGCTCCTGCGAACTGTACCGCCCGGAGGTCGCCTCAAATGTCCGCTCCAAAGCTCGATCAGCTTGCCCTCAAGCTCCTGGCTAAACATGACCCTAGGCATTGTTGACAGCCCACAACTCACCACAACTGAAAGATACGACAGGGAACACATTCGGAAAAAAATCGAAAGGCTGAAGAAAAGTCAGAAAAGTGTCCTGAAAAGGTAAAAAGTTGCCTTGAAAGAGGGTGCTGGTGTTGCTTTGTAGACAACAAGCACTTTTCACTTTCGCGCGTTCCTCAAAGTGATCGCCATGGCAACTTGCCTGAAAAGTGCCTGAAAAATGGCTTTTTAGGCAGGATTTGGTGTAGTGTGGAATCGGCCTTGCTAAAACATTACGTATGGCGCGGCGCGGCGAAAATAATTCAAAAAATCATGGAAAAATGAAGAATTTCTGAGCGATAATGATTAAATTTTATGATCACTGTATCGTTCCCTTTGAGAAGTTAGTTTGCAGATAATTTCGCTTATTTTGAAAGTCCATTGAAGAGTCTTTGATTCGTGAAAGGCCGTAGAAGGTATTGTTGACGGTAAATTGGTAGGAAGAGCACAGCAGTCATGAGTGGAGGTGTTTACGGCGGAGGTACGAGGCTTACTTTGGTACTGAATTTCAAATTTGAATATGCAATTATGAAAGGTATTTCCTTCAATTTTGATTGTAGATGAGGTCGGTGCCATAGTCTTCGATGTTGGCTCATCGTCAGCTCGTGCTGGGTATGCTGGAGAGGATGTGCCAAAAGTACGTGTTTATGCGTATGCCTTGTGCTTGTGTAGCGTTTTGAGTGGCTTCTGATTCCGACATTTGTACGAACACTATAGAGGAGACAATAGGGATTACTTTCATGAGATTGATGGTGGGATTTCATAACCGTACGATATACACTCCACCACTATCTTGGCTAACGTGTACCGTGTATTGGACGCTCTCTGTGCCATTTTCACAGAGAGCTGTATTGTTCTCCATTCATTCACTTTTTGAGTTGGTTGCCATCAGGGAGTTGCACCCAGACTATGTTTGGCTAGGACTCCCTGGTTGGCACTGTGTAAATCTTTGTATGCAACGGGGTATACATGTAAGCGTGAGTGTAGCAATAGCAACCACAGTGAACAATTGTGCAATGCATGGCACAGCTAGGTAGAGTAGATGATACTACACTGTATTGGGTGGGGGACTCTCAAGTCATTTTGATACAGTACTGTCGGGCGCTGAAGAACGGCCAGCCTAGAATTTCACCAAACACAGCATACCAATGTATACACGGTGACTCAACTGTGCATCGACTGTAGTACATGAAAGTTAGAACGGCCTAGGCTACGAGGCTAATCCCCAGTTCTTTGGCGACCGACATCGTATCCCGGCCATAATCGATCACCTATCCCTACCGTGCGTATCATCATTGCAGTTTCTAGCACACCTACCATTATATTCCCAGGCACTCTACTCTCTAGTCAGCATCCACTATGTTGTCTGATCATTGACCTTTAATATTGCCATGAAACTCGGAGTAGCAACAGAACAACGCGTTTGCGGCCATTGTGAGCTTGTGCCGTATGCCCCTCTTGGTGGGTTGAGCACTTTCGCAAGACAACAGCAGCTTTGCTTTGACACCACACCGGATATGCATGCAGCAGCATGTTCATGACTCACTGGGGTGTAACAAGAGAGTTTGCGCTCAGAGTCCTCGCTAAGCTATGATGGCACTGGATGACCAATTCCTCCTGGCCGCCGGCCGCTCTCACATGATCTCTTGGTCATGTGATTATGCCAAACTGCTGCCCCCCCCCCCCCACACACAAGCGTGCGCACGCACACACACACGCACACACACACACACACACACACACACACACACACACACACACACAGACACACCTTGGTTACACTGCAGCAGACATACTGCAATGATGTGACTACAGTACTAGACTATGGATAGCAACCCTATGACTTGTGTACAGTCAACTTTGCTAATAACGACTGTGGATATAACGACAATTCGCGAATAACGACAGAATGTCCATGCCCAGAGCAAAGTCACATCTAACTGTTTACATATAATTAGACTTTGGGTATAAGGACACTTCGCAATAAGGACACTTTTCTGATGCCCCGTCGAGTGTCGTTATACGCCAAGTTGACTGTATGTGTGTGTTTTGTATGTGTTTCGTATTTTCCTAGGCTGAAATTCCAACATCAGTTGGCATATTGCAGAGTAGTACATCTGGCACTAGTGCTGCTGCTACCACTGCTGGTGCTGCTAGCTCAGACTCTGGTGACCAGGCCATGGACACAGGCGATGATAGCCGAGGTACAGTCTACGACTCACATGCATTGTGTGTTTGCACCCCCCCCCCCCCCTCACTGTGTGTATTTGTGTGATGTGGTGTGTGTGTATTTGTGTGATGTTTGTGGGCTAATGTTGACACTCACCTGTTGTTGCTGCTGCTTCTTACTGCTGCTGTCTATCACTACTTTGCTCGCCACTACTAGTATGTGGTGCTATGTGATGTTGCATCTACTTTGTACAGTAGGTAGTGTCACGTTTATTACAACACCACATTGTGACTTTTTCATACCCTATTTTTGGGTCAAGCTCTATCATCGCACCAATTTGGCATAGTATTGCTACCTCTTCTCCTACACTGACAGTGTTTATCCCCATTTTCTGTATCACTCTGAAGAAGACGTGGATGTGTCAGTATCAAGTATTGCTCCTGTTGTGCAATTTGGCTATCTACTCTTGTATGTGATGGATTTTCTGGCTGGACCTTGGCTGGCGTGCCATCATGTGGATAATCAAGCTTGATGTTTGTCTGTCTGTATGCCTGCCTGCGTGCCTGCCGTCATGCCTGCCTGTCTGTCTGTCTCTCTGCGTGCCTGCCTGCCCACCCATCCGTCTGTCTATCTGTCTGTGTGTCTGTCTGTCTGTGTTCTCATGTACATACTGGTTGCTGTATTGTAGTCGGGAGCAATCAAGCAGACAGTGCCAGTGAACGTCGTGTTGTCCTCGGTGTCAACAGCCTTCACTTTCCACGTCAGGGAATGGAGATGACCAGTCCACTCACCGACGGCTTGAGTAAGTCTTGCTTGCAATGCTACTGCAGCAGCTGCTTCTGCTGCTGCACTGTCTGTGTCAACACATGCATACTGTAGCTGTTGTCTGTGTCTACACATCAATACTATAACTGTTGTGGCTGTCGTGGTTGCTATGGTTGCTGCTGCTGCTGTAGCTGTAGCTGTAGCTAGTTTGGCAAGAAGGACCCATGAGTGTGTGTGATCCCCGGTAGCCTAATCGGCAGGGCACTGACCCGGAAAGACAGGGGTGCTGGGTTCGAATCCCGCTCGTGGATCCTTTTGCAACATTGGCGCCTGGCAATGGCTCGAACCCACGACCCATCGTACCCCCCGCGAGTAGGTACGGCGTGAGGACACTGCCTGTTGGGGCGGGGGAGCAGTGTAGCAAGAAGGACCCATGAGTGTGTGTGATCCCCGGTAGTCTAATTGGTAGGGCACTGTCCCGGAAAGACAGGGGTGCTGGGTTCGAACCCCGCTCGTGGATCCTTCTTTTGCAACACTAGAAGGAGCCACGGGTGTGTGTGTGATCCCCGGTAACCTAATCGGTAGGACACGGTCCCGGAAATATAGGGGTGCTGGGTTCGAATCCCGCTCGTGAATCCTTCTTTTGCACATTGCTGCTGCTGCTATGGTTGCTGCTGCTGCTGCTGTCTTCACTGCTTTCCTTCATTGTGCTGGTGCTGGTTGAATAGTTTCTGATTGTTGCAAAGTGTCGTACGTTTCTTGCTGCTCTTGTTTGGAGTAGTGGTGGAAATCATGCAATATTCACAATAAGCATGTACACTGGGCATGTACAATGTACTGGAATTTCACACAAATTTTCGGTGTACAGTAAAACCTGGTTTAGGCGACCACCCCACGGTGCAAGCAAAAGCGGTCGTTAAAGCCAGGTGGTCTTTAGAACCAGGTCCCACAGTGTCTGCGTAGAACTATCGGTGCATGGAAAACCGGTTGTTAAGAGCAGGTGGTAGCTAAACCCAGAGATCGCTTACACCAGGTTTTACTGTACTTTTATATTCGGTATTTTCGGTATATCTGTTTCATACTTAAAATTCCAATAAACCGAACAAACACTAACCCACATAGTCCAATAGGGAACTGCTTTCCCTCACCTAAATTTTCTGGTCACCTAACGTGGCCTTTTGCCCTCATACTGAAAATATTGAGCACCGACAATTTCTGAAATTAGACTATGCTTAGCATAGCAAGCAAAGAAGCTGATTGTGTTTTTTTTCTGTCTCGTTGTTTTGTATCTTTGCTTCTGCTGCTTGTAGTTGAGGATTTTGACCTGTATGAACAGATTCTCGATCACCTTTACAACAAACATCTTCGATCCAAGTCTGAACTACATCCTGTACTCATGTCAGAGGCACCGGTATGTACACTGTACACTCATTGCTGGTCTTGTCATCTTTTCTTGCTTTTGAGAGAGCCATCCTTCTTTGCCGTGACATGTATCGCTGCCACACTAGCTGAAGTCTCCATCTCTCTCTATCTATCTCTCTCTCTCTCTCACTCTCTCTCTCTCACTCTCTCTCTCTCTCTCACTCTCTCTCTCTCTCTCTCTCTCTCTCTCTCTCTCTCTCTCTCTCTCATGTCTTTTTTGTTTATACAGTGGAATACACGTGCCAAGCGCGAGAAGATCACTGAGATCATGTTTGAACGCTACAACATTCCAGCATTCTACTTGTGCAAGACTGCAGTGTTGACAGCGTATCCTTTCCATTCTGTACTGTGGGACTGTGGGGCTGTTTGACCGTGTGATCCTGTGGCCGTGGGGCTGTGGGTCTCACTCTGTGTGACTGTGGCCCTGTGGGTCTCACTCTGTGTGACTGTGGCCCTGTGGGTCTCACTCTGTGTGGCTGTGGCCCTGTGGGTCTCACTCTGTGTAACTGTGGCCCTGTGTTTCTCACTCTGTGTAACTGTGGCCCTGTGGGTCTCACTCTGTGTGACTGTGAGACCGTGTGACTATGGGGCTGTGTGACCAGCCTGACTATGGTATGGGGGTATGGTATGGGGGTATGGTATTGGAGTATGGTACATGTATAGCCAAAGTTGATCTACTGTATTGTTCAGTACAGTACAGTGTGCAATACAGGGTGCTATTTTCCTTGACTGGTACACACCACCGCTTGTACTATGGGTATGTACAGGTTTGCTAATGGTCGCTCAACAGCATTGATTGTTGACAGTGGTGCATCACAGACCAGTGCTGTACCCGTACATGATGGATACGTCTTGGAGAAAGGTAACACTACTTACTACTGAGTAGCGTGTACTTACAACACACCGTTCATTCTTCTTTCACACACACTCTGACTTACATGTGTCTCTGTGGATGTGGGGTATGTGTGGGGTATGGTGCTCTCTCTCTGTTGATCATGTGGTGGATTTAGAAGTACCCTGTCTCTGTGCAGTATTGTGTCTGTAAGAACTACAGTACTGTCGCGCGACGAAGAGCGACCAGACTAGAATCTCATCAAGCACAGCATACCCATGTAAACACGGCGACTCAACTGTCCATCGACTGTAGTGCATGAAGATAAGAACGGTCTAGGGTCTAGGCTAGGAGGCTGACCCCCCCCCCCCCCCCCCCCCCCAGTTCTTTGGCGACCCACAGTACTGTAGTTGTGATGGTGGTGGTGGTGTGTGTATGTGTTTTCGTCATGTCATGTCTGTGAGTAGTGTTGCATTGCTTGCCTTACTTACCTGTGGTGTGCCTTGTTCTTGTTGTGTCCAGGTGTTGTTCGTGTTCCTCTTGGCGGGGACTTCCTCTCAGCACAAGTCCGGTACATTGCATATCTTACTTATCTACTAGTATTGTGTGTTATGGCACCGGACTGTTTTAGCTCGGCGGTCGCCAACAGGAGTTGTACAAACTCAGGAGGGCATGGCGTGCACCATGGCGTACACATGGCGTGCACAAGCATGAGCGATGTGTATCTCATGATTCTTGGAGGAGCCCTTGGGTTTAACTTGTAGGAATCTCAGAATGTGCCGACTGCTATGTTGGCGATTGTGCTGCACAACTAACCGCATACCGTCGTTGTAAGCTGCCCGAGGTCGCGCTTGCCACAATCCGTGCTTGGTTGATGGCCTCCCTGACTTGCTGTTCAGGGTGACGGCGGTCAGATCCGTCAAACCAACATTCAGTGTTTACCGTATTATCGGCAATACTCCCGAGGACCCCCTCTCTCCCCCGCCCCCCCCCCTCTCTCTCTCTCTCTCTCTTCTCTTCTCTTGTCTCTTCCCTGCCGTTCCTGCTCTCTCTCTCCTCTTGTCTCCCACTTCCGGCGATCCTCTTCCGTCTTCTGCTCAAACTCCATTCTGCGTCGTTGACTTTCTTCTTCTGCCATGCCAGTTTCCCCTGCATGGATACATACATGTACACGTCAGCACTGCTTTGTGAGGACCCGTGGCGGGTTGCCTCCCGGCACGGCTTCTTGCCAGATTCAATGTCGGCATCGTCAGCAATAGGACTCGGCTTTGGTGGCTGCAACACACGCAGCTGCAGGTGTGTTTGGCATGCCGTCAAACAGGCACATCCTCCTCAGCGGCGCTTGTAGTGTCAGCGTTGTTTCCGCCGCGTCCAAACAACTGATTCTTGAAGAACATGCTATGGTAGAGCTTCAAATTTCCCACACTGTCAGCAAAACGTTCTCTTCTGGTGCAGCGACCCAGGGGTGATGGCAAGCTCGTGCTTTTCGTCTCGTAACCCAAGCTCAACGAAGGCGAAAAGTCAGGATGGGCCTAATTTTTTGACGGACGTCCAATGACGAAATGTTTCGAACACACACGGTCGTGACACAAAGGTGTCCAAAGAGAACCATTCTTGTTCTTTTGCAACGCCGGCCACAATCCACTTATTCCTTCGGTCCTGGTCTGCCGGAAATCGAAAAAACAAAACAACGCCACATCCCAAAGACTGCCTGTTGGTGCAGCTCGTTGTCCATGGAACACAAGCCTCCAGGTTGGCATGTATGGTCTAGGTACAGTGTATAGGTAAAGGTAGCCCATAGTCAAGTATGACCAAAGGGGCTAGAGGTGTTAGAGACATCCTGTTTCACAGCGCTTGACATTGTGAGGTGGTGCTCGTCTCCTCTCCCTCGTTGTCTTTGCCTCCGCTACCGAAATCAGATACCCATTCACAGATAGGTCTCTTGAGGTAGAAAGAACTTCACACAAAACTGGGAATCAAATTCACAGCCTCATGTTTGGAAGGCCAATGCTCTAAATCCTCTAACCACAATCATCTCTCTCTCTCGGTCTCTCTCTCTCTCTCTCTCTCTCTCTCTCTCTCGGTCTCTCTCTCTCTGTCTCTCTCTCTCTCTCTCTCTCTCTCTCTCTCTCTCTCTCTCTCTCTCTCTCTCTCTCTCTCTCTCTCTCTCTCTCTCTCTCTCTCTCTCTCTCTCGGTCTCTCTCTCGGTCTCTCTCTCGTCTCTCCCTCTCTCTCTCTCTCTCTCTCTCTCTCTCTCTCTCTCTCTCTCTCTCTCTCTCTCTCTCTCTCTCTCTCTCTCTCTCTCTCTCTCTCTCTCTCTCTTGTCTTGGTTGTGTATGTTTACTAGGAGTCTACTGGAAGAAAAGATGAACCAAGAGATAGTACCTCCGTATCTTGTTGGCAGTCGAGTAAGTTCTTATATGATTTTCTCCTTAGGGACTGTCCATAACTACCGATATTTCTTTTTCCTAGAGG